TTTTATTTCAATAATTTGCTTGCTCGTAGGGGTCTTTAGCAGTGGGATGAAACCGGAGGACCCGGAGACAACCCACGAGGTTGGACAGACGGTCCTACCCCTTGTCACATAGAACCGGGCATTTGAAACCACACCAGCTGACTCAATGACAGGCCTACTCGCATGTGCTAACCATTCGGCCATCCAACCCCCCTGATCAACAATAACGTCATAAGTATCAGTTATAGTGGATGATAACAATCTATACATACCCCATGATTATCACAATTTGTACGACATTCAGCTACTGGTAGTTTAGCTATAGGCACACATTTCTGATTCACACAAATCTACAAATAACAAAAAATAATTCATAGTTTAATGTGGGTTTAATGCACTTATTAAAAATTGACAGTTAATCTCACGTCAATTCTTCTTTCTTACTGTCTTTTGTTATTACCAAATAGTTGAACGCTTTGATTTCATAACTTAGTCAAGTAATACTCCAACAAATTCCATAATTTGACTAAATTATATTTTAGGGTTGAAAATACATCAAATGTTAATTCTGTTGTTATCCAATGTTTCACCAGTTTTATTCACTGTAATCTGGGTATCATTTAATCTTGTGTATTTAGCACTAATTTCTTTCACATTCGTTTAATATCAAATCTTTGTCTAAAAATTCGTAAAAATTAATATAAAATCACCCAAAATCATATAATATTTACTTGTGTCTAGTTTAAAATTGTTTTACGTGCATGCCAATGTGTACATGCGACCTTGGTTTTTAGTTCCATCTGAACCACTGGAGACTGTTCCTTGTCATGAACCACTAACAAGGGAAAGCCACACTGCAAAATCGCACCAAACTTTCTAGGCCAACACAGGGATAGAATGCATAGAGCCACAGTGACTGCCAAATGAAAACCCAAATTTGTATCATTAAAATAATATTTTTTTACCTTATCGTCCTCACATTTTGCTCCATCTGGAACCATACCTGGATCAGGCATATCAATACCAACATCCAACATGGCTGATCGACATACATACTGTGTATTACCACGAGTCAGGAAGGAGGCACGCATAGTATGAGCTAAAGAATCACGCCAAAACATCAGTTTCTCATTCAGATGTACACAATGTAATAATCCACACATAACATCTCTGGAACATAAAAAAAATGTCAAAACATCAGTTTCTCTTTCAGATGTACACAATGTAACAATCCACACATTACATCTCTGGAACATAAAATAAAATATCAAAATTATTTATTGTTTCACGTTTGTCAGTCCTGTTCATATGTTACGGAAGAAGATACTCTGGTGAAATAACTCCAGTCCATCTATGACGTCGCCTGTATTGTGGTCTCCCAACGACTTAAGGGACAGGATTGTCTGCGATATCACTTAGGTGGAAGCTGATATAAAATAAAGCTAAGCCCAAAGGCTGCCAAAGAACGAGTTAACATTCACACTTTTAAGCTTGAAGATCTTGAATGGAAAGGCATCTCGATACTTTTAGTTTACAAATCACATTTGTCATGTTGCCTAAGATTTTGAGAAAGGAACTATGTTAATCCCTGTAATTCAGCTATATAAATGTATCTCTATTTTAAAATATAGCAATATCAGGCAACATACATCTGCCAATCAGCAGCTTTTAAAAGGGTATTTTTAAAGATTTTTCAGGTCATGAGTCAAAGGTAATATTTGTTAGGTTTTCTCCCTTATGATCTACCCATAGTTATCTGTTATAAAATAACTTTTTCGAATTAGGGGCAATAACTACCCCAATAATTAACAATGCGAGTCTGAATTATGATAGGTTACCTAGGATGTGGTCTTAACGGCCATAAACCATAACAGCCAAAATCGACTTTGGTCACAACAGAAAAAAATTTAGATTATCCAACACAGTTTGCAATTAAATGACCGTTGCTTGTTTAGATCTGGACGGTCCCTGACAACTATTTAAAGGGAACATCCGCACAATCTCACCTGATGAGTTGTAACTGAACAAAAGTAGTCGCTTCACGAGAGAAATCTGGGATGGCCACTAGCTACTCACAAATTTCTAATTTCATTTACACAAAATATAAATGAAATGAAATGAAATGGGGTTTAACGTCCTACTGTTCTGCTCCTAAACTGGGCTAATGAGGACGGGCATACGCCATACAGTGTGCTATGAGGGAAATTTTGCCCGGACAGCGGCGCTACGGCCTACTCTTATATCGAATTCCAACTGCCAAGGGATCTTTTACGTGCACGCCAATATGTACACGGGACCTCGGTTTTTCGTCCCATCCGAAGGACTAGACAGCTGTCCTTGTTAGGCCCTCCGCAAAATATAAATAGTTGATTTAATACGACAACTTACTCTCTATGACATCATCTACTTAAAGTTGTCTGTTATAAAATAACTTATTCGAATTAGGGGCAATAACTACCCCAATAATTAACAATGTGAGTCTGAATTATGATAGGTTACCTAGGATGTGGTTGTAACGGCCATAAACCATAACAGCCAAAATCAACTGTCACAAAGGCCAAAACTTTAGATTTTCCAACATAGTAATGGCTTTTAACATCCACTCGACACAAACTAGGTCATTTCGGGACTAACACATGGTTCAATTTTATTTCAATATTCTGCTTGCACATAGGGGGTTTTAGCAGTGGGAGGAAACCAGAGAAAAGCCAAGAGATTAGACAGGCGACCCTACTCCATGTCATGTACAACCGGGGATTCAAAACCACGCCAGTTAACTCAATGACAGACCTTATGATACAGCGCACACGTGCTAACCATTTGGCCATCCAACCCCCCGTACGTGTTTGGAACTAGATGAAATGTATAAATAGTTGATTTAATACCCCAACTTACTCTCTATGGCATCTAGTATAATAACTTCTAGTCCAGTTATATCCACAATTACCATCATGTGTACCCTGCATGTTGAGTTGTTGATAACATATTGGATCTGATGCTCGTCCTGTACTACCCCATAATAACTTACATTGACTAGAATGGGTATTACAATTACCTTCATAACAATATGACTAAAATAAAATAAAACAAATTAATATGAGTAATAGTAGAATCATAATGGCATTGTAGGTACCTTAAAGGGTGTATAGCTCTATTCTTTGGAAATGAAATGAGGTATAACGTCCTAATGCTCTGCTCCAAACTGGGCTAATGAAGACGGGCGTACGCCATACAGTGTGCTATGAGGGAAATTTTGCCCGGTCAGCAGCACTACGGCCTACTCTTATATCAAATTCCAACTGTCAAGGGATCTTTTACTTGCACGCCAATGTGTACACAGGACCCCGGCCCACCATCCTGCATCACTGACAAGGGGGAACCATGCTGGAAAATCTGGACGAACTTTCTTGGTCAATGCAGGGTTCGAACACCCGACCTCCAGGCTAGCGAGCCAGTGTTGTACCCACTTAGCCACCGTGATCCCCCTATTCTTTGGAACCTTAAAACAGATGTAAATGGATCTAAAAGCACATATAATATGAATGTATATAAAGTGATTTACATTCAATTTTCAAAATTTTTATTGTAATTTCTAATCAATCATGTTCGGTGAAATATGAAAACAGTCCAAATTGAATTACAGACATTTGTGCCTGTTTAGTCCATTCTACACAGGTCGTATTTTTTGGGGTTTTTTTTTGTTATTTATAAATCAGATATTTTTATCTACTTCTGGGATATGTTTTTCTTTGTTCATTACAAATGGCGTTTGAAACCATTATGTTCATAGATTACATGATGTTGTGCACTGATTCAATCTTAAATATTGGATATGAGGATCCCATATTTTCACAGTAAGATAACAAATTTAGCATTGATTGAAACAGACAAATATTGAATTCTAATTCACATTTTTAATTTCGCATATTATGGATAATATTGGGTTAGAAGTTTAGCTCATTTCAGTATTTTCAATATTAAAGTTAGTGTGTTTTGATCAACTGAAGACAATTAAGTGAATCACTGAATCAGGACCACCAAGGTCATATCGAAATAAGTTTAATGACCTCTGTCTATCCTCTTCTTTTATTAGTTTTTACCGTTCGCTTCCACCGAGTGTGATATCGCACGCAAGTCGACTTATTTTTATTATCTTTCTGTGGGAGGAAACTGGAGTCCTAGGGGTAAACTCAAGAGATGGAGAACGCCCCTATCTCCAAGCTACATACGCTAACACCATGGATCTAAACCCCGACCGCAAGCCCAAGCTGACCGGCCATCTAGATCACAAGACCATCCCAACTCCCCAAAACTGGTCAGCCAACTCATCTTTAAATACAAGACTTTCTGGTTATCTTTTACCCAGAAGAAAAGTCATCGGAACTTATCACTTACCTGTGAATCACCACAAGACAATCCGTTCTGTTTATAAATATCATCTGGACAATATTCACTGGCTCCAGAACAAAACTCAGCTAAATCACATTCACCATTAGGAGATCGACATAATGTAGCTGCTTCTTTAAACTAAAATAATATTAACAAATGTAGACACATAATGAAAGAGAAAGAGAGGTAGGGGTCTTTAGCAGTGCGAGGCAACCGGAGGACCCGGAGAAAACCCACGAGGTTGGACAGGCGACCCTACTCCTTGTCACGTACAACCAGGGAATCAAAACCCCTGTAGTGCCGTTGTCTGGGCTAGATTTCCCTCATAGCACACTGTATGGTGTAAGCTCATCTTCATTATCCCAACTGGTGCAGTAAAGTAGGACGTTAAACCCTGTTTTATTTCATTTGAAAGGTGTCAATTAAGAAAACATGAGATTAAAACAGCCTTGAATTACAAATAATTAGAGCACAGATTAAACCTAGGCCTTAATAACGTATACACTATTATGTTCCTTAAATATTTATCAAATAAATGACTAGTACAAACCTGACAAGTATCAATGTTACAACATCGTCCAGTCCCACAGGTAGCTTGTGCTATCAATTTACATGTAGTAGCATTACAACATCTATTTGCACAATCCTGTTTCCAAAAATAATCAAATAAATTTATCATGCATAAACATGCAGAAAAATTCTTACTAGCCCATGCCAGGTTATACCTTATTTGGGATTAGCAAAAAAAAAAGAAGAAATAGACTCAATCAACATCCCTTGTCTACCAAAAACTTAGCCAAATTGGTTTCCATGGAAACACAATAATTATTATGTCTAAGAATTTCTAATTAGCACAAGGCACAACTACTTTACCATGTTGATATAAGTTTCCTAAAGATATCCTGATCGGTTTATGTGACATACTCCAGAACATAACCGAAGAGAAGGAAGGAAGAAGCCCATTTCAATATCTCTCTATAAATAGTGCTAGATAATAATTATGAGAGAGAGAGTGAGAAATGGGGTTTAATGTCCACTCGACACAAACTAGGTGATTTCGGGACTAACATATGGTTCAATTTTATTTCAATAATTTGCTTGTGCATAGGGGTCTTTAGCAGTGAGAGGAAACCGGAGGACCTGGAGAAAACCCACGAGGTTGGACAGGCCACCCTTACTAATTATGAGAATAGATAGTCAGCAAGTAATTTTGAGCATTTTGTGCGAGGCCATTTTAAATAGTATGTATATCTTGAATATCGTTATGTGGCATAAAAGGAAAACACAAACTTTACCTGAGCCTATAAGCACAGAACGTGAACTGAAAACGTTAAAACTTATTCGAACCTGAGGTAGACCACAATCACATATTTCTCCTTCTTCTACCAGACCATTACCACATACGGGACCAGCAAATATCTTTTCTGGTTTATTACGTAAACAATAATCCATTCCAATTTCAAATGATTCTTGTAACGCTACCTTAGAACATGACGACCATTGGGTAGGACTGGTCGATCTGGAAAATAAAATAATTCCAATTTGCAAGATCAGCGTGGTTAAAATTAAAATCAAGCTCTACACGATTATTATCATACTCATTTCATCAGTAACTATCAAACTCATTGGGTTTTTAACAGCAATAGTGAGGTTCCGCAGGCAGTACGAACTACTAACAACGAAGTGTTTATGTTCTGACATCATGACTTCGTGTGATGTCATTGACATAAGCAGCTTTTGGTTTGTCCATTTTCTACAAAGAAATCAGGAAAAGTTTGTGGTCAAAAAATGAAATTTTTTTGCGGTATTATAGAAAGATAGAACCTTTACAATTCAGTAGAAGGTTGATACATGTAAGTGTCAAAGTGGTCGGTAAGTGTTCTGATTTTGGGCAAATTTTCAGGCTGTGAAATTTTTTTTTTTCGGCAGTCGGCGATAAGAAACGCATAGCAATGAGCTTCTTGAGGACTAAAATTTGATTTGATTTGATACTTTTTATTTAACCAAACTAAACAGTGTTATTTCTTGATCACATGGGTAATTTTAAAGCAATGCTTGGGGGTTTGTTAAGAAAGATAAAAGAACACTTGTCTAATATGTATAATAAACCAATGACTATATTCAAAATAAATTTTCAGTGTTTTTAATCTGCTCAATTAATAAATGTCGTCCAGATGCCTATAAGTTCATCATTAAATACCTTCGTTAAACCTAATCTACTCACCCACTGGTTGCTGCCATGATACATTTATTATCTGGACAATGACAATATGAATCATTATCATGTTCCATACCAAAACTATGACCTAATTCATGAGCTACTGTTGTAGCTAATGTTGTTAATCCATCATAATCCTAGAAAGAGAAATTAATCAATATTTTAATTGGCTATCATTGAATTGACTTACTGTAAATCAAGAAAGTAACGAATCCTTTTATTAATAAAAGCTGAAGAGAGTGGTGTGCATCTTTATTGAAATTACTGCAATATTCTGAATATCACTCTGATCTAAAATTAGTGGCTTCTTTTATGTTTCAAGAAAAAGAAATGACATTTCACCAGACATTGATATTAGTGGGAAGCTATTTTAGCTGGCAGGATGAAACTATGTGCACAGTTTTATGTTTTTGGATCAAAAATATTTCTCATAAACAGGGATTGAAAGTTGAGTAAATTCTGGACTTAAGTCTAAGAATGCTTTGTGAACTAGGGACTAGGATTTGATCCAGGTGTTAGCGAAGAAAGTTCATTGGGATTTTACCATGTCAATGATGTAGGACGGAAGTCTTGGCAAGAAAATTAGTTTTGCTTTAGGCCAAAAAAAAAATGGGTTCTGTTTCCTGTAACGGATGGAAAATAGGGTAGGGCTGGTAGATAGGGTTTTTTTGATTTTTTTTTTACATTGTTAGATCTAGTAGATGTGCCGTAGCATAATATTCTGTGCGAAAATCTTCAATTTTATGTTAGGTTGAGTCGGCGCCGAGGAACATAAATAGATTGGTGGATGTTTTGTTTTAAATACCAATCAAGCGGATCCTATCCCCCTATTTGAAATATACGTTAGCTTGTTTTTGTCAAATTGCGTACCGTTACTTATTAGAACGAAGGTTGTGAGGAGGATTATGGCTTTTCGGGATGTGCAGTGTTAAATCTATACGAAACCTGTAGTCTCGATTTTCACGTCAGTTAGCAATCTCACGTCAACAGTATGACAGTTCTTAATAATCGTTCGCTGTACAGTACTCGCTTATTCCGATCGGTAAATGCAGATTCACAGAACGATGACATTTATATCCATTTATAGCAACAAATAATAAAGCCATTTTCACGAATCCGGTAGGCTTAGAGTATTTTGAACGGTCGCACGTTGAACAAAAAAGTTTTTTATTTCCCTGGACACTAAAAAAAAAAAATTGAGTCGGCAGGTTTTGTAATGGGTCGGTCGGGTTACCGGAAACATAACATTTTTTTTTTGGGCCTTACATATAGTTCTCAAATGGTACTTTTGACATTTACAATAATAAATGTAATTTTTATAGCACAGGTTTCATAAGTTACTAAACTCAGACCGCAAGAAGGATATCCTGTTCTTTTCAAAATACAAATAAATATTGTTACTCACATAATTAACACCTCCAGAAAATTGAAAAGTACAAATTCTTCCTTTGATGGCTTTACCTACCACTCCTTCGTCAAACTTTGTACCACTTTAAATATAAATTAAATAAGAATAAAACTAACTATTATCGGCTCATCATTATAACTAAACATAGCATAATATTACACATATACAGGTCACAATAGACTACAATTACTGTTTATTAATGAGCAACGTTTCGACAAGGCTTCTCTAGTCATTATCAATCAATCATTATCATTGTCACTGACCCTACTCCTTGTCACATACAAGTACAACTGGGAATCTAAACCACGCTAGTTGACTCAATGACAGACCTTATGATACAGCGTGCATGTGCAAACCATTCGGCCATCTAACTCAATCCCCCTCCCCCCCCCCCCTCGATTCGTAACAGCAAAGTTATACCTAAATTTATTGACTCTAAACAAAATCTGGATTGAAGGCAGAACAGATACTTACGTGATTAATTGTGCGTTATCGTTGGTATGGAATGGATTAATACGTTCTCGTCTATACCGTAGAAAATTTTCTAGTGTGATGTCTGGACTCGGTGTAATCGATATTAAATCCCGATTTTCCCAGACTTCAACACCAACTAAGGCTACATAAATATTTAATGATCGATACAACTGAAAATAAATAAATATTGGACTTGTTTAAAATAATCTTTTAAATATTCACTGGGGGTGGGGGGTCATTATGTGATCATGTGTTGACAACACTGCATTACCATTTTTTCCTTCTGAGTAACATATTTCATTTCTTTCATTGGGGCACTGTTCGGTCCCTGCATGACACAAGTCAAAATTGTTTTTTTTTTAGTTTTGGTACAACTGAGCAGAATTACAGATGTTTGATTTCCAAATGGGCAGTAAATTTTTCCCACTCAATTAAATTCTATGGATGTAATATTATTATATATAAAATATACTAACTTACCCTACTGACGATATTTACAATATCTTGAGATCTCTTTATTACATAGCTTGAACTAGCATTATGATCTAAAAACTGAAAGTAGACAAAAAATATCAATTACTAGTTCATATTCAATGTTACTATTTTAGCATTTATTGACTTTCTCAATTTTTAAGCTTTAATTTTTCACAGCTTCATTCATGCTAAAATGTAATCAAATTGATTTATATAACACTAGCAGTTGACCCTGCATAGCATGGGTATAATGATGAACCGAAAGTAGCATAACTCTGAAACAGTAGTATTTAATTTCATGACCACTGTTCAAAAATTAATCATTATACATCAATAATCGATTGGGTTGTTTATTTTTTAACAGTGATCGAGAAATTAAACGCTTGTAAATTGGACACTCATTATCAAATTTGAATGGTCAGTTTTAAACTGGACACAAGTACAAAATAGATGATTTTTCATGATTTTAAACAATTTTTACAAATTTTTAAACAAGATTAAATGATACCCGGGTTACAGTGTTTACTCCCCCACAGTACTGTGGATGAATGAGATCCACACTGACCTGTACTGTTCCAGGGATTCTTCCACTCACTGTTACTACTTTAATAACGAGTTTATTAATTGTAGTCTTGGAATTATCTTTATAAATGCTGAACCATTCAAAGATTCAATTTTCACAATATTGTAATTTACAAGGACTTAAACATACATTATGCAAGAGCTAAATCTGCCTACTGCAGATCTTTCTGTAGGCCTGAAATGTTATATAAACTATTAATTAGACATTAATTAACACTTATCCAGACCATAATCAACTCTAGATGGCATCTTATGTGTCGGATTTTCACTGGATTTGAATCTGTTCTGCTGCTCAGCGCTCATTGATGATTAAATCCAAAAATGGATAACCGAGACTATGTTTTTTATCGTACCGACTTTAGTAATGATGATCGAGTCTAGGGCTAAATTTCAATCGCTTGTAATTCGGTTCAGAGTGGAGCAATTTTCAGCATATTCCCTTTACATTATCTAGTTTTTAACTATTATAGTTAGAAAAGGCAGCTCTTTATCTCATCTTCCATAATGTATCTTTAAAAGTCCATCAAATGAAACTCCGAGAAGTTAATGTTTGTACTCACTGTTCTCTTATCATTAACTAAATATAACTCAACAAATCTGGTATTATCATTACCATCGTAAGGTCCTTTAACACTTCTACGTTTCTGTAAACATTAAGATAAAATAATTATATTATAAACAAACTGGTCCAGGAAAGTATTCAACTACTTGTTATCTGTTTCAACAATAGGTTTAGTGTTGTGTTGTAAATATAGCTCAACTTGTAGAGAACTGCAGTCTTTTTATGCACTACGACCATACATACAGTGTGGAATATTACTATACAAATGTTCAGATTGCTATTATACCAAGTTGCAGTAACAGACTTATCCATTAAACATATATCATGCAAGAGCTAAATCTGCCTATTGCAAGCCTTTCTTTAGGCCTGAAATGTTATCTAAATTATCAATTAGACATTAATTAACTTATCCAGACCACAATCAACTCTCGATGCCATCGCTAGCTTGCGATATTTACTGGATTTGAATACATTTTGTGATGGATGTTTTATCTTCAAAATGGATAATAGAAACTTTAGTAATGATGATCGAGGCTAGGCCTAAAATTCAATTGCTAATATCTCGGTTCAGATTGGAGCAATTTTCAGCATATTCTCTTTACTTTATCTATTTTTTAATTATTATAGCAAAAACTGTCAGCTCTTTATATAATCTTCCATAATGCCCCTTTAATTAATTAATTTCATTAAGATTAACACCATTCATAATAATTCTATTTTATACAAAGTTTTCTTGTTTTAAAATATCACATATAATATAAAACTTACCCTAGAATGTAAATCTCTGGAGTTTATTATAGGGTTAAAGTCCATGTGACTACCATGATCATTACCTAAAGACAATCAAATGAAATGAAATGAAATGGGGTTTAACGTCCTACTGTTTTGCTCCGAACTGGGCTAATGAAGACGGGCATACGCCATACAGTGTGCTATGAGGGAAATTTTGCCCGGACAGCGGCACTACGGCCTACTCTTATATCGAATTCCCACTGTCAAGGGATCTTTTACGTGCACGCCAATGTGTACACAGGACCTCGGTTTTTCGTCTCATCCGAATGACTAGACAGCTGTCCTTGTCAGGCCCTCCGTCCTGCATCACTGACAAGGGGAAACCACGCCGGAAAATCTGGATGAACTTTCTCGGCCAATGCAGGGATCAAACACCCGACCTCCAGGCTAGCGAGCCAGCGCCTTACCCACTTAGCCACCGTGATCCCCTAAAGACAATCAACACATAACATTAATTAGAAAAGAATTAATGATGTCATCTTTCTTCAAATATACAATACAATCATTTCTTCTTTAGATTAAATGAAATAGAGTGTAATGTCCTACTTTTCTGAACCAACTGGCTAGTGAAAAAATGCATACGTTATAGGTTTGCCCAGATAGCATTATTTCTGCTGACTTTTCAGCGGATTCCAACTGTCAAGCTTTTTTTTACATGCACATGTCCCATTGGAAAGATGCGTTTTCCTGTGAAACTTAGCGTGAGTAATTTTGTATATGAATTCCTATAAACAACATGAATAAACAGTTGGATGAGATGGATATAGAACTTTGAAATGTTGCGATTCTTCAAAAAAAAACAAAAAAAAAAGTATCAAGTTTTTCTCGAAGGATTGTACTACGATAACCAGAATATTAGTTGTTCAACAAAACATGTAAGCCTGGAAATAAGGCACCTGTCACAGACAATGGCAGGCACAGATTCAGGCTTTGTCAGACACAAAACCTCTGGTGCCTGTCATTTTGTCCGGCACTGCTTTGTCTTTTTTATTGATATTATTAATACATGTCCGGCACTAAGTTGAAAATGTCAGGTAGTATTTCATTAATGCCTGACATTTTGTCAGGTACATCTAAAACCATTATTTCCAGGCCTAAAACATGAAATGGCTTACTGAATACTGTACTCACCACATTTAAATAAATTCTGTAGTTTATCTTTATCTTTGTATATTCTATGTTGTTTATTATATTCTTCTATATGATACGTATCTATATTATCTGATACTAATCCGTGAATTATATTATCACAAGTACTTATAGCTACTAGAGAATTAACATCACCTCTTACATTACCATGATAAAAACAATGATTATTTACCTGAAACACAAAAAAAATTATATTTGTCTCTTGTAGTAAATTCTTATAATTTCAAACCAAAATCAGTTATATTTTTGGGTTTTTGTTGTCAAACTACAACAATTCAATATTTATCAATAATTTCTTGCACAAATCAGCTATGCTCAGATCAGAATGAGCTCATTTTCAAGAAAAGGAAATTCCTTGTTTTGTTAACATAAGAGTAACATAGCGTCAATTTCATCTTGAATTTGATCACACTTCATATCAATAGTACTATGTCTAATATCAATACTTTATATCAATAGTAGTATACTTTATATCTATGCTGTATATCTATAGTACTATAATTTATATCAATAGTACAATGCTTTATATCAATAGTACAATGCTTTATATCAATAGTACCATGCTTTATATCAATAGTACCATGCTTTATATCAATAATACGTACTACGCTTTATATCAATAATATGTACTATGCTTTATATCAATAGTACTATGCTTAATAGTACTATGCTTTATATCAATAGTACTATGCTAAAGTTTGATAACTACCAAGTGCTACTGTAGATGTTAAGAAAGACTTACTTGAGGTTGATGTTTATGAATACCGAAGGAATGATGGCGTTTTTCTATATAAGAAGAAGAAAACAAATGTCTGAAATAGAAAATAAAACATGTGACTGGAGGTAAATATGATTATCATTTTAATTGAATGTTATATATTTAAATAAGCAGATTTCATAGAATCTTTCCATAAGAGTATATTTTCATAATGAACACCTATTTGAATGAATAATCTTAATAATACGATAATAATAATAATACTTACTTATTTAGAACTAAATCCAGTATAAATCTTCTACCAAATGCTTTAAAGTATATAGTTACATTTCTAATATGTTTATTCTGAAAAATGACAAAATAAATATAATCAAAAACAGCCATCTTAAATTGATTCTTAATTAGTGTGCAATGTTTTCCATTCCAATAAATCAATTACCACTATTTGATGATAAATTTAAGAAAATATCAAAAAATATCAAATGTGGAAAATAAGAATGGAATGGTTATTAATGACATGTCAACACAATGCTTCAATTATTTGGAGACAGGTATGTTTATGTGTGAAATGTGAGAGAGAGGGAGAGAGAGGGAGAGAAATGGAGTTTAACGTTCACTCTCTCTCTTTCTCCTGTCTCTCTCTCTCTCAAACAACTTGACACACTTTGTTTGTCAGCCTTGCCAACTCATCTCCCAACAAGTCAGAGCTGATCTTGAAAAATTGTGAAGTATACTTACACCACGTAATGTCGATGAAATTCTACGTTTTTTATAAAATAATTGTGGTTGAATTTCTTCATAAGTTTTAAATGATTTACTTCCTGGAAACTGTTTTCCTTCAAATAATAATCGTCCATCTGAAAAAAAATAATATATGTATCAGTTTTTATAACAGGTAAGGTCTGGGTATAATTTACTTTCAGAAAGACAGATATTGGGACAATACATGTACATAACATACATGTAACTGTCATTTTAAGAAAGACAGGTTGCCAGTCAATGAAATAAAGGCACACAGCAGACAAATCTTCTAAGCCGTCCATAAAGCTTGTAGTGTGGCATTATCTTTATTACCCGTATTTCTATGGAGGCAACTGGAGCATTTACAAGGATCTAAAAACTGATCAATGGCAATAACACCTGATTACGTTCCTATTTACTGTTTGACTTCCATTCATAATTAACTCAAAAAATGGATAATCGAGACTATGTTTTTTTTTATCCTACCGACTTTAGTAATGATGATCGAGGCTAGCCCCAATATTCAATTGCTAAAATCTTGGTTCATAGTGGATCAATTTATCAATGGCAATAACACCTGATTTATTTACCAGGGGTAATTAAAAATTGATAGACTTCTTTTTAGTGCTATCATAAACAAAACAAGTAATGGAATCTCATTTGATTAAACTCTATTATCCAGACTAGAAACAGATTGTTTTATGTGTGTTTTAATTCTTGAGGGACTCCTTTACTTTAATGTAGCTCTTTGAGCATGCATACATGTAAATGGACTGAATATTAAAGATACATTAGTTTAAGATACATTATGGGAGATTAGATAAAGAGCTGGCAGTTCTCACTATAATAGTTAAAAATTAGATACTGTAAAGGCAATTTGCTGAAAATTTCAGTCAAATTGATTCACTATGAACTGAGATTATGGGAGATAAGATAAAGAGCTGGCAGTTCTCACTATAATAGTTAAAAATTAGATACTGTAAAGGCAATTTGCTGAAAATTTCAGTCAAATTGATTCACTATGAACTGAGATTATGGGAGATAAGATAAAGAGCTGGCAGTTCTCACTATAATAGTTAAAAATTAGATACTGTAAAGGCAATTTGCTGAAAATTTCAGTCAAATTGATTCACTATGAACTGAGATTATGGGAGATAAGATAAAGAGCTGGCAGTTCTCACTATTATAGTTAAAAACTAGATAGTGTAAAGGCAATTTGCTGAAAATTTCAGTCAAATTGATTCACTATGAACCGAGATTTAGCGATTGAATATTTGGGCTAGCCTCGATCATCATTACTAAAGTCGGTAGGATAAAAAACATAGTCTCGATTATCCATTTTTTGATTTAATTATGAATGGAAGTCAAACAGTAAATAGGAACGTAATCCAATAAACATCACAGGCTAGCGATGCCATCGAGAGTTGATTATCGTCTGGATAAGTTAATTAATGTCTAATTAATAATTTTGATAACATTTCATGCCTAATAAAAGACCTGCAATAGGCAGATTTAACTCTTGCATAATGTATGTTTAAGAGTTTAATAAATAGTTGGTTATTCGTGTCATAATAATTCAAAAATAGATGATAAAAAAAGAAAATAATGAAAATTTCATTCAAATTACATGTACTTCATTCTGAGTCATTTTATTACTGTTTGTAGTTTTGACAAGATGTGTGCATGGTGCTAACCAGGGCACTGGTATAATCGGAACTTAGCCTCGCTTTCCCATTATCAAATTAAATTTTTAAATGGCGAACCGTACTAATCTAGTTAAAATCTTGAGTACCTGATGCCATTGAGAGTCGATTATGGTCTTGTTTTGTTAATACATGTTTAATTAATAGTTTATATAACATTTCAGGCCTAAAGAAAGACCTACAATAGGCAGATTTAGCTATTACATAATGTATGTGTAAGCGCATTATAAATATACATCCTCATTATTATTATGTACATGTACATTGTACCAGCAATCAGAGGATATGTTTAGCTATTTGATTAGAGTTGCCTCAGTAACATAAACATCGTGCATTAAGTCAATCAACTTCAGCCTCTAGAGAATGTCTGTACAAGATTATTCAAAGTGATTAAGGAGTAAGGACAGTAACTCTGAAAATCAATAAGTTTGGTCACCTCATGAAAATAATCTCTGTGCATGAGGCTACAACAATTCGAATTTCTGTTCTTTGTGAATTTCTAGGCTGCGACCATCACTGATAAGGATGACATTGATGCGACTTAATGAGCCACAAATATTAAATTAAATTCCAAAACATTTTTTTATGTATTAGAAAAATAAATTAAAACGTTTTAAGTATTAGTAGGTAAAAATTATGTCCTATTTTAGTGTAAGTGGGTATTAAAATGAGTAAAAGGCGCCATTCTGCTCGAATCAGTAACGTCTTACATGTATGTAAACAATGCACGCGCCATTGAGCCAATCATAGACGCCGCGTGAAACAGATTAGGATCTTTTACGGGCACGCCAATGTGTACACGGGACCTGGGTTTTTCGTCCCATCCGACCGACTAGACAGCTGTCTTCCACTACATGAAGATTTGACCAGCTGTAGTGGGAGGTAGCATCAGGGGTCATAAAATGGCTTTTGACCCTATGATGTCACACATCTGACTAACCAATCAGCGTTAATGTTCCTAGTGGGATAACCACACTTCCATTGACCACACAACAAGAACTCACTGCAACTGACCGTTTCATTGGATAATACCTTTATCAACCAGAACACAGGTTAGTTAGTAAAGACAAGACAAACGAAGTTTTGAACTATACACAAAATAAACGGAACAGGATCTGTGCTTTAATCAGATTGCAATGATAGTGAAAGGTGCTTTATTTGCTGGCTTGTATACATGTACATGCATGTCAGTCACAAAATGACCTAGTTTGTCACCCTACTTTTCTCTCTCTCTTCTATGTTATGCCTTTAGCCATGTCTATTTTGGTTATCAAGTAGTTTAATGATGAGTTAACAGCTGTTTGTATCTGTGTTTTAAACAAATATAATAAAAGTTATTATAAGGTGATAATTGGTAATACAGTAACATATTTATACACGTTTTATTCTACTTCTCTTGTTTCCTCATCAATAATCAATCAATCAATCAATACAGATCAATGAACAAACATGCAATGTAAAAGCCATCATTATAAATAGTTTTACTTTACCAAACCTAACCTAATGATTTGGTATATGGATTAGTCATTCTATTTTTACTAGTTTTCTATAAGCCCATGATCATCAATAACTTATTTTCCAACAATATCAGTTCAATATTCAACATTTATTAAGAAAACTAAACCAAAATATCACTGATTGATAATGAAGAGGATGTATTTTACATTCACAAGGAGATATAATTTAATAGCAATTTATTATTTATTTTTCTAATTTAATTGATATTTAATTTCTTTTAGAGCCTAAATTGATCAAATTTCGTCAATTCTTATTTATTATATCTGATTGACACTGTATAATGAATACTAAAGTATAGTTGAAAAACTATTGGAATTGGAATATTTGTGTCAGCACTGAGGAGAGAGAGAGAGGGAAATTGGGTTTAACGTCCACTCGACACAAACTAGGTCATTTTGGGACTAACATATGGTTCAATATTATTTTAATAATTTGCTTGTGCACATAGGGACTTCAGCAGTGGGAGGAAACCAGGGGAACCGGAAAAAACCCATGAGATTGGACAGGCGATCCTACTAGCACTGAGAAGTATAAAAAGTATTATACATGTAACTATGTACAAAAATACTACATCCTCCTAGTCCTATTATACAGTACAATGTACATGTACATGTAGTTTCGATGTTAGACCAACTGCTATTCTACATACAATACATGTATGTGCAATTCATTTTTCTTTTTTTAACTCTTATTTTCTTAAAGAAATATAAATCCAAATCCCACATCTAAGCTTTGTAAAGTGCCACTGGCTGGATTTTGTTGGGCTGTATAAATGAATAAATTATGATTATCATATATAAAGCTCATTTTATCTGGTTGTACAAATCATCAGACCATGACTTGAATACAAAATTTGAACTAAATTCTTTAAATAACCTCTTAAAATCTCTATTCTTTGGAACCTAAAATTGACAAAAATTGGTCAAAAAGCACAATGTGGATGTATATCATGAATTGATTTACATTCCTTTTTTTAACTTTTGTTGTCGTTTCTAAATAGGTTTTTTTTTGTTGTTGACATACCTGTGTACATGAGCAGTCCACACTCAAATGATTGGATGGACCAATAATTTGTGTTTTCAATGTCAAAGAAAGGGATTTATTGAGTTTGAGCTTTACACCCTTTAATTCATAAACCCTTTTCCATCAAAATATGGGGGTCATGGTGGCTAAGTGGGTAAGACGCTGACTCACTAGCCTGGGGATCAGGGGTTGGCTGAGAAAGTTCATCCAGATTTTCCGGCGTGGTTCCCCCTTGTCAGTGGTGCAGGACGGAGGGCCTGACAAGGACATTAGCATGCATGTAAAAGATCCCTTGACAGTTGGAATATATGAGTAGGCCATAGTGCCGCTGTCGGTTCAAAATTTCCCACATACATGTAGCACAATGTACGGTGCATGCCCATCATCATTAGCCCAGCTCGGAGCAGAACAGTAGGACGTTAAAATATAATGTTTTCAAAAAACTGTATGTACATATACACATTCATGTCATTTTAGAATGTATTTGATATTGCCAATGTGTATAAAGATTTATTTATGATAACCTTACGTAAATCAATAAATTAGTCATTTCAAAGTAGGAATAAATCACTTGATGACTATACATTAATAACATGTAAAATAAAAAAAGAAATATTTATTATTAATCCTTTGATAGTCACTGTACATAAGAGAATATCGACATATAATTTCCATGCCCACAAGGCTACCCTACTGTCTTAAACATTCCGCATCCATATTTGCCCTCATAAAATATATTTAGAAGGAAATGACCCTGCCTAGAAACACACTTCAAGAAAGATTTCAAAAGAAAATACTCCTGAACACATATGATATATCGGTTTAAATGAGCCTCCTACTTACATTTAGAATGACACCTGACTCATTTATAAGATATCTCATTAGAACCACAGCCATTTTGAATGTAAATAACTCACAGCATTGTTTTAACTACAGTTGATTAATGATACTGATAAAACATCAAAGAAAATGAAAGTTGAATTATTTTAAAGAAACATAACAAATCTAGTTGTTGATCAGTAATAACAGTACATTTAGACAGATTTGTCAATTTATTGTTGAGATACAGGCATTTTACGATTCTGTATATGCAGCTGTAAATAGTGGGTGTCCTAAACGATGTTTGGGTGTACTTACTTTCAAGAACATCTGATATCACTTCTCAATTGAGGAGTTAACAGATGTTGTAACCGTCTTGTGGTACCGGTAGCCTACTATGGTATTCAAAGATCCGTCTTTAGTGGATAGTTACTACATGTATATACTTACATGTGTGCAAGTCTTGGAAATCAGGCACATGTCACAGACTTTGTCAAGTACAAAACATCACATAATGTATATAAGCCTGGAGATGAGGCCCCTGTCATAGACTTTGTCAAGTACAAAATATCCCACAATGTACATGTATATAAGCCTAGAGATGAGGCACCTGTCACAGACTTCGTCGAGTACAAATTAACACAGCTTGGAAATAAGGCACCTGTCACAGACAACGTAAGGCACAGATTCAGGCTTTGTCAGGCACTAAGCCTCTGGTGCCTGTCGTTTTGTCCGGCACTGATTTGTCTTTTTATTGATATTATTAATACATGTACATGTCCGGCACTAAGTTGAAAATATCAGGTACTATTTCAGTAGTGCCTGACATTTTGTCAGGTACATCTAAAACCGTTATTTCCAGGCCTGAACATATAATTATAATATATACATGTACGTTGTGTGATAATTTGTCTGACAAAGGCTGCGTCCAGGCTCGCAAATCTTATGCCTAAATATCAAGAAATAGGCTACATTTATTTACTTTGTCTGAAACTTTTAGAATGATCTGAAAAAACTGATTATGTAAATCCGACACGGAATTATCATAGATTGAACATGTTGTATGTCAGTCCCAAAAAGACAGATGTATTGTACTACTGTGTTGATGAGTCATTAACCTCCATTCCTCCTATCCTTTTCAAACATCTGGTATAATCTATAGTCAAATTAAATTAAATATGTGTCAACCTACTTTTATAACCTGATTAAGAATCTGACTGTTTTAATTAAAACTAATTAGATCATGTGATTATAATGTCAATTAATTTGGAATACATGTATTTGTACATGTATGATTATATCAGTACATCCGGAGTGACGGATCAAAATTTAACATTTCATAAAACAATAAACATATTTTACTTTTATAAGTTTATTATATGTACCAGTATGTACTAAAAAATCAAAAGACATATGTAACAATAGACATATCATGTATTTAAATAATATTGCATGACCAAATCAAACCAAACTATTCTAATTGTCAAAGTGAGAGTGCATTGATGTTTTTCAGTGTATTTACATGTAATAATAATTAAACTGGGTGATGTGAGGTCAATTGTTTTGCGAATGAACTCAAAATCCTGTCAACATTTTATAAAACGTGAAGGAACTGTATAGTATACATGTAGACTTCATTAACAAGACTGACAATCAAATACATGTACTAATGTACAAATGAGTCTTTATGACAGAAGCTATTATTCTGATAGTAAAATGCACTTCAATGAATCCAGGATTAAAGTAGTACTTCCTCACATAAAAGGATGATGAATCAGTAAAGAGTACATATATAAATGTATACGTAGCAGTTCAATCATTTTTTTTCTGTCACTTGGTCCAAAATAAATTTGTTACCGTACTCAATATCCCAGCTCCTGGTTATGTCCAGCCTTACATTATTTGTTGTTTTCTGTATTTTGTAGATTACTGATATAACATTTTTCTTTACTCTGATGATTCTTACCCCTAGCTATAATTTAAGGACTCTACAGTTAGTTCTGCACCCTGTCCCATGCTGGAAAAACTATATTTCAGCTCAGGGTAAAATAGGAGCCAAATGGTTATAAAGTAGGGGCTCAAAATGTGGCTGAAAAGTTGTGTATCATACATTCCCCTTTATTAACTACATTTTATACACCTTGTACAAGCATCTATAAACTTACATCGTAACTTAAAGGAGCAAAGTCGCCAATATTTGGGACATACAAATTGACACAAATGGGTCGCAACGCATATAATAATGTTATATGAATGTATTTAACCTGATTTAAATTCAGTCCAGTCGTTTTCGTTTTTACTCTAATTTTAAATCAGTTATGTTCGGCGAAATACGCCAGCCAGAAGTCTCAATCGAATGGTAAGCCTTTAATGTCTGGTTATTCCAGTCTACAGTGCTAGTATTTATTGTACATGCTCTCCAGATAAGAATATGACGTAACCGTTGACATGACTTGTGGAATATGTCTAGCCTCATTCTCCGAGTCCCTTGTTACAAAAGGTGCAGAAAAGCATTATGGTACATGTTTTGTGTACCAGTGGTAAAATGTTTATTTTGTCTTAAATATTGGATATCAAAAGCCTATCATTTCCCGGTAAGATCAAAACATCAATGTTGTTTTAAATTGACAATTCGTGTTTTCAATGTCGAAGAATTTGGATAATAATAATACCGTGTTAGAGACTTAGCTACCGTACTTTAAAAGAGCCAGTGTCATATTGGACTGCCTGTGCTTAGTTCATGTACTGTTGGCTGGGCCAGTACAGCACCATCTACATTGTATTACACTCTTTTCACTGGCAGTTTTATGATCTGTTGAAATTTAGTTATTAGCCTACCCAATCAAGGTTTTTAACCATTTGTTTAGCACCATACATGTAGAATATGACCTGTTTCTTCACAGTACATCACTACATGTGTTATGGTTATTTATCATGGGCTTTTGAAAATTACAAATTTGTAATAATTTTCTGTGAGTGTGACACAAGATCTAAATATCAATATTATGGCTCTCAAATTTTGATGCCTGGCAATGGCTTTTTACAAAGTCTAGACTAAATTTTTTAAATTCCTTGTATTGTTTCATAATTTTTGGAACTATCAATACACATGTAGGCCTACTTACAAATGTATTAAGGCCTGTATCTTTACAATTTGGTTTTTCATCAGATTAATATTTAAAATTTGTAGACCAACCCTTAATCATAATAATCTATATGGGATAGACACATACCTTTGGCTTTACCATAACAAATGGATTATTTGATAGATTTGAGACGATTGTGACCTCCTTTCAGGAACCGTCGTCTTTGAGACTTTCTCGAATCGATTCCAAAGTAATTTTTGCGTTCCACATAAAAATAACACTTATACTGTACCTTCGTGGTGTTGTGTGGCAGCTAACGTTAGTGTATAAGTCAAACTTAACACAGTTAAATAGCTAACTGTCAGCTCCATTTCTTCATTATGCTCACATTACTTCAGGAGTGGATTGAATTAGTCACGGTTAACAAGATATAAGATTCCAATATTAATAGCGACGAAACAAAAACAGACTGGTATGATCAAGATACACTTCCGATAATGCCCACTTCCGATTTATGCCATTCGGCTCACCAGATCCGAAGCGTGCCGGATAACAATACGTCACGAAATAGAGCAGGTGCTCTTTTAACCCAGTTTTGATTATTCTATTGTTCATTGACTAACGCGCGGTATTTAAAATTAAAAACAAATATGTTATTTTATCATTTCATAACAAAAGAAGGGAAATTCAACATTTGGTAAATTTTCTGTTTAAATGGAATGATCGTGATTAACTTGAGGAATTTAGAACCCATTGTAAACTACAATGTTTTAAAAGGAATATTAATCCAAAATACTTAAAGGGGCAAGTCGCAAACTCAATGTCATCTACAGTCTTCAACATTGCAAACATGACTCATTGGTCGATCTAAATCAACATTGATGTTCAATACACAAAAACTCATAAGTAGCTGTTTTTCCATAAGTATAAGTAGCTGTTTTTCCATAAGTATGTGTTTTTGTGTATTGCTCTATCCAGTTACTAAATGCCTCTAAAAGATTAATACATTGATGTTGTTATTGTACCGTGAAAAGATGGGCTACTAATATCCAATATTTAAGACAAAATGAACATTTTAACATTATTGCTGTAGACTGGAATGACCAGACCCCAAAGACTGACATTCAATTTGGACTCTTTGCGTATTTCACCGAACATAAACTGATTAGAAATTACAGTAAAAACAGAAACGATTACATGTATATACATTCATAATACATTATTGTATGCATTACGACACATTTTTGTCCATTTCTAGGTGCCACAGAATAGCGATATTTATGATGAACTGAAAATTTCTTTTGAATCCAAGACAGGATTTTCTACCCACAATGATATGCCAGTAATCAATTTGAATAAATTTTAGCATGGATTTTAATAAAACCAGTTTTTGCAAGATTGTAACATATAGGGTCCATGATTCTACAAAGTAAACAAGTGATTAACTCTGGTAGAAATACATGTAATAAATGGAAAGTGTTGAAATTATATTAGACCACAATAATCTGAACAATGCATATAGGTCAGTAGATTGAAGATCACAATTTTATTCCACAAAGTGAGCAAAGGGCTGTAATTCTGTAAGTAATTGACAGAAACTGTTGAAATATAATGACTTAAGTGCAAGCCAATGTAAACACAGGCCCCCCCGTCCTGAACCACTGACAAGAAATAAACCACACTGAAAAGTCCTGAGGGAATTTCTCAGTAAACACCAGGATCAAACCCATGACCTCCTTGTTAGTGAGCCAGCTCCTTACATATCTAGCAGAAACCTGGCGCTGAGGTTTATCATGAGATTTTCTTTTTTTTTTTATAAAGAAACTCAATACTTTTCACTTGTATATCGTTTAATATGATTGTAACATGAACACATTGTATAACATCATTATTATTCACCGTAATTATTGAATAACATCATTATTATTCACCGTAATTATAATATAGTATGATTATAACAGAACACACTGTATAATACCATCATAATTACAGTGAATTATAATATATAGTATGATTATAACACATTGTATAACATCATTATTATTCACCGTAATTATAATATAGTATGATTATAACAGAACACACTGTATAATACCATCATAATTCCAGTGAATTATAATATAGTATGATTATTACACGAACACATTGTATAACATCATCATAATTACAGATTATAATATAGTATGATTATTACACGAACACATTGTATAACATCATCATAATTACAGATTATAATATAGAGGATGCATATATAGTATAACAGAAACAAGTTGTATAACATTATAATTACAGTGAACTATAATATAGATCACGATCAGGGCTGTATTAATATATAGTATAACACCTCAGTTTATATAAATGTTGAATATAATATTGTTAAATTGTCTTGCTCATGGATGTACTATAAATGGAAGGTTGTTATTCATTATTGATCATTGCTTGATAAAGATACCTGTAAGAGGATTGAAACATTGCATGTAATAAACCAAGAAGTAGTAAATCCATAAAGTTGTGTTATTATGAAGCTGAATACTTCACAGTACATATTGATATTGAATAACACTATGATTGAATAACACTATGATTGAATAACACTATGATTGAACCGAGAAGTGAACCAGTTCCTTACTCACTGAGCCACCTTGGCTCTGATTTAATATAAAAGCTTTGGTCTAATGTACGTAATTGCTGTAAATAGTGATGAAAGAACAAGGGTTATGTTAATGCTGTATATATATTGGTCTATGCAAGAACAGGGATTATGTAAATGCTGTATATATTGGTCTATGCAAGAACAGGGATTATGTAAATGCTGTATATATTGGTCTATGCAAGAACAGGGATTATGTTAATGCTGTATATATTGGTCTAATGCAAGAACAGGGATTATGTAAATGCTGTATATATTGGTCTATGCAAGAACAGGGATTATGTTAATGCTGTAATATTGGTCTATGCAAGAACAGGGATTATGTAAATGCTGTATATATTGGTCTAATGCAAGAACAGGGATTATGTAAAAGCTGTATATATTGCGTATTAGTAACAAATGGCAGCTTTGAGCTTACATATAGCCAAATGTTGTGTTTATATATACATGTAGATAAATGCTGTGTTTATATGGTATATTGATATAGCATTGTAAATGAATTTGGAAGAAAACCTTCATTTTAAATAAATGTAGTTGGAAGAAAATATTCATTTTCAATGATAACATATCTTAAGACTTGATATTACACATGCAGAAACAATAGAAACATAATACACAACAGTATGACAAAGATAATAAAGTAAGGTCTTAATTAAACAAATAAAAGAAGTTCCCCATTAAAATAAATGGCTAATAAAGATGGGCACATGCCATCCAGTGAGCTATAAGGGAAGTTTTCCTCCGACTACGGCACTATGGCCAACTTTTATTTTAATTTATAACTGCTAAAAATATGATTAACATTGATATGGGTTAACCATTAAATGGTCACACAAACACGACATGGTGTTTTATTTTTAATCCATTTCACTGAAGATTGGGGAAATGGGAAATGGTCAATATCTTTTTCAGACATTTTGCTATCACAAGGTTGACAAAATAAAAGCAAACTTGACATAAATGCATGAATCATCTTATCAAGACAACAAATTTACATTTCACATATAAAAAAATATCTTAAATATTAAATATTCAAGATACAAACAGAAAGCACTGATCAAATTCAACACTATAGTATAACATACAACATGGTTTTATTTCAATATATCAATGTGAAATGAAATGTGGTTTAACATCTATGTCTTTTCTGGGAATATGTCATGCTTGTGCTATGAGGGAGGTTTTGCCCTGACAGTGGAGCTTATTGTTTACTCTTATTTTGATGACTGTCCGGGGATCTTTAACGTGCTGTCAATAGTATGTACACATGTAATATTGGTTTTTCATTCCATTCAAACAATTAGACACTCTTCCTGGACCACTGCCCAAAGGATCTTTCTTGGTCATGTCCACTCAACACAAACTAGGTCATTTCGGGACTAACATATGGTTTAATTTTATTTCAATAATTCCCTTGCGCATTGGGGTCTTTAGCAGTGGGAGGGACCTGGAGAAAACCCATGAGGTTGGACATGCGACCCTACTCCTCATCACGTACAACCTATCACCCGAATGAACACGCGGTCTCCTGGTTCGTGTTAATGAATCAGCAACATACTAACCAGGCACCATGGCTTCCAGAAGTTTGAAAAAGACTACTGGTAAAAAATACAAAATCTTTTGAAGTCAAAGTCAAAGTAATCCTTAACTAAATCACACCAAAAAAACAAAAATACTTTAATGGCACAAATTACAAAATAAAAAGAATAAAAAAACAACATAAAACAATCTCAAAACTCAAGAAAATAAGATCTAAGACTCATCTAATTGACTCTTGAACACTGAAATTACGTCACATGTTTAAAACAATATATTAAAACATCCACATAAAATAATGCTGATAATCAGAAAGCATCAATTTCTAAACTGTAGCAATAAAAACATTTTAGCACTAGAATTTGGAAGAACAAAAACATATGGATGATGAATAAAAAATAATAATTGTAACATCTTTATCAAAATATTATGTCACTATCTTCGCAGTAACTGGTAAAATTTCAGCCGATAAAACTAAATTTTGTACAAGAAACCAGCAAGTATGATATCTTGTAATTGTTAACATATGATATTATAATGACATACATATTGCAGCCCTGGAATTAATGATTTTAGTTGTCCCTGAAAACTGTTTTATTTTCATACAAAAAAAAACATAATATTTTTGTGTGGTATTTATAGGTTGCATGCATATATCTTGAAATAACAATTTTAGTTTTACCTGACTAAATGTGAGGCACTAATCATCTAGTACCTGTACCATTAAAAGCACAGATAAAGGATAAATCTGCATCAGACAAAATGTCTGGCACCAGAGGAATTGTTCCTAACAACGCCTGAACTGGTGCATTACAATGTCTGTGACAGGTGCCTTAATTCCAAGCATGATATTATTTAAAGCTCATTTGTGCTGTATATAACATATTGCTAATATACATTTTAAAATCAAACTCTTCAAAATTAAAAGTCTTTTTAATCAAGACACCATACCATGGAATGTAGTAAATTAAATGTCTGTGTGTCCTAGTCTACATATCAAGAAGATTTCTGATATCTTGCACACGATTAGCACGTCTTTCATTGGCTGATTGTTTTTTAGAGAAAGCCCCTTGCATTAATTCTCGTTTACGATCCTGTAGTTCCAACATCTTTTCTTCTACGGAATCTTGAACAATAAACTGTAATATATTACACAAAATAAGAAATAATTAAAAATAAACTGGTTCCATTAAGAAATGAAATGAAATGGTTTTTTTTAAATGTCCTTCTTTCTCAGCCAACAACGGAAGCGAATCCGCAACCTCCAGACTAGCAAGTCAGCATCTTACTCACTTAGCCACCGTGGCTCCCTTGTTCCTTTAAGAACACAATGAGTTAGTATTTAACCCTAGACTATATAAAATACAAAGCAGGGTGTTCAAAGAAAATTGTTGTGGATTGTTAAAGATACATTATGGGATATTCGGTAACGAGTTGGCAGTTCTCACTATAATAGTTAAAAAGTAGATAATGTAAAGGCAATTTGGTGAAAATTTCATTCAAATTGATCCACGATGAACCGAGAACTAAGCGACTGAAATTCCCATAAGCCTTGGTCATCATTACTAAAGTCAGTACTATAAACAGCATAGTCTCGATTATCTATTTAATCGTTTAATCGAGAAGGAAAGTTATGCAGTAAATCGGCTTACAATCCACTAAAGATCGCAGGCTAGCGCTGCCATCTAGAGTGAATTATGGCCTGGATAGGTTAATTAATGTCTAATTAATAATTTAGATAACATTTCAGGCCTAAAGAAAGACCTGAAATAGGCAGATTTAGCTCTTGCATAATGTATGTTTAAGTGATTTGTCATCAAGTAGGACTGATCAAGCTGGATTATCAAGTTCTAAATCTTAATATGAAAAACATACATTAAAGCAAGAATTTCATATTTTCAAAGAAAGTCAAAACATAATTATTTCTATGTCTTTTGCTAAAAAGGTTGTTGGATATTCAGCGCTTTATAAATAGATTATTATTATTATTATTATACGATCATAGGTATCATTCTCACACTTAAAAATCATTCAACCCAATAGAATAGCTATCTTAAACGTTTGAATTTGAAGTTGAAAATGCTATTTTTGCCAATTTCTCAACTGGCAATAGTGAATTATAGGATTAATAGGATTATTCTTTAACAAGGTAGGACTTTTTATAGATACCATCTATTTTAAGGCTTTATTTTGATACATTTTAAAAATATAACTTAAAAATATGAAATTGCAACTTTAATGAAATGAAATGGGGTTTTACGTCCTACTGTTCTGCTCCGACTGGGCTAATGAAGACAGGCATAAGTCATACAGTGTGCTATGCCCTACTCTTATATCAAATTCCAACTGCCAAGGGATCTTTTACGTGCACATCAATGTATACATGAAACTTTGGTTTTTTGTCCCATCCAAAACAACTAGACAGCTTTCCTTGTCAGGCACTCCGTCCTGCACCACTGACAAGGGGGAACCACGTCGGAAAATCCTGATGAACTTTCTCGGCCAATGCATGGATCGAACAGGCTAGCAAACATCCATTAAGTTCAAGGTGAACAACTATCTACATAATGTCCAGGTATAAATTTAATTAAGTAAATTAATGGAATTTATATTGCAAAGTATAATATCAGTCCATAAATAGTTTTATTCTGTTCAGTATTAACAAAGATATGATGAATTGAAAATTTGTAAACATCACATCCGGGCCCAAAAATTCTTAATTATATACTAATGTCCAAAAGAAAGTATACACTGTGCATTTTGTGCTGCATCAACCAAAGTGGTTTTTCCATGGTATACGGTATTTGGGTAGAATGTCAATTTGTTTCAAATTTTTATTTTGCTTAGAAATGTTGAGTTTGGACGCAAGAGACAAACTCAGTAATGCTTTATCAAATTTTTTTAATCTAAACAAAACTTAGTCATACTTTTAGTGTGTATACTTTCTTTTGGACATCAGTATATGTTAAATAACCAAGTGTTCAGGATGAATTTAGCCGTGAAGAATCAGAGACTGTAACAGTGGAGAAAAGGGCTTAGTAATGTATTTTGATTTACATATCACATCTACTATCTGCATACCTTGGTAATGATAACATCTCGTTTCTGTCCTAATCTGTGACATCTGTCAAAACATTGTTCCTCAGCTGCAGGGTTCCATGCCTGAAAATTTAAATATTCTTTTTAAAGTTTCATTTTAAATGAACTGAATGAGGTTCAGCTTTCTTTTTATTTCCCCCTGCACAATCAGTGTTAATGAAGATAGGTATATGCATTGTTTTTGCCCACTTTTCATCGAAATCCAAAGGCCAAGGGTTCTTTTACATGTACATGAGGCCACAGTTTTTTGGTCCATCCAATAGACTAAACACTTGTAATAATAATAAAATTTTTCCGTCACATAATGAATATTTGCTATTGGTCGGTATTAACACCAGATGACTGTGCTTATTGGTATTCTAGGCTGTCCCAATAATAGAATCGGGGTCAGTCACTAGATGCCAGATACTGAAAAGGTTAATTTAGGATATAATAACATAACTTTATGAATAACAATCACTATATTATTTCACGGATAACAATCAATCTATGGGTAACAATCAATCTGTGGATAACAATCATTCTAGTAGATAACAATCAATCTATAGATAACAATCAATATAGTTATATGGACAACAATCAATATAGTTCTATGGACAACAATCAATATAGTTCTATGGACAACAATGAATCTATGAATAACATATGGTTCAACTTCATTTCAATAATTCGTTTGCATGTAGGGGTCTTTAGCAATGGGAGGAAACTGGAGAACCCAAAAAGGTTGCACAGGCAACCCTACTCATTGTCACGTTTAACCGGGGAATCGAAACCACGCCACATGACTCAATGACAGACCCTATAATACAACGCATAAGAGCTAACCATTCGGCCAACTGTGTTGTGTTATATACTATTCAAAAAAAGTAGGGGATATTTGATTTTTAAGTGTTATTAAAGTCACCTAATGAAACTGACGAAGAAACAAATGACAAAATGAAATGAAGTTCACATTCATCGATTTATTCCAAATGATCGTTAGACTAAGTAAGGCACAGACTGACCATTATAAGGGTAAAATGATACCTGGGGTCAAACAGCAAAGTTACCACAGCATCACAACCAAGTCAGTAACGGGTAAATCTTCCTCTGTTTGCCAAACAAGCATTGATCCGACGTGGCATACTCCTAATGAGACGTCTAAGGTCATTTTGGTCCAGATTGTCCCATTCCTGTTGCAACGCAGCAAGTTCTTGGACATTGGCAGGACGTTGTTGACGTTGACGTAACCTCTGTCCAAGCATGTCCCAGACATGCTCGATGGGGGAGAGGTCGGGACTCAGTGCTGGCCAAGGTAATGTGGTGATGTTCTGTTGTTGGAGGTAACCTGTAACGATCCTGGCCCTGTGACATCTTGCGTTGTCATCCTGGAAGATGAAACGGCGGCCATGATGTCGTGCGAACGGCACAACATGGACTGCCAAGATGTTGTCCCGGTAGTACTGGCCTGTAACACGCCCTGCAACAACATGTAAAGCCGTTCTTCCAGCAACAGTGATGCCTCCCCACACCATAACAGAACCACCCCCAAATCGATCATGTCTGATGACGTTAACGTCTTGGAAGCGCTCGTTTCGACGACGCCACACCCTCCTACGTCTGTCCAAAAAATCAACAGTGAACCTTGACTCATCTGAAAACATCACATTGCTCCAGCGTCGATTATCCCAGTGTTGACGATCCCTACACCAACGACGTCTTGCCTGAATGTGATGATCTCTCAAACAAGGGATCACGCGAGGACGTCGGGCGCGAAGGTGACCCCTATGCAGTCGATTCCGAATCGTCTGGCCACTCACTCTCACACCAGTGTCTGTTTGAAGACGAGCGCTGATCTGATTTGCTGTGATGACACGATTTCTCAAGGCCAAGGTACGGATAAATCGATCCTGGGCTTGAGTTGTCGCCCTTGGTCGACCTGAGCGTGGTCTGTCCTGTACAGATTGTGTATCACGGTATCTGGACCATAGCCTGCTTATGACAGACTGAGAAACATTCATCGTCCGCGCCACAACCGCCTGTGTTGTGCCGATCTGTAGCATGCCAAGGGCACGTAACCTTTCATTTTGGGTAAGCCGACGCATATCAAAATTTGTTTTCTGGTCACTAAAACAATTAAACTGATGTTTCCACCCTGGAATTCAATGCCACAATGACTGTAACATTCAAAGTCAGAGTCGTGCAAATCTTGGGTTGGACCCCCATGATGATCCCAAGCATCACCTGCATTCCATGCGGTAGCTATTGGTGCGTTTGGGTGTCACATGTAACTGGAAATGTTTCTTCTGTTAGGTTCTATAGTGACTTTTTTCGTAGTCATTTGCATATTTTAGTATTATGCCCCCAAAATCAAATATCCCCTACTTTTTTTGAATAGTATATTATGTTCAATCACTAAATTACATTTAAAGATTACTTACAGGATCCATAAGGAAGACGCGAGAAGCAGCTGTAAGATTTAAACCGATACCACCAGCTTTAAGAGAGAGTAGAAATATAGTCGGTGAGCCAGGGGATGGATCCATAAAGATGTCTATATTTTCTATTCTTTTTTTATTCGTCATGGTACCATCTAATCTCGCAAACTTAAAACCATTAAGTCTAAAAATATAATTATCAAATAAGTATGTTAAAAGCGAGGTATAAGGGTATTGGAAGGTAAAGTGGTCATAAACAGTTCAGTTTAAAAAATTCACTGGTTCATCAATTAGCGATAACATCGAAGTCACCAACTCGACAATTCAATATCTTATTCTACACAGCTTAATCGACACTGAAATATACTCACAACTGATTATATACCATATAATTAAGAAAACAAAATCGACATATCAAGGGCAGATAATTGCCAAGGTGAATCTATTCAGGAAGATTATTTACCTTTAGCGGTGGACACATTAGCTGAATCATTCGGCTGAATCGTTTGGCATTAAATTTTATTTGGCCGAATGGGTGGACATACTAGGCGAATCATTCACCCGATTCACCAGTTGATTGCATCATCTTTCACATCACATGATTAAACATGGCTGCGACCATGTCTTCAAATGAAATCTACAGTCGACACACTAGGTGTATTTCGAAGCCGAACGATTCCGTCGAATCTTTCGGCTAGTGTGTCCACCGCTTTTGATATTTTTGTTTTCTTTATTAAATGTTAAATAACCAACTTGAGTACATTTCAGTGTGGATTAAACCGTGAAAAAATAGATATCGTTCAAGAAATACAAATATAGACTTGTGGCTTTAAGAAAAGTAATCCATTAAAATTTAAGTACAAATTATAACTTACTTGAGGGGTATTTCGATCAGATTTAATAAAGATGTGAACTGGGAGACAATAATACTCTTCACTGTAGGATCTTCAGATCGAAGGTTAACCAATGATTTTAATAAAGCATCCACCTATGGGTAAAAAAGGTTGTTAAAGATAGATTGCCTGGCAGTAAAACAGATAGGCCAAGAACATTCTATTCCAGTGCATCACCTAAATTAGGCCTCCCAATGTGAACAGAGAGGCTTTAAAACACCCATTTTTTTTTCTACTCATCAACATTATTTGTGTACAAAAAGAAATGGCACCCTTTCAATCACACTCAGTTGAAAGATAGGTTTCCAGGCAAAAAAACATATGCCAACAGTCATTGACTTCTAAAGTAATTTGTATTCCATATAATTGTGTTGTGTTAAAAATCATTAGGGGTTAATATTATGGTATAACCACATGCTTTGAATTTCACGCGCTCAAGATAAGCAGCGGTTGATAATAGCTGGCGATAATCTTTATAGTTTGTGTCAATGTGGAAGTCTGATAGCAACCTATTTCCACGCTTGTACTTCAGAATAAAACCTGTGGGGTCTGCTGTTGCTATCTACTACGGAATTTTTGGAAATTGTTGAAAAGTTAATAAGCTTCTTCAACTCATGAACATAAACTATGTACATAATTTCCAGGTCAATAGTATGACACCGTTAGCCTCTAGATCTCCCACAAGCAAATTGTTTACAACAGAGGGACAAAATGAAATGGATGAACTTTGTCGGCCAATGCAGGGATCGAACACCCGACCTCCAGGCTAGCGAGCCAGCGTTTTACCCACTCAGCCACCGTGGCCCCCCACCAGGGGCACGAAAAGAGATGAGAGTGTAAATAAAGTAGCCAACAAACCTTACTACTGGACTGATAATTTTCATCAGTAATAATCAGATTATCTTGTATTTGGTCTTGTTCTTTTGGTACTTCTATTAATTTATCTTCTTTTAGTTCACCTCTACATAGAGGACAAGCTGCATTCGGCTAAAATACAATACATATTATTAATATTATTACAGCATATTTATAGTGCGCCCTTTCATGTAACATGTTCAGGGGCACTTTACAAAGTGACAATGTAAATCATACATAAACAACAAGATTATGGACATGGTAACGATTGTATAGAGAGTCAGTTAAAAGCCTGATAAATTAAATGTGTTTTAAGTTGTTTTTTAAAAGAATATGGAGATGTATAACATCTTAATCAAAATGGTAGATTATTCCATAAAACAGGTGCTTGATAACTAAAAGAGCGCTGACCATAAGAGACTAGTTGAACTATTATTTATATTATTGTTAACAAGTTATTCATTCCTCTATCAATCAACCATACTACCCCACAAACCTATAAACTCTCAGATTACCCCAAGACAGATGGGTACATAACCAATGTTCTAGAGTCTTGTCTGCGGCCATATCTGTAGTGTTTACCTTCTTTGCTCCAACCCCCTTCGTTCTGTATTAAGAGAGATGTCCGGGGACAAAACTTTTGCTTTGATCCCAGCATAGAACGAAATGTCAACTCTCCCTGTTCGAAAAGCTCCCCGCACCACCATTCCACACGGATCCCACCTCTCTATTGAAACCCTCATGTTTGATTTGCTTAACTAAGCCCCCTTTTATCAATGGATACCCTGTAATATTGAGTACCGTTATTTTAAATATAACTCCTACTTACGTTCCCTACATTGATGACGTTAGTAATACAAGCTCTACAATATACATGAGCACAGGGTGTTATAACAGGAGACGTTAAACTCTCTAAACATATAGGACATTCTTCATCAGACCCAGAATTTAATACATCCATCAACGCATCTATTAACTTCTTCTTAGTTTCATCATCAACTTCTACTGTTGGACCATTCTTAGTCATACCTAACATTTCTGTAAATTAAAGTAAAATCTTTTATCATAACAAGCCAGCTGTGAGTCTTAAACCCAAAATAAATAGATGATATCCATTAATTACTTGCACACTTATCTTTTCATAAAGCATCGAACAATTAAATTATGAAACAAAACAATTACACAAAGAACATATACAACATTCTAACTCGATCAGAAGCAGAGTTTTATTGTATTCCAAAACATACAATGCCCCAACCCAAAAACCTAAATATCTGCACTAGGAAATGCTTTCCATACATTTCCTAATCTTTTTCCTGGGGTAATAATCTCTCTCCCCAAAAAAAGACTAAGGCTACGCCAAGGGACAAGAAATTGGACATGCATTTATTTTGAACATTTGCATATTGAATGACTTTTGATATGACATCACATATCTAAGATGGTTACGATGACCTCAAGAACCATAAAGGTCGGTTCTCGGTTCAAATAGTATGATAGTATGTTCATATTTATTTGAAATACTAACCCATAGCTCTTTGAACTCCATGAGCAGCTTTAGAACATAACATAGGATGAATACACAACTGACGTAATCGTAATAATATGGCTAATACTTGACTATAATGATGTAATAATGTACCTTCCTGAAAATATCTGAAAGAGAACAAACATGTTGCAATATTAAACACAAGTAGTCCGATATATAATATATTAATCTTAAAAAGCATTATTAATAGGGGAGAGAGAGAGAGAAATGGGGTTTCACATCCACTCAACACAACCTAGGTCATTTCGGGACTAACATATGGTTTAATTTTATTTCAATAATTTGCTTGCACGTAGGGGTCTTTAGCAGTGGGAGGAAACCGGAGGACCCGTAGAAAACCCACGTACAACCAGGGAATCGAAACCACGCCAGTTGACTCAATGACAGACTTTACGAGACAGCGCGCACACGCTAAGCATTCGGCCATCCAACCCCCGTTATCCAAATAAGACACATGCCTCAAAAAATTAAAATAGAGCAAAGCATATATTTTACTTTTGCATGCAAAAACCTTAAATAATAATCGATACATTTTCTTATGAATTCTTTTTAAACGTAAAATAACTACGAATGAAAACAAACCTGCTGATGATAAGTTTTCCCTCTGTTTGCATAGCACTATAAAGTTTCCTTTCATCTTCTGATAGAGTTACATGTTCCGTAAATACATCGCGGGCAGGTAACTCTACTAAAGCTTTACCGTTAACTTGTTGGTTTTTGGTTCGTCGTAAAGCTATATTAGCCATCAGAGCTTGAACTCGTCTACAAATTAATACATTATAATCATTAATTATTAAACAAATACTTCCATTTTAAATAAGTATTGTTCAAGCCACAATATTACAGACTAAAACACGGATAAAAAATACAGACCATACATACATGTAATAGAAATTGCAAAGACCACTAAATCATAACTGATTAGCATTTAGATGCAATTTGCTCATAATAATCAGTGAAAGAGAAAGACTAACATTCTAATTTTTAGTTATATTGTACACTTTCAGCGCACATGTCTTTAGCAGTGAGAGGGAACAAGATGACCTGGAGAAAGCTCATGATGTTGGGCAGGTGGCCTTATTCCTTGTCTCATACAAGCATGGGATCAAACCTATGACAAGAACTAAAGAGTACATGTTACACAGCCTAGTCACTTAACCTTCTTTTGGCATATAAAGAGAGAGAGAGAGAGAGAGAGAGAGAGAGATTGCTTGCGCGTAGGGGTCTTTAGCAGTAGGAGGAAACCGGAGGACCCAGAGAAAACCCACAAGGTTGGACAGGCGACCCTACTCTTTGCCACATACAACCGGGGATTCGAAACCACGCCAGTCGACTCAATGACAGACTGTATAATACAGCGTGCGCACGCTAACCAGTCAGCCATCCAACCCCCCTGGCACATAAAGAATCAAAGTAATCCTCCAACAATCTTCCTTGGATAGGTATACAGTAAACTGTCAGATTCGTATAAGTCAGATTTGTATAAGTCGGATCTTCGCTCAACTCGAATAAAATCGTTTGGACCCTTTGATTCTGCATGTTTTTCGTATTAAATTTCTGCGCGTAAGTCAAATTTCTTAAATCGGAACATTGCTCATCTTGGATCAAAATGTTCGGTCAATTTGAACTAATTCCGTCTTTTTTCCTTCGTCTAAGTCGGATCAGCAGTATCATTCAGAATTTGACTAAGTCAGTTTCGTACCGATGGTCTAAAACGCGGTTAGGTATTCCAGGCACAGCGTCCCAAAATACTTTTCCCTATCATTTGGACTCAAATGAGCATATTTGATGCGACACAATAATAGAATTTTCCTGGAAAATTCGAAACTCAATGTCGGCTGTACAAGACATTTTTCAAAGATAGCGACAAAACAGAAGTTATCTACTCACACCAAAATGGAAGTTATCTACTCGCACCAAAATGGAAGTTATCTACTCGCACATATGAACAAAAGCTTGAAATGTGCCTTTGAATCAATTATTATCTGGCTCTTGCAGTTTATTTCTAATCGAGCTAAGACCGAATTTTGGTCTTTGGCTAACTCAGATCTTCACTTAGATCAATCCACTTAGATCCATCCGACTTATGTTAAGTTTACTGTATAGGATTTGATAATCAACACAAGCATATAACCGAATTTAATTCTTACTTTATAGCTGTTTCTTCTCCAAGAGCTATTGGACGTTCTATTGTTCTAATCCACCATTGCGGATCAGTTAATGGACTGATCTTGAGAAAGTTGACCAATGAAAACAAATCTTTGATAGAATTTTGTATAGGTGTTCCTGTAATATGTACATATCAAAGATTATTACAAAAAAACAGTTTATATACATACACATACACACTAGCGGTTAACACGGCGTGGCATGGGTTTAGCCATGAACCGAAAGTAGCATAAAGTATAAAAATTACCTGTTAACACCCATCTTCTTTCAGCTTTTAATTCCAATATGGCCTGACACATGACAGTTTTCGCATTTCGTATGTAATGACCTTCATCCAGGATAATCCTCAACCAATGAACTTTCTTTAAAACTGAATCAGTACTCTACAATAATAAGTAACTATTACCTTAAAAAAGTCAAATAATTAAAATAATTGTATTTTTATTGTATTCAATGTTAAAATATGGTCACATACAAGACTATTACGCCTAGAGCCGAATTTCTTTGTATAAACACTCATTAATGAAAGAGAGAGAGAAATGGGGTTTAACGTCAACTTGACACAAACTTGGTCATTTTAGGTTAGGCTCATGGGAAGAAACCAGAGAACCCGGAGAAAACCCACAAAGGTTGGACAGGCGATCCTACTCCTTTTCATGTACAACTAGGAAATTGAAACCACGCTAGTTGATCCAACTTATTCCTCTAATGAACATCAAGTATGAACATTCTATCTCAATTAGAAGTAGAAAAAAAAGCTAATGAATGAGTCACTACAAGAACATTTTTATACTGTGTGCTCAATTTTCATAGCAACAAAAAGTAGGGCAATGTAGGAAAAACAGAATCTTAACAAAATAGTAGAAATAGGAAAGAGAAATATTTCTTACTTTAAAATCGGAAGCGACTGTTCCGTACGTTGATATTACAATATCCTGTGATTCCAGTAAATTATTATCTGTTGTTCTATTTATACCATAAAATGTATAAATCTCTAGATGAACATCACGTCTTAAATGTTCTTCAAGCTGACTCTACAAAAATATAAATAATAGCTAAATTATTACTTGTTAAAATCCCAGCATCAGTTGGTTTTCTGTGGTACCACTTCTCCCAAGATTCGATCTGAATTATGTTGACTCTATCTTTATAACAAGGAGTCGCCGCAGTGGCTTAGTGAGTAAGACATTGGCTTGTTAACAGGAGCCACGGTGGCTAAGTGAGTAAGACATTGGCTTGTTAACAGGAGCCATGATAGCAAAGTCAATAAGACAATGGCTTGTTAACAGGAGCCATGGTGGCTAAGGGAGTAAGACATTGGCTTGTAAACAGGAGCCACGATGTCTAAGTGAGTAAGACATTGGCTTTTTAACAGGAGCCACGGTGGCTAAGTGAGTAAGACATTGGCTTGTTAACAGGAGCCACGGTGGCTAAGTGAGTAAGACATTGACTTGTTAACAGGAGCCACGATGTCTTAGTGAGTAAGACATTGGCTTGTTAACAGGAGCCACAGTGACTAAGTGAGTAAGACATTTGCTTGTTAACAGGAGCCACGGTGGCTAAGTGAGTAAGACATTGACTTGTTAACAGGAGCCACGATGTCTTAGTGAGTAAGACATTGGCTTGTTAACAGGAGCCACAGTGACTAAGTGAGTAAGACATTGGCTTGTTAACTGGAGTCATGGTGGCTAAGTGAGTAAGACATTGGCTTGTTACCTTGAGCTACGGAGAGAGAGACAGAAATGGAGTTTAACGTCCCCTCGACACAAACTAGGTCATTTCGGAACTAACATATGGTTTCTAATTTTATTTCAATAATTCACTTGCGCGTAGGGGTCTTTAGCAGTGGTACGCAATATCATGGGTTCCACCACAATTTCTGGTGTGAGAATGTCGCTTCTAATAATGTTATAGTGAAGCTCCTCTATATAATAGTTTCTTGCAGCCCTGGTTTAACCATAATGCAAAATAAGCACATGCTTAGAGCACCAGCAAAGTTTTTTTTGTGAACTTCAATATCTGCTTAGAAGTGAAGTCCCTGCATAAGCTACATAATTTATCATATTTTGAGATAAAATTAAAATAATCTTACCACCCAGTTATTCATGACAGAAAGAGGACAGACTATTAATGTTGTTCGTGGTCCACAAGATTTTATCCTACCAGTTGTAGAATCACACTTACTCATCACTGAAAATATAAAATATAAATTACACACTGGTCTGTCAACTCATCACGGGATATATAAAATATCACACACTGGTCTGTTAATTCATCACTGGAAATATAAAATATCACATTCATATCACACACTGGTCTGTCAACTAAACACTGAAAATACGCCCACATTTTCGAGAGATGGATAGAGAACAAGCTAAAAAGAAAGTGATTTTTCCTACAATCAAGGGCCATAATTCAGGAAATTACAATTCGATATGCGCAAATATCGAAAGGAACCGAGATCTTTGTGTTATAAACTTACATTTCAAGTTTCAACAAAATCGGATAAAAATTGTGACCTCCATAGGATCCACAAACTTGATATACCATATTTTACGCTATTTGAGAACGAAGGGCGGCCATTTTGTCTGTCAATTTTGGGCCGATTTTCACGAAATTCGAACTCAGCCGTCCTTAGGGTGTAACGGTTATATAATAATACGTTTTTTTAAATCGGATAAAAATTATGACCTCTATAGGGTCCACAAGCTAAAAACGCGATTTTTCGTACGATCAGGGGCCATAATTCATGAAGTTACGGTATGATATGTGCGAATATCGAAAGGAACCGAGATCTTTGGGTTATAAGCATACATTTCAAGTTTAAACCAAATCGGATAAAAATTGTGACCTCTACAGTGTTCACAAGCTAAAAACGTGATTTTTCGTACAATCAGGGGCCATAATCCATGAAGTTACATTCCGATACATGCCAATATCGAAAGGAACCAAGATCTTAGGGTGATAAACCTATATTTCAAGTTTCGTTGAAATCGGATAAAAATTGTGACCTGTAGACTGTTTACAAACAATTGTGGACGGACAGGGGCGACGACAATATACGTCCACATGAAAATGTGGGTGTATAATAAAATATAAATTACACACTGGTGTGTCAACTCATCACTGAAAAATATAAAATATCACATATTACACTCTGTCTGTCAACTAATCACTGAAAATATAAAATATCACATATTACAGACTGGTCTGTCAACTAATCACTAAAAATATAAAATATCACACACTGGTCTGTCAACTCATCACTGAAAATATAAAATATCATAAATTATACCAGACCAGCTTATAGAATATTGCATATTACACAATAGACTATCAACTTATTACTGCAGTGTATAAGAATATGGTGATAACATAAGAAAATGTGTTATTTATTGTACTTACCAGACTTATCAATGTTAAAAGGTAACTCTTTACTGACTAAATCAGGTAATATATCATCATCACTACCTGTAAAACAAAATAAATATAACTTCAATTTATATTCGCAAAGAATTAAAGATATATAATGGGAGATAAGATAAAGAGCTGGCAGTTCTCACTATAATAGTTCAAAACTAGATAGCGTAAATGGAATTTGCTGAAAATTTCAGTCAAATTGATCGATTCAACAAGGGCTTTTGCATATTTATACTTTTGTAGGTAATGCGTCATTTATAAGATATCAATATTAATTCCATACAGATCGTATGATAACGTGTTTTTTTTACTATACATACCATTTTTATCACAGTTATAAGGTAAATCTTGACTACCTAATTCAGGTAACCAATCTTCATCACTAGCTGTAAAATAAAATACAACTTTTTTTTAAAATTCAAAACTTGTGAAAGGTGTACTTTAGCTCATAAAGTCTTTCATTAGGTCAAATCGTGTGGTTCATTAAAGAGTTAAGATTACAATTACTTACAAGCACTATCATCTGATGAAATAAAATTACTACCATCTATTGATTGGCTCTTAACAGGTGGATTATTTTCATCATTGAATTCTGCTGGTAGACTGGGCAGAGGTGGAGCATCATCTTCGACCTGATTGGTTAATTTCTTTCCCTTTCCTTTACCCTTTTTCTTGCCCTTTCCTTTGCCTTTATTAACTGGAGGCTCTGATTGCTGTGTTGCATTGGAACGAACAGTTGCATTGTGTGTGGTTGAAGCAGTAAGACTTGATATTGGTGTCTTATTCCTAGACTCATCTGACCAGCAGATGGCTAATTGTGGTGGCTGAAACCCTGGTATTTTTAAAGGTAGTGAAGCTATCTGAGAAGATTCTGGAAGGGGTTTAACTGGTGTGGGTGTAGATAAATCAATTATTATTGGTTCTTTTATTGATTTATCTTTCACTGAATCTTCTACATTTTGAATGTCTTCTTTCCTAGCTGTAAGAAATACAAAACAATTATAATGATACAACTGATATAACAAAGTCTTTTTACTGTATCAAGCTGTGTGCTTTGAGGGGAAAATTCTGTCCAACACTAACAAGGGGGGGGGGGGGGAGGAGAGGGGGAGAGAGAGAGAGAGCTTAGTTATTCTATTCATAATGTTTCTATTTGTTTGTTAAAAAGTATTGCCACCGGTTTCAGTCTGTTATGCTTGCAGTTCCAAAGTGGTTTTTTTAATTCACTTTGAGAGAGAGAAAGAGAGAGAGAGGGGGTTTAACTCCACTTGGCACAAACTAGGTCAATTCAGGACTAACACATGGTTCAATTTTATTTCAATATTTCGCTTTGCGCATAGGGGTCTTTAGCATTGGAAAGAAACTGAAGGACCCCGAGAAAAACCACAAGGGACTCGATACCACGCCAGATGACTCAATGACAGACCTTATGATACAGCAGGCACATGCCAACTATTTGGCCATTCCCCCCCCCCCCCCAAATAACTCGAGACAGCTACTTCTAGCTTATAGAAATAATTGGATATTATAGTGAATGTGTCTATTACATTTAATGTATCAAAACAGTTTTTGTCCATATATTATTTCTTTATTTTGACTGTAAATATACAATAAAGATATTCCTGCTTACATCGTTTGGTAGCTGGTTTCTCCATTTCCGTATCATCATCTCCATCATCCACATACCTGGCTGGTTGCTTCACAGCCCTGGAACATGATTGAAAAATGATAACATTCATAAATATATCATCTGAAACAATAAAAGTCTCCAAAATATTTATTTTAGCTTTCGTCCTTTGTCAATGAATAACATTTATTTACATAATTGTTTGTTTAAAATATGTACATCACTGCATAATTGAACTACGGCACTAGGCCTAGTACCAATACGACTCGCCAGGACAGCAACTGAATTCCAACTATCAATGGTTTTTTTATGTGCATGTCAATGTGTACATAGGGCATTGGGTTCTGTCCAATCTTCACTCCACACAAACTAGGTCATTTTGGGACTAACATATGGTTCAATTTTATTTTAATAATCATTTTCGGGACTAACAAATGGTTAAATTTTATTTCAATAATTCGCTTGCGTGTAGGGGGAAACCAGAAAACCCACGAGGTTGGACAGGCGACCCTACAACCGGGCTATCGAAAACCCCGCCAGCTGGCTCAATAACACCTTATAATGCAATGCGCACACACTAACAATTCGACCATCCAACCTCCGCCACCAACTCCTACTCTACAAAAATATAAATGTGGTTTTAATTACCGTCGAGATCTTCTTACAGACTCAACTGGTTCTGAAACCGCTTTCTGTTTTACTGCTTTCTGTTTGCTTTTAATAGGTTTTGATTTTTTTACAATAAAGATCGGTTCAGGTGAAACTGGTTCATCTATAATTGTAATAGGTTCCATATCCACTGATTTTGATTTGCAAGGAACTGTTTCAGTTTTTATAGGCTCTGGCTTAGGATTACATAAAACTGAAGGATGAATATCTGCCACTTGCTCTGGAAAAACTATTTCTTCAGTTACTGGATCATCAAACAGTACTATAGGTTCTGATGTAACTGAAACTGGTTTGTTTAAAACCAGATCAGGTTTTGGTTTAAGGGTAAATGGCATCTGTTGTGAAGGCTTGCATTCTGTATAAACAAAATATCAAAATAATACTTGACAAACAAGTAAAGAGGCATTGGGTAAAATTAGATAAAGAGCTGACAGTTCTCACTATAATAGTTAAAAACTAGATAATGATAACAGAATATGCTGAAAATTTCAGTCAAATTGATTCACTCTGAACTGAGATAATAACTATATCAGCGGGGCCAATGGTTTAACACCTGCAAGTTAGATCATACAGTTTCTATTCCCAGCTTTTGCGTGACAAGGAGTAGGGTCACCTGTCCAACCTCGTGGGTTTTCTTTGGGTCCTCTGGTCTCCTCCCACAGCTAAAGAAATGAAAATGAAATGAAATATTGTTTAACGTCCTACTGTTCTGCTCCGACTGGGCTAATGAAGATGGGCATATGTCATACACTGTGCAATGAGGGAAATTTTGCCCGGACAGCGGCGCTAAGGTCTACTCTTATATCGAATTCCAACTTTCAGGGGATCTTTTTCGTATACACCAATGTGTATACAGGACCTTGGTTTTTCATTCCATCCAAACGATTAGACGACTGTCCTTGTCAGGTCCTCCGTCCTGCACCACAGACAAGGAGAAACCATGTTAGAAAATTCTGATGAACTTTCTCGGCCAACAGCGGCAGCGAGCCTGCGTCTCACCCACTTAGGCACCGTGGCTCCCCACAGCTAAAACCACTACGCACAATCAAATCATTGAAATAAAATTAAATCGTGTGTTAGTCCCGAAATGATCTAGTTTGTGTTGAGTGAAGTCTAAACCCGATCCATCTCCCTCTCCAATTTATACCAGTCCTGCATCTGGTCTTAAAGATAGGTTGCCAGGCAATGAAACATACGCCCACAGCAGCTAAGTCGTCCGAGCAGTCAACAAGAGTTATCACATATTTTTTCTATTGTCGGTAATAAAACATTTATAATACACTTAAATCTGATTAAGAGTAACAACTCATTAAGTAATTATCAGAAAATCATTAGAATTTATCCGGATTGACGGACATGGGGCGACGACAATATACGACCACATTTCAATGTGGGTGTATAAAAATGGAATTTCACTTTATTTTAGTTTGATGAAAAGAATCAGAATCTGTAAAAGTATATTGACAAACCTGGACTATCATCAGATATAAATATTATATCTGGATCCATGACTGTATCTTTCCCATCACAGTCAGAGTCAGAACTAACACAACCACCAGGTGCTTTACTTGCTAACATTTTTCGAATCTGTTTCCTTAATAGATCCTCTTCTTCTGAATCTGATCCAAAATTTTTTGCAGCCTTTTTTTCGAATCCCTTTTTCTGTGACAATGGTTGTTTTGAAATTTTCTTAGCTTTGAGCTTTCGCCTCTATAAAACAACGTTAATTGTAAATCAAATATTTGATCAAAAAATTGTCAGCTTTAAGCTTTTTTGAGTGTATCTTTTCTACAGTACAAGAGGTTCTGCAGTACCACGGGCCTATTGAGTATCAAGTATTTGATATTCCAGTCTACCCAATTGTAAATGGATACTGAAAGGATGGTGTACGTATTTGGGTAAGCAGGCCTGGAAATAACGGTTTTAGATGTACCCGACAAAATGTCAGGCACTAATGAAATAGTACCTGACATTTTCAACTAAGTGCCGGACATGTATTGATAATATCAATAAAAAAGACAAATCAATGCCGGACAAAATGACTGGCACAAGAGGTTTTGTGCCTGACAAAGCCTGAAACTATGCCTGACATTATCTTTGTCAGGTGCATTATTTCCAGGTTTGGGATTTAAAGGGCTCAGATGTAAACAATCTGGTTAAAACACAGATCCTATTTCGTTTCGTTTTTATAGTTCAAAATTTCCTTTTACTTGTCTTTACTACACTTGGATCTTGAAGAGTTGTTATTTAACTCGTGTTCTGAATGGTGTCAGGGATAAGCCAATGAAACGGTCTGTTATGGCGAGCTTTAGGCGTGTTTTGCACGGAACTGTGGGTAATCTACTAGTAACATCAATGCTGATTGGTTAATCAAATGTCTGACATCATAGGGTCATAAGTCGGTCTTTTGACCCCTGACGCTACCTATCGCTACAACCGGTCAGATCTTTGTGTAGTGTAGGCCATCGAAATATAAAAAAATGAAACGAAATATAGATCTGTATTTTGATCAGATTTAGAGGTAAATCAGCCTTAGCAAGTAGGATGTGCTTTGGTTGAATACGAAAACTGGGTATCATGTTCTTGCGTCGGTATCTTGTGTCGGTATCCAGTCTATCAAGTAGTAAATTGGTACTGGTAGGATGGTGTATGCCTTTATGAAAACATATGATCTCTGTGGGCAGCAAAAGTTTCTAAGATTTCAAAAAGCATAGCAGCCAGTCATGTATACATCCTTCTGTGTTTAAAACAAACACAACTGTCACAAATCAAGCAATTTTTAACAGTAGTATAATAGCCAAGATTTCATATCATTTAAATATCTGTGAGAAATAATATTACCTGAGGTTTTTGTGAATATCTGTTTCTGCCTGGTACTGGTATAGCTAATGGCTGCCCTTTACAGAAGTTGGTTAATATCAGCGATATAACCTCCAGAGTTTTACCCAAACCCATATCATCAGCTAATATACCTATATAAATATAATAAACTCATATCATTAGCTCTATATAAATATAATAAACTAATATCTTCAGTACTTATACAAATATAATAAACTCATATCTTCAGTATTTATACAAATATAATAAACTCATATCATCAGATAATATACTTATATCAATATAATAAACCCATGGACACCATTTCTCAAAATCCTAATGCATTGTATTTTGAAAAGCAGACCTAATGTTACATGAAGTACAGTAATATGCAAAACAACGCAGATGTTGTTTAAATTGCAAAACATAGAGACACGTCAAAACCCTGTCAAAAGAAATAACACAAACTTCTCGAAAAATGACCGAAAGGGAATACAGCATAATCTAAATTTAAAAAGAAATAAAAAAATTAAAAACAACTGACCTCCGTGAACTGTTCTTGGTTGTTTATTGCTTGTAAATACCGTTAAACTGTTGAAATAACGATTTCCTCTTTTTTCCCAAAATGGTGGCAAGGCTTCATTATTTTCTTTACATATCATCCAGTTTAATGCTTGTTTTTGATGGGGGTAGAGAGGAGTTTTTATAGCCTAAAATAGACAGAAACGAAACCAAATAAAACCATGAAACCTTTATTTGTCGGCATGAGTACACCAGGTCAAATCAACTTATTATTTTATTCCTGGTGGACATGAGAGCCACGGTGGCTCATAGAGTAAGACGTTGGCTCAATAACCTGGAGGCCCCATGTTTGATCCCTGTTTTGGCTGAGAAAGTTCATCAGGATTTTCTGGCGTGTGATTCCATCTTGTCAGTGGTGGTGCAGGACAGAGGGCCTGGCAAGGGACAACATATAGTCATTCGGATGGGACAAAAAAACAAGGTCCATTGTACACATTGATGTGCAAGCAAAAGTTGGCTTGTCAGTCGGAATTCGATAATAGAGTAGGCTGTAGTGCCCAGGGCTCGAATTAGCGGGCGACGTGGGCGAAATAGTCGCCTAACCCATTGGTGACTTCGCCCTAAAAGGCAATAGGGCGAAGTTGAAGTCGCCCTCACTTCGCCGTACATTTGTGCAAGGGCGAAGTAGGTAACAGACATCAATATCAAGTATCAACGGTAAACAAAGCATTTTCAAAACAACACAACACGTGTTCGCATTGTGAGCTTCAAAGGGAAAACTGAAAATTAAACAAGTTGTGAAAAGCAAAACATGTATTAATATTTTGTTTTTCGACTTTCTCTGTGTCGGCTGTGACAATGTTTAATAGTTTCAATGATAAACATTGTATTTGATGTCAACAGGAAATACAATTCTTTAAAATAAAGCGAAGGAATCGAATCATAAATCTCCGTTACAACCTCTGGCTTCGTCCAGAAATAACAGCCAATCAAAAGCTGCGATGGCCAATATGGCGGCTGATACGATAAATTTTTAATGTATTTCTGTCTAAGAATAGACAAAGTACTGAATTGGTCCTCTTTCTTTGAAATAATTTAATAATAAAATGAATAATAAACATAAAACTTGTGATTGAAAGGTGACGAAAGGTGTACATTGTTGTGTCAACATGGTACAGTCAATAAAGAACAACACGTTTGACAAGTGAAAATAGCGTTGACGTACATTTCTGTAGACCAATGGAGATATTAAAACAATTGTTATCAGAATGATTACAACATGTATTTAGAATGTGTTGATAGGTATAATGTCGGGTTGATAATTAAATCTACATTAATATTATTAGTTCCACTAATCTAAACACATAAACGTAAAAAAAAGAAGGTAAGTGAGTGGTGTGTCAAAACAATTTCATACATTGTCGTAGGCCTACTACGTAACATATTCCTGAAGCAATGGCCCGAGATATCCTGATTAGCTCTAATCAAACGGAACACTGCGAGGAGTATGACTACGTAACAATATGACTATCCTATTGTGAAAGGTGCTAAAACAATCACACAATAGACCCAGGACTAGTAATTAAATGTATTTAGGCACGAAAGGGTATAAATATTGATGTATTTGATAGAGGGGTATCACAAATCTTATTTGTATTGCTAAAGTCAAGTCTGTCTTAGTACTAGTATATGTAATTTATTATCACAGTAATTTTGATACCAGTAAGAGTATGATGACATACTGAAATAAATATATGTGTGCAGCTAAACGATGTTTGTTTGTTTATTTATTTAGCATATTGACTGTGTAACGACTTGGTAAGATTGGTTGCAGCAATGCATGAAATATGACCTCTCCTTCAAGTCTCCCTATGTCTCCCTCACTTCTCCCTATTCTGTCTGTAGGGAGAAGTCACTTCTCCCTAAAATTTGTCCCTAGTTTGAGCCCTGGTAGTGCCGCTGTCCAAGCGAAAATTTCCCTCATAGCACATGATGTATGCCCGTTTTCATTAGCCCAGTCGGAGCAGTACAGTAAGACATTAAACCCCATTTCATTTCATTTATTTTATTGCTAATTAGCAAAAAGCACAGCTACTATAATAGGTTAATAAGCCAAATATGTTTCCATGGAAATAAAACCCAATTTAAAATCAGAGAAATTTCTGATAAGCAAAAGGCAGAAGTACTATAATAGGTTGATGTACCTATGTACAAGATTCTCATAAAGATATCTTCAACAGTTTATGAGATATGCTTTAGAACAAAAATTGCACACAAAAATTTCAGTTCAAATTTCATTCCATGAAAATTTCTAAATAGTAAAAGACATGTCTACAATAATATACTATTCAAAAAAAGTAGGGGATATTTGATTTTTAAGTGTTATTAAAGTCACCTAATGAAACTGACGAAGAAACAAATGACAAAATGAAATGAAGTTCACATTCATCGATTTATTCCAAATGATCGTTAGACTAAGTAAGGCACAGACTGACCATTATAAGGGTAAAATGATACCCGGGGTCAAACAGCAAAGTTACCACAGCATCACAACCAAGTCAGTAACGGGTAAATCCTCCTCTGTTTGCCAAACAAGCATTGATCCGACGTGGCATACTCCTAATGAGACGTCTAAGGTCATTTTGGTCCAGATTGTCCCATTCCTGTTGCAACGCAGCAGCAAGTTCTTGGACATTGGCAGGACGTTGTTGACGTTGACGTAACCTCTGTCCAAGCATGTCCCAGACATGCTCGATGGGGGAGAGGTCGGGACTCAGTGCTGGCCAAGGTAATGTGGTGATGTTCTGTTGTTGGAGGTAACCTGTAACGATCCTGGCCCTGTGACATCTTGCGTTGTCATCCTGGAAGATGAAACGGCGGCCATGACGTCGTGCGAACGGCACAACATGGACTGCCAAGATGTTGTCTCGGTAGTACTGGCCTGTAACACGCCCTGCAACAACATGTAAAGCCGTTCTTCCAGCAACAGTGATGCCTCCCCACACCATAACAGAACCACCCCCAAATCGATCATGTCTGATGACGTTAACGTCTTGGAAGCGCTCGTTTCGACGACGCCACACCCTCCTACGTCTGTCCAAAAAATCAACAGTGAACCTTGACTCATCTGAAAACATCACATTGCTCCAGCGTCGATTATCCCAGTGTTGACGATCCCTACACCAACGACGTCTTGCCTGAATGTGATGATCTCTCAAACAAGGGATCACGCGAGGACGTCGGGCGCGAAGGTGACCCCTATGCAGTCGATTCCGAATCGTCTGGCCACTCACTCTCACACCAGTGTCTGTTTGAAGACGAGCGCTGATCTGATTTGCTGTGATGACACGATTTCTCAAGGCCAAGGTACGGATAAATCGATCCTGGGCTTGAGTTGTCGCCCTTGGTCGACCTGAGCGTGGTCTGTCCTGTACAAATTGTGTATCACGGTATCTGGACCATAGCCTGCTTATGACAGACTGAGAAACATTCATCGTCCGCGCCACAACCGCCTGTGTTGTGCCGATCTGTAGCATGCCAAGGGCACGTAACCTTTCATTTTGGGTAAGCCGACGCATATCAAAATTTGTTTTCTGGTCACTAAAACAACTAAATTGATGTTTCCACCCTGGAATTCAATGCCACAATGACTGTAACATTCAAAGTCAGAGTCGTGCAAATCTTGGGTTGGACCCCCATGATGATCCCAAGCATCACCTGCATTCCATGCGGTAGCTATTGGTGCGTTTGGGCGTCACATGTTACTGGAAATGTTTCTTCTGTTAGGTTCTATAGTGACTTTTTTCGTAGTCATTTGCATATTTTAGTATTATGCCCCCAAAATCAAATATCCCCTACTTTTTTTGAATGGTATATAATAATAGGTTGATGTGTGTACAAAGTTTCAAAAAAAGATATAAAGAATGGTTACGAAACATGCTTGGGAGATGAAACTGGGATGAACAGACTCCATTTCACTAAATAAATGTTTGCCTCAATATGGCCGAACAGGTGTACTGTCCAGATGTTAACCACTATTCCGTTCCATCCCTTTTTTATGAACCAAAACGTTAGAAATTTATGTTCTGTTACATGAGGTCAACGTTTTAATCTCCTCTTCAAATTGAAACTACTAAGGTATTTAATAACACACTAAAAATAACAATTCTGTAGAATAATTAAACCTACCACAGCCGGTTCCGTCATTGTTGTTTTATCACCTTCTTCAAGAGTATCAAACAGTTTATCCAACTCATTCCGTACCTGGAAAATTTAACATAGTTATTGAGACAAGATTCTCCAAACAATTATTTTTGATCTAGACTGTTATGGTTTTAAAATTCTGTATTCATTCTTAATATTTCTTTCGTAATTTATGTGTCCATTCATTCATTCATTTATTCAATCACGTATAACTAAATACCAAATCTTTGCTCATTGTAAAACCAGCAAATAATTATTAAACTATTATTATTGGAAATGAAATGGGTTTAACGTCTTACTACTGCTAATGAAGACGGGCATACGCCATACACTGTGCTATGAGAAAATTTTGGATGGACAAGGGCACTAAGGCCTACTCTTATATCGAATTCCAAAGGGATATTTTAGGTTCACGCCAATGTGTACACGGGGCCTCGGTTTTTCGTCCTCTTATCAGGTCCTCCGTCCTGCACTATTATTATTGGTATTATCTAAACACGTTTTTTCTGACAACTGGTGACATTATGGTGTTCTGGACATGCTAATTTTGGAGAAAAGCAGCCATTACCGAGACTAAAAAACCCAACTTACTTCTGTTTGTGATAAGAATGTTCTGCGTGTTTGAATATGACTGTAATCAGATACACTAATTCCACCAGTTGATGTTCCAGGCATAGATCCAATTGTTACTTTGCTACTTAGTCCAGCATTAGTTACAGAATAACCATGATATTTTAAAACGGACACAGCTTCACTTCGGTTATTTGCTGTAGTTTGTCCCCATAGTGTTATATTTATCGGCATAGTGTATGTATTGTTGGATCCACGTGGTACAATCCTGTTAAACATAAAAAACAACATAAAAAATGATATATAATGACCCGCCCGTGTTGGCTTAATTATTAATATTTTTTGTATTTCATTTTATCATTCGTTGTTGTTTGTATTTTAGAGGAGAGTCGAAAAAAGCTCCCCTTAATCAACAAATTGAAAAAATTGCTCCCCTAAAAAAGCTCTACTAGTTTCAATAAGAAGAATGACTTAGAAATTAAGGACAGTGATCTGATATTAAGGAGAGTGATTAGTTATGCGTATGTGAAATGGTTCTGAAGATCAATAACTGCATGCAATGGTTTCATAAATCATAATAAACCTCCCATGACTTTGTAAAGGAGAGTGATTTTCAATTTTAAGGAGAGGGAAAAAAAAACTCCCCTCGGTCAACATTCAGGTGAGCGGCAGGTGCTCAGTGACCCTAAAGTGAAGTACCAATATGTGGAAGTGATTTAGAAAAAACAATTTGATGATAAAAACATATATCATTTATTTGCCTGTATAAGGTGTGAGCCAGTCAGACTGTCTCTTTCATACGATCATGGGCTGGATACATGTGTGCAGACATTCATTCATGACATTTAATATCCATTATCTCACGATATTCCAAGAACTGATATGAATGGAGTAATGACTCCCCATTAGAAATGAGAAACAGATGATTGAATATAATGATGATATATATATATATGAGGGGAGTTGATTGACAGCTCCTATATTGGTAGCAGTTTCAAACAGCACATGCTGTCATAAGTTAATCAAGACAACCAGCTTTCATCCATTCATAGAACACAAGTTATTTATGAAATGATTACTAAATTTCCAGTTGTTAGTAACGGTAGTATTATCAAAATAATTTCAATATTTAGACGATTGGAATTGCTAGATATCTATTTAAACATAAATGACAATTACCAAAACACTTAAGTATTTCTATTGTCTCCTTAATTATATACAGCATAAAATACATTGTGCACTTAGTGTAATATAGTTTAATTTGCACACCCGCGGGCGGTAGTTCAGGAGGGGAGAGAGAAATGGGGTTTAACGTCCACACTACACAAACTAGGTCATTTAGGGACTAGCATCTGGTACAATATAATTTCAATAATTCACTAGAGAGAGAGAGAGAGAGAAATGGGGTTTAACGTCCACTCGACACAAACTAGGTCATTTCGGGACTAACATATGGTTTAATTTTATTTACATAATTCGCTTGCGCGTAGGGGTCTTTAGCAGTGGGAGGAAACCGGAGGACCCGGAGAAAACCCACGAGGTTGGACAGGCGACCCTACTCCTTGCCACGTACAACCGGGGATTCGAAACCACGCCAGTCAACTCAATGACAGACTTTATTATACAGCACGCGCACGCTAACAATTCAGCCATCCAACCCCCCTAATTCACTAGAGCGTAGGGGTCTTCAGCAATAGCAGGAAAACAGAGGATCCAGAGAAAACCCACTAGGTTGGACAGGTGACCCTATTTATTGTCATGTACAAGCCGATAATCGAAAGCATGCCACATGACTCAATGACAGACCTTATGATTTCACGCGTACGTGTTAAACCACTACACCACCCAACCCCCCATCTTCATTAGAAGGCTTGATCTCGCTTTAACTACGTACATTTTATCAAGGCCTTCACGTAATACCCTGCATATTTCGGCACTAATTTCGATTGGGTACAAGCCTAACTTGTGAGCCTATCAGATTTCTTGATTATCGCGAATACCAAGTCTCGCGCTTTCAAGCTAAAATGTCTACCTGTGATAATCAAGTTGCAAAGTTCAAGGTTCATTCAATGTCAAGGTTTCCGTGAAGGTTGCGATGTCACAAACTCTGATTGGACGCTACTGTTCACGTGTCTGTACATAGATAACATAGCTATAAGTTCTGGAATTCTGAAGTAAACAAGCATTGTCCAGATGTTGTAAAACTCGCAGTCGTTGAGGAACATGCCAAACCCCTAAGCGCAAAACAAAAACGACAAGACAAACCTACGGAGTGTAAACAAGACAAACTACATGGATATTGCAAGAAACAAACAACAAATATCAATTCCAGATGTGGCTCAAAAATCATAAATTAGGACTTTGCCATCTTGATCAACAAAATACTTTACATACCCTTCCACACGCGCCAATTTATTATCAAGGACAAACGCTAAAGCTTTAGCTAGTTCACGTTTAATATGGCCGACCTGTTGACCATCCATGTTTATTACTCGGATAGCGTTCCTGTCATATTTATTGTGAGGTTCACGTTCTAGATTCACCATTTCTCCAATATTAACCTGAAAAAAAAAAAATTAAACCAAAATTCTAGAGTACAAACTCATTCCCAAAAAATATAAATCAACAAAATTTCCAACATGTATTAAACAAACTAATTTCCAAGGAAACATTAAAGATATATTATGTAAAGATAAGATCTGGCCATTCTTACTATAATAGTTAGAAAATAGATAATGCAAAATGAATTTATTGAAAATTTCATTCAAATTGCTCCATTGCGCGCGAAGATATTAGCTTTTGAAGGTTTGACAAAATGTGTGAATTAATTGCAACCACCGCACTGGTTGTTGAAAGCTTAGCCTCGTGTAACCATTTTTAGATTAAATAAAAATATGGCTGAATCTTTCTAATCTACTTAATATCCGATGACATCGAGAGATGATTATGTTCTTACCATGTTAATAAAAGCCTTAAAAAAGACCTGAAATAGGCAGATTTAACTCTTGCATAATGTGTGTTTAAGAATGTCAGCAGGGCTGTCGCCGTCGGTAATTTTTCACAGATGATTTGCAGCACTGCTAATCAAAAAGTCCAATTTTGCCAAATTTGATTAGCAAATTTAAAAATTGATAAGCAGTTTTTCGGTTTCAACATAAAACACCTAAATAACAAGATTACTTTAATTTATAACAAATGATTAGATTTCATTCTTAAGTTTTTAGCACTGCTACAGGTAGCTGTGAACATTTCTGAATGTAGACTTTTGGTTATGTCTGAAGCCAATTCTTGGCAGTGGCTTCCGAAGTCACACTCATTTTAATTCTTATTTCTTCGAAAAAAAACAATTTTGTCTGCTTTTTATTGTGTTACTATTTTTTTTCAATCGGACGTGCACAGTTTTTTACGAATAATCTTGATTAAGTAGACGCACGCGATATAAACAATAATATTTTACGGGAATTCTTACTTTGATTTCTCATTTTACAAAACGTTTACACGTATTTATTCTTTATATTTTATTGACCATACGTGGGGGATACACTGACAGAATTTATTTTGTTCAAATTGAATACTGATATAATTACTCGAAATTGTCATGTCTTGCAACATGAGTGGTACTACTTGATTCCTTATTTCCTGTTTAATAGTCCCAATTTATAGAGTTATGTTCCTGTATAATATAGTATAATGAATTGAGTCTGGGTAGTTCGAGAAGAAAATGTCACACGGAGAATTCAGTTTTGCTTATGAAATTTATTTGATATTTTATACACGTTGAAGCTAGTGTTGAGAAATGTGGATAAATCTACATGTCAATATCCAAAATGACAGGCATATTAATGATTCACAGTTATTGCGAATCAAAAACATTAGATTTTAATTTTTGATTAGCAACGGACACACTATGTAATGCTAATTGCGCTGCGATACTGGTTGTCGGCAGCCCTGAATGTCAGGTATAAATCATGTAAGTAGTAGTTATTAGCACACTTTCCGAGGTGTATCGGTGAATATCAGGACAGTTTTGGTCGAGGGGCCCAGCCGAGGCGGCTCCCGACCAAAACTGTCCTGATATTCACCGATACACCGAGGAAAAGTGCTAATAAGTTACTTACATCACATTTCTATCGAGTATTGTGAAGCAAAATGTGAAAAATAGTATTTATTATCGAGTCGTTTCAACCGAAAAGTGACAAATACTTTCTGCTCTTTCATTATTTATCCCTTTCTGAGCCTCACGTTACATTTCATGGTAGAATGATTTCGCAGTGGAGAGACGACCTGAGTAGTATTTATGATTTTGACTAGTTGTTTCATGTACAATGTATAGAGCCATTCTTATCAATTGCGATCTGGGTCGGACTAAACGTCCGCTACTTATTGCTTGATAGGTATTTAGAACGGTATACAGTGTATCAGAAATGGACAGTGTATCAGAAATGGACAGTACTTCTGAAACGGACAGTACTTCTGAAACACAGATACTTTTAAGCATGTATTGCAAACAAACAGGACAGTTTTATCAAAGGTTGCCAGTGGCAACGAGTAGAAGTGGGATGTAATGCCTGACATTTACAACTAAAGCTGTTCTTCTATTAGTGTTTTAACGTCCGCTTCCACCAAAGGTGATACATGTATCACTGATGAGTTGTCTTATTTTACTATTCTCAGGTGACAAGCAGGGGTCTTTCCTGTGGGAGGAAACCGGAGTATGTGGAGTTAACTTGAGAAAGCGTCCCTATCTCCAAGCCACATACGCACACACCAGACCCCGTTTTATACTTACCGTTCCTTTATAATATTGTAAGCCAACAATATCTCCGTTAACAGTGCCAAGGTTACAATCGATCCGAGACTCTTCTTGAGTTAGATCTACCACGGGTAAATCTTCATCTCCATCATCCAGTCCTGGTATAACATGATGACGTGCAATATCTCGTCCCTGAGCACCAACAAGATTCCCTAACCAACTCACATCTTCATTTGTAAATTCCCAAGTTCGTTGGCGTTTTCTGCTTTTCTTCTTTTTACGACCACCACCTCCATCACCTCTTCCTTCAGTACTGCCAATTCCCCAATTTGAGCGAAAGTTATTATTGTTCCAAGTATTCCAACCACCAAATTGATTTCTGCTTCTGAAGCGTGGCATCTTGTTCTAGAATCAAGCTTACAATGGAAGGTTTCTTTCGGTTTTACAATGTAATTACTTCATGGATGCCATTATTCTGGAAATCAACATAAACAGAAATGCAATTAGATCTTATGGAACAAAAAACTTTCCTGGTAGGGGGTTAAAGGGCACAAATTTTATGTAACCAAACATTTCCTTGGGTACATGTATCTGAATTGTGTGAGAGAGTGAGAGAGTGAGAGAGAGAGAGAGAGAGAGAGAGAGATGAGTTTTTATGTCCACTGACAGAAACCAGGTCATTTCGGGACTTATGGTTCAGTTTTATTTTAATAATTCGCTTGCGTGTAGGGGTCTTTATTAGTGGGAGGAACCAGAGGACCCAGAGAAAACCCACAAGGTTGGACAGGCAACCCTACTACTCCTTGTCACGTACAACCAGGGAATCAAAACCACGCCAATTGCCTCAAAGACAGACCTTATGATGCAAGGAACACACACTTACCATCCGACCATACCTCCTCCCCTCCCCCCTTTTGAATTGTGTACTTTCTGCTCTGAGCTAAGGTAAAAAGGACACACCTCAGCTAATTATGGTTCCTCAACTTTTCTCATAATTGAATACCAATTTGACTTGAAATATATGCATTACATGTATGTAAGATTTAGATAAAGAGCTGACATTCCTCAGCTCTCGCAATAGATAATGAAAAAGGAATAGGGATTATATTGAAAATTTTAGTGAAATTACTTTATTCTGAGCAGTCATGAATGTTGTAAGTTTTAATAAGAATGGCAATATTAGCATCGTCTCGATTTTCACTGACTACGTAGTACGTTTACATTGTTACGATAATTATAAACAAGGTCTCCATTATCCATTTTTAAATTAAACATTAAATGGCGATTGTGTTTCAATTCATTAACAAGCGGTTGCCATGCAAGATACGCCCACATTTTGCAAGAGATGGACAGAGAACAAGCTCAAAAAAAGTGATTTTTTCGTAGTCAAGGGCCATAATTCAGGAAGTTATGATCCAATATGTGCGAATATCGAAAGGAACCGAGATCTTTGGGTTATAAACTTACATTTCAAGTTTCAACAAAATCGGATAAAAATTGTGACCTCTATAGGGTCCACAACCTTGATATACCATATTTTTACGCTATTTGAGAACGAACGGCAGCCATTTTGTCTGTCAATTTTGGGCCGATTTTCACAAAATTCGAACTCAGTCGACCCTGGGTGTAACGGTGATACAATAATACGTTTTTTTATATCGGATAAAAATTATGACTATACATGTAGGGTCCACAAGCTAAAAACGCGATTTTTCCTACAATCACGGGCCACAATTCAGGAAGTTACGGGCCGATATGCGCGAATATCGAAAGGATCCAAGATCTTTGGGTTATAAACTTACATTTCAAGTTTCAACAAAATCGGATAAAAATTGTGACCTCTTTAGAGTCCACAACCTTGATATACCATATTGTTACGCTATTTGAGATCAAAAGGCGGCCATTTTGTCTGTCAATTTTGGGCCGATTTTCATGAAATTCGAATTGAGTCGTCCTTAGGGTGTAACGGTGATACAATAATACGGTTTTTTAAATCGGATAAAAATTATGATCTCTATCGGGTCCACAAGCTAAAAACGCAATTTTTCATACAATCAGGGACCATAATTCAGGAAGTTACAGTCCGATATGCGCGAATATCGAAAGGAACCAAGATCTTTGGGTTATAAACTTACATTTCAAGTTTCAACAAAATCGGATAAAAATTGTGACCTCTATAGGGTCCACAACCTTGATATACCATATTTTTACGCTATTTGAGAACGAACGGCGGCCATTTTGTCTGTCAATTTTGGGCCGATATTCACGAAATTCGAACTCAGTCGTCCTTAGGGTGTAACGGTGATATAATAATACGGGTTTTTAAATCGGATAAAAATTATGACTTCTACAGGGTACATAAACTAAAAACACGATTTTTCGTACAATCAGGGGCCATAATTCAGGAAGTTACAGTCCGATATGCGCGAATATCGAAAGGAACCGAGATCTTTGGGTTATAAACTTACATTTCAAGTTTCAACAAAATCGGATAAAAATTGTGACCTCTATAGGGTCCACAACCTTGATATACCATATTTTTACACTATTTGAGAACGAACAGCGGCCATTTTGTCTGTCAATTTTGGGCTGATTTTCACGAAATTCGAACTCAGTCGTCCTTAGGGTGTAACGGTGATATCATAATACGTTTTTTTAAATCGGATAAAAATTATGACTATACATGTAGGGTCCACAAGCTAAAAACGCGATTTTTCCTACAATCACGGGCCACAATTCAGGAAGTTACGGGCCGATATGTGCGAATATCGAAAGGATCCAAGATCTTTGGGTTATAAACTTACATTTCAAGTTTCAACAAAATCGGATAAAAATTGTGACCTCTATAGGGTCCACAAGCTAAAGACGTGATTTTTCGTACAAACAGGGGCCATAATCCATGAAGTTTCGATCCGATACATGCCAATATCAAAAGCAGCCGAGATTTTTTTGGGATAAAGCTATATTTCAAGTTTCGTCAAAATCGGACAAGAATTGTGACCTGTAGAGAGTCCACAAACAAATTGTGGACGGACGGACGGACAGGGGCGACGACAATATACGTCCACATGAAAATGTGGGCATATAAAAATCACAACCATCTGATGGTTTAGACAGTTGATTATTATAGACTTCATTTGAATAGTTGTCTGATTAATAATTTATATACATGTAACATTTGAGGCCAAAATAAAGACCTGCAATGAATAAGTGATCTAGCTCTTACATATATAATGCATCTCTGAAATAAATATCAAATATAGCAGGCCTTCAGTAATGAAAGTGAAACAGAAAACTAACTTTTTAAACTTGTGTAAGTTTTGAACCTGGTAATAAAGTCAAGAAATTGGTCAATTTCAACTTTGAAACTAAATTAACACTATAACTAGTGGCAGAAGTTTGTGGTGCAATATATCATGGACCTTATCTAGGTATTTAATTAACTGAATTTAGGCTGTTTTAATTTATTCATATTATTGTTGTGATTGTTTGTTTTGGCAAAAAAAAAAAAAATATTTATATCCGTCATGATGGACTAGACACAAATTATATAGTCATTGTAAATCTTGAACAAGAAAAAGGGTACAGACGGACTGATATATCAATATTAATCATGGTTTGTAACAACAGAATAAAACAGCAAAAATTACATCAATGGAACTACAAATGCTGAAAGTCTGCCATCTTCCCGCATTTTCTCACTAAAATATTTGCATATCCAGTTACAATTTCGCTTCGAATAGACGAGAACAACCAGTTCTGTTATTTTTTCCGGATCTGAAGTTGAAGGTCGAATAAACACGTAGAAGATTGAAGAGTTCCAAAATAGTTGTACTCGAAATCCAGTGGTAACTTAATTTCCTCTTTTAAGCATCTTTTGATTCTCCGATAACCTATGATATATTTAGAATAGTTTAGCAAATGTTTGTAGATTATTTTTTTGTCAAGGAAGATGTGTTATTTTTCACAAATTTCTCTGATATTTGTTAATTAGGATCAATTATCAACCAAGATATCTGAAGGAGTTGTTTCCCTTCGAAAAAATAGTCTACTTCCGATTTTTATGGCACCACGCGTTGACAAATTTGCGATCAACAAACACGTGAGAAATGAACTTCGGGAGTGCTGCCTGGGATGAAACCAACGCCTCTGAATGTTTGAATACAGCGCTGTTTGGATCTGTGCCTGGGAAGAAGACTTCTGTGAAGAAATTAAACAAAAAGGGGGGTGATTTGGAGAAAGAAACCAAACAATCTAAAGAATTTTTGAAGAAGTTAAAATTTTCTGAAAAGAAGAAAAATGTAAAGATTGTGAGTTTTGATGTTAGCGATGACAGTGATGGTGACTATGATGATATCAGCAAACGATCAAAGAAAACCATCAAAGAACGCCAGAGAAAAAAGGTAAAGAAAGAAGAGGAAAAACAGAAAAATAAAATAAAAAAAAAGCAACAACTCGATTCTGATGAAGAATTGTATGCTGAAATTGATGAAGAAACTCCACAAATCTACACCAAGAAAAATGAAAACTTGGAAAATATTAAAAAGCTGCGTGACGAAATCTCTCCATCATCCATTAACAAACAGAAAAATCAAAAGAAAACAAAAAATGAAGCAAAAGAAACAAAAGCACAGAAAAGAAAGGCATCCAATGTTACCATAGAAACAGCTGAACCCCAACATGATGTACCGGTAGTTGTAAAGAAATCTAAACAAGATGATGCATTCACTGTTCAAAAATGCCAAATAGAAAAAGAAAAATCAGTGAAGAAAAAACGGAAGAAACCAAAGAAACCCAAAAATAACTCTGATAAAGATGATGATAAACCACTAACATTAACAGGCAAAAAGCAACTGAAGAAAATAAACAAGAACAGGGAGGCTGTTGATGAAAAGAAACCACAAACAGAGCTAAAATTATTGGATAAAAAGGTGGAAGCTTCCAGTACAAATAAAAAGAAGTTGAAGAAACAGAAAATAAAAGAAAGTTTTGAAACTGACAAAACATTGAAAAGTGAAAAGAAATTGAAAGTAGATGCATTAGAAAAGACAAGTATCACAGGTTTAAAAGATGGAGTGGAAAAAGTAAAGAAGGTAACTAAACCTACAGTTGATACAGTTGCCGTGAATAAAGTTGGGATAAATTCAGCTAAAGCCAAAAAGAAGAAGCAAAAGAACAAGAAGAAAAAAACAAATAAATCAAATGAAACAGAAAGCAACCAAAATGGTTCATTTGATCAAATGACTAATGGTAAAACAGATACCCCTAAACTTAAACCAAACTTCAACAAGGCAAAACTTGCCAGTTTATTTTCCACTAGAAATAAGAACTTGGTGACTGATGTACAAAAGAAGAAAGTTATAGATAAATCTCCTTTAAATTTTACCAATTCTCTAAAAGAGAAGATGTCTGGGCAATTGAATGCAGCCAGGTTTCGTTATCTAAATGAACAGCTGTACACTCAAACTGGGAAAGAAGCCCTTGATATGTTCCAAACTGATGTAGAAGCCTTTGATATTTATCATAAAGGATTTCAGTCACAGGTAGCAAAATGGCCAGTCAATCCGTTAGATTTAATCATTAAATCTATCAAAAATTTACCAGAAACGAACATTATTGCCGATTTCGGGTGTGGCAATGCTACTCTGGCACAGAGTGTTCAGAATAAAGTCCATTCATTTGATCTTGCTCCTCTTAATGAGTTTGTGACTGTTTGTGACGTTTCGAAAGTTCCTCTTTCCAATAAAACTGTTGATGTTGCTGTTTTCTGTTTATCGTTAATGGGGACGAATTTAAATGATTTTGTTATGGAAGCAAACAGAGTATTGAAACCTGGTGGTTTGTTACAAATTGCTGAAGTCGAGAGTCGTATTCCCCACACAGAAACGTTTATTATACAGATTGAAAGTTTTGGATTTGAATATGTTAAAAAGGACACATCTCACAAAATGTTTCATTTATTTGACTTTAAGAAAGTTCGAGCTGGCACAAAATCAGCTGTGAAGGACATAAAGTTAGACCCCTGTCTTTACAAAAAAAGATAGATTGATTAAAAGTGAGAATAAAGAGACCAGTGTTATAATATAAACAAAATTATTGTTTCATTTGATTTTATTAAACAGGCATTATGCAAAAGCTAAATATGTCTATTGCAGGTCTTTCTTTAGGCCTTAAATGTTATCTGAATTATTAATTAGACATTTATTAAAGCAGCATTAGGTAAGATTTAGATACAGAGCTGACATTTCTCACTGTAATAGTTAAAAATAGATAATGAAACAGGAATATGTTGAAAATTTCAGTCAAAGTATGTCACCCTGAGCTAAGCTATTGGCAATACAATAACACTGTAGCCTCGATTGTCATCGCTACCATTGTTACAATAATAAACAAAGTCTTGATTATCCAATTTTTAATTTATACTATTCAAAAAAAGTAGGGGATATTTGATTTTTAAGTGTTATTAAAGTCACCTAATGAAACTGACGAAGAAACAAATGACAAAATGAAATGAAGTTCACATTCATCGATTTATTCCAAATGATCGTTGACTAAGTAAGGCACAGACTGACCATTATAAGGGTAAAATGATACCCGGGGTCAAACAGCAAAGTTACCACAGCATCACAACCAAGTCAGTAACGGGTAAATCCTCCTCTGTTTGCCAAACAAGCATTGATCCGACGTGGCATACTCCTAATGAGACGTCTTAAGGTCATTTTGGTCCAGATTGTCCCATTCCTGTTGCAACGCAGCAGCAAGTTCTTGGACATTGGCAGGATGTTGTTGACGTTGACGTAACCTCTGTCCAAGCATGTCCCAGACATGCTCGATGGGGGAGAGGTCGGGACTCAGTGCTGGCCAAGGTAATGTGGTGATGTTCTGTTGTTGGAGGTAACCTGTAACGATCCTGGCCCTGTGACATCTTGCGTTGTCATCCTGGAAGATGAAACGGCGGCCATGACGTCGTGCGAACGGCACAACATGGACTGCCAAGATGTTGTCCCGGTAGTACTGGCCTGTAACACGCCCTGCAACAACATGTAAAGCCGTTCTTCCAGCAACAGTGATGCCTCCCCACACCATAACAGAACCACCCCCAAATCGATCATGTCTGATGACGTTAACGTCTTGGAAGCGCTCGTTTCGACGACGCCACACCCTCCTACGTCTGTCCAAAAAATCAACAGTGAACCTTGACTCATCTGAAAACATCACATTGCTCCAGCGTCGATTATCCCAGTGTTGACGATCCCTACACCAACGACGTCTTGCCTGAATGTGATGATCTCTCAAACAAGGGATCACGCGAGGACGTCGGGCGCGAAGGTGACCCCTATGCAGTCGATTCCGAATCGTCTGGCCACTCACTCTCACACCAGTGTCTGTTTGAAGACGAGCGCTGATCTGATTTGCTGTGATGTCACGATTTCTCAAGGCCAAGGTACGGATAAATCGATCCTGGGCTTGAGTTGTCGCCCTTGGTCGACCTGAGCGTGGTCTGTCCTGTACAGATTGTGTATCACGGTATCTGGACCATAGCCTGCTTATGACAGACTGAGAAACATTCATCGTCCGCGCCACAACCGCCTGTGTTGTGCCGATCTGTAGCATGCCAAGGGCACGTAACCTTTCATTTTGGGTAAGCCGACGCATATCAAAATTTGTTTTCTGGTCACTAAAACAATTAAACTGATGTTTCCACCCTGGAATTCAATGCCACAATGACTGTAACATTCAAAGTCAGAGTCGTGCAAATCTTGGGTTGGACCCCCATGATGATCCCAAGCATCACCTGCATTCCATGCGGTAGCTATTGGTGCGTTTGGGCGTCACATGTAACTGGAAATGTTTCTTCTGTTAGGTTCTATAGTGACTTTTTTCGTAGTCATTTGCATATTTTAGTATTATGCCCCCAAAATCAAATATCCCCTACTTTTTTTGAATAGTATAATTATTAACTAGCAATCATGTTTAAAGCTGCTGAAAATCAAAAGCATCAATGGTCTAGAGCGTTGATTATAGGCTTGGCATGTGAATAAATGTCTAAAAAGTAATGATTTATATTACATTTGAGGCCAAACAAAGGTCTGCTTTAGGCAGATTTAGCTCTTGCCTAATGCATCTTTAAGCAGTGATGCCTGCAGGGTAGGAAAAACTGGCTCTTCGTCATTCATCTGGGTCCAGAAACAATTCCATGTACACACTGCCTTGCAGGAAAATGAATCCTTCAGAGATAGAATTCTTTCCGTGTCAGTTCTGAGTATTATTTGGCCAATTACAGATCAAATCATTACATGCCTAAACCAAACCGAATCATCCTTCTTATTTATATATCTTAAAGGGACAATAACACTCTTGCTGGCTTGAAAGCTCCAGAAAATAAATAATATCTCTATCTAAGTACTAGATGTTTAAGTGTCCTACCTGTTGTGTAAATTATCAATTACATCCTATTTTACTTGTCCAGAGGGTTCGAAAATATTTTTAAATCGAAGTTTCATTTGAAAAGGTTTACGTTAGACGTTTCAAACCATTATGTTGAATTTTTCAAAATTTTTAAATAAGGTGTGTTAAGATGAAATTTGTATCATCAATTAATTGAAATACTCTAAAATAGTACAATTTGTTGACCAGAATAAAGATTGGGACACATTATTCAGTTACAACAAGAGTGGTATTGAGCCTTTAAATCTTTGCCAGAAAGCGAGGCCCTGCTGTAGAAGAGCATCAGAAAAAAAAATAAAAGAAGACATAATTGTCATCTGATCTTACTGAGATTCAACACCAAATGCACTAAAAGAAAATGGTCAATTTGGAAAAAAACAAATGTTTTGACTTTGGAATTATTTTTTATTAACAAAGGAAATATTAAAAGATGTGCAACCCCCATTCTTTATCAAATTGTTAGTCGGTGAGAAGGTAGGGCTGTCAATAAAAAAAAACTATAAAGAACAGTCAACTGATTTGGCCAAACTAACACCCGCAATCTGTCCGTTAGGCTCTTGATACCCCTCCCATCTCTACGACTAACAGTTCGATAAAAAAAACATGAGAGCTGCGGTGGCTCAATAAGTAAGACAGGATATTCTTGTGCAGGGAGGACAATGTATAGTTGTTCGGATGGAACAAAAAACTGAGGTCCCACATGGGCATTGCCGTGCATGTAAAAGAACCCTTGACAAATGGAACTCAAAATAAGAGTAGGCTGTAGTGCCGCTGTCTGGGCAAAATTTCCCATGTAGCTCACTTCGATAGCCCAGTCGGTGTAGAACAATTGGACGTTAAACCCCATTTAGTTTCAATGATAAAAAATATTTGAATGAAATAGGGTTTAACTATAAAGAATTAAATGTAGAAAAGACGGATTGATCTTGATATATTTCTAATAGTCCATATAAACAAGCTGTTATAAATAATAATACATAATTAGGGCAGACATGCTTCAAGTGTATACAATCTGTTACATACTGGGCTATATTGATTTCTGCTATAAACAGAAACTGTTCTATTTGTTGAAGTGTATAGATTTAGATATTTAACACATCTGAGAAGAAGACCATAATACATTTAGATATTTAACACCTGAGAAATTGAGATATATAACACCTCTGAGAAATTGAGATATTTAACACCTCTGAGAAGAAGACCATAAAGAAATTGTTAAAGAAGAAAGCCTACAATGAAGGTGTAGCTGAAGTCGATACATTATTTTGGTATTTTGATTATTATCTGTAAAGTTACTTTCAAGACAAATTATTAACTTTTTTTCTATGTACAGGTATCTGTTAACATGTATATTCTCTTTTCAATGTTTGCAATACTTCAGTTACACATACATGTAGTTACACCCCTAAACATATCTACACTTTCATACTGACTACTTAGTCAGCTTTTCTTTTATGTTAGTCAAAGTACATGTAGTTGTAATTGGACAGGTAAAATGGCAACCCTAACCTTTTTCACCTGTGCCATTTTACGATGCATTTATACTGTGGGTCCAATGCCAGATTTGGATGAAGATAGGCCCCATGAGAGGACGATGAAAGCTTTTTAAACCCAATTGAGCAAGCCGAGGCTAAGGACGGATGTTTAAGACCAGAGTGCATGTAAGAAAGACTTATGACAGTGTCAAGAATATGTATACAATTTGACCATAGGCCTCCTAGATCTTGAAACCCTAGCCTCCAGCCTATAGGTAAATCTGGCACTATGTGGGTCCATGTGTGTACATACATTTCTATTGGCCATTTCTATTTGGGGGGGGGGGGGGCCCGAATGGTTAGCACATGCGCACTGTATCATAAGGTCTGTCATTGAGTCAACTGGCGTGGTTCGATACCCTGGTTGTACTGACAAGGAGTAGGGTCGCCTCGGTTTTCTCCGGGTCCTCCGGTTTCCTCCCACTGCTAAAGACCCCTACACATAAGCAAATTATTGAAATAACAATGACCTAGGTTGTGTCAGTGGACCTTAAACCCCATTACTCTCTCTCTCTCTCTCTCTCTCTCTCTCTCTCTCTATTGGCCAGATTACTCCATAATCTAACAGTGAATTGTCATGTCTTCTTCCACAGCACCTACATGTGTGTGATAAGATTGATTGGGGAACATGCCTGTCAGTCAATTAGATATTTCAAAAGAATTTGCAGATAATGTAAAATTTGGTAAACTAAACAAACTTAAATATCAATTAATTAATTGAAATACTTTCTTTAGAGTGGTTTTAAAAAGGGGTTTGGGAGGGACGAGGTAGCAGCTGAAATAAATGTAGATTATAAAGCCTAGGAACTTTGCGATCATCTCTACCCCCCCCCCCCCCTCCTTAACCCCCTGCACCTTTCTTCGATTAAAAAGGGGTATGGGAGGAGGTAGCGGCTAAAACAAATGTACATTTTAAAACCTAGCCAGATTTAAAGTGAGAACTCTTGTGAACACCGTTTCCGGTTCCCCCTGGCCTTACCCCCTACCCCTTTCTTAGATCGACACCTCATTAATATATTATTCTGTTTCTTTTTTTTTTAGATGTGATAATTAAATAGAAATGTAAAACGGTAATTTCGAAGATCATTGAACAAGTTTAATTGGTACTACAATATAATCCTAATGGTCGACATGCCACGAAGACAATTAATAGGGTCTACGCCTTCATCTGCTGCACAATATCATCGTTTAAAACGAGCCAATAATGAAGGTTTCATTGACCTACAGGTACCTTGTACAAACTATATATACTTCAATACTACCCTGTAAAATGAATATGATTAATTTAGTAACAAAATTGATAACTCATCTGATTGGACAGCATGCAATATTTTCAATCAATCACACTAGTAACATCAACTCTGATTGGTTAATCAAATGTCTGATGTCATAGGGTTAAAAGCCACTTATATGATCTGTAACGCGACCTCACACTGCAACTAGTCAGATCGTCATGTAGTAGAGGCCATCGAAAGTATAAAAAAAGAAACGAAATATAGATCTGTATTTTAGTCAGATTGAATTATCAATCAACGTTTTTTTCAAATGATACATTATTTTAAATAAATGGACATTTCTGTTTCAAATTTAGCCAAATAGTGTAGTAAGAATTTAAATGAATAATGTAAATTGAAAGCAGAACATAGATGACATCATGGGATGTGTGTAAACATCTGTCTGACTCCAAGAAGATGCAAGTCAGATCCAATTGATGAATAGTTTTACTCTGCAGAGCTGCCTGACCAGCCTTTCCTCGTTAATCTGGTTCTTGGCTTTAAATTCCTGGCAATTTTGTCAGTCTCAGACTTCAGTCATTTGAAGTACCCAATCTGAAATGTTGGACGGGTTTAATTGGACTCTAGGAAGATGGAAGGCAAATCCAGTTGGTCAAGTGCTTTATCATTGGGAGTTGCTAATTGTAGACTGGTTGGGGAGGTTTGGGAATTTCCAGTGTCCACAATGGCCGCTTTATATAAATGAGTATTTTGGGGTATACTAACCCTAACCCTTTTAAAAGGAGTAAAAGGTAAATTGGATCCAAATTCAGTCTTCTAAAAAGGGTTGGGGTTAGTATTCCCCAAAATTCTCATTTCTATAAAGCGGCCATTGTGGACTCTGGAAATTCCCGAACCTCCCCCAACCGGCCTACAATTAGCATCTCCCTTTATCATTACTTGAAGATAACACTTATCACCTTTGCCATTAGGTCTGTAGGAGTATAAGACGTGTGTTCAGTATCTTTGATGGTATAAACATTTGTAATGGTGGAGTATAAATAATCCTGATTATTTTAATTATTTCAGTTTGAGAAGCCCCCACCCAAGATACCATATAAAGCCATTTTTCTAGCCTTGGGGTTGTTTTTAGTCGGTAGCATACTAATTATTTTAGGAGCGTTATTATTAACGGGATATATCAACGCAAAGGTAAGTTTAATGTTTTAAGTATTTATAACCTGTATATAAACAGTTATATAACTGGACAAAGAGAAAATGGGCTAGAAAAATTTATCTAGGTATTTGGATGGTATCAAATATATTCCACATTTTGGTTCCTTTGTCTTTCTGATCAATTTGATTTTTACTCTAATTCCAAGTAATATGTAAAAGAGCATTAAGAAAATAAAAATTTATTGCATGTTAGTCCAAATTTGAACTTGGGTGGATGTTTAATCTTATTTCCCTCACTCAATGAAATCTGCAAATTCACATGGTGACATTTTGTCATTTAACACAGTTCCAAGTGTTAGGGATCAGGGCCCTGTTTCTCGAAAACTTAACTAATGATAAAATCCAAATTTTAGTAGATACTTCAATTTTGATTGGCTAAGCACTAAAATCAATGTAATATTATCCAATCAAATTACTAAAATTTGGATTTTATCTTAGTTAAAATTTCGTGAAACAGGCCCCAGGTTTTGAAGACTTGCTTGGATAAAATGTGTCATCATCAACTGCGGGAAGTGTGGAAGCTGGTTGCTGGTGAGGATGAATTGTGGCATATATCAGACAGCTAGATTTTATGGAATGCTCATGTTTGTAATAACATATAAGATTTAAGTGCAGTTTAATTCGAAGAATAGTGGGAAAGAAACAGTGGGCAAAATTCTCTCCTAGTATTACGTATGTAACCATAGAAATAAAATGTCTTTCAAGTTAGCTATATTTTAAAAATAAATGTACTTTTTTCTTTAAGTACGCAGATCGGACATGGCCGATATTAATTATGGGGTCATTGATGTTCATCCCTTTAATTACATCTTCCTCTTTTTTTTCTTTCAGTACGCAGATCGAACATGGCCGATATTAATTATAGGGTCGTTGATGTTCATACCCGGTATCTATCATGTTAGAATAGCTTACTATGCATACAAGGAATATGATGGTTATTCATATGAAGACATTCCAGAATTTGACTGAAATCGTCCACGGGCCATAAAATCTTTCATTTTGACTTTACTCCAAATTTTTGGACCAGGAACTGGTCGCTAACTGCTACTCATCATCTTGTTCTTGGGGTGAGGCACTACGAAAAAGGCTAAAGCTCCATCAATTCAAGTCCGATCGACATGAAAATTGGCATGCTTATTCTTTGAACAATTCTGCATCGATTTGGTGAATTAGATTTTTGAATTTCAACCAACAACACGCCAGTTCCTGGTCCATAGTACAATCGTAATTGTTTTTATTAGCTTTAAGATTGTGAGAGTAATAAACCAAATACAAAACACTGCAAACAAATTTAATACATCATTTTCAGTCTCTTTTTGTCATTTAAGGGATTCTGAATCCCTAAAGCAGTGGACACACTGGCAGAATCAATCGGCGTAGAAATTCGCCTAGTGTGTCCACTGTCATTCCGCCGAATTATATTCCCCTAGTGTATCCGCTTCGCCGAAGCATTCACCCAATTGTAGAACTCATTAGCCAATCACCACTCATCATCCACCATGTTTAATCATGTGACGTGAAAGGTGATGCAATCGACTGGTGAATCGTGCAAAAGAATGGCCTAATGGGTCCACCCATTCGGTCGAATAAAATTGGGCGCCAATTGATTCGGCCAAATGATTCGACTAATGTGCCCACTGCTTTACAAACTACATCATAAAAGATAAATCTCTTAAAGGGAATATCCTTGCCAAAATGGTTCAATTCTGTTCAGTGTTTACAAAGATATGCATAAGGTGTGTTTCCAAAAAACCCAGTAGCAAAGCCTTGTGTATTAATATAACAGTTTAACTATAGCATAGACCATGCAATAATTTGACCCCACCTTGAACACCAGATAGTGAGGCACAAGGTACAAAATGGTTCTCCACTGAAAAATAACAGTTATCTCCCTTTATATAATTGATTCAGTTTGTGGAACTTTGTATAATTTAACATATAAAACAATTTTCTGCAGTTTTATTTAAAATTGACTAGGAATGGGGATATAACTCTTGCAATGCTATGTTTTTCGTTATAAGAATCTCATCTATAGGCGACAATATATGCCGAGGCTCTATATTATTCCCTTTTATGCAAATTTGAAAGAAATAAGTGTTTTGGAAGATTTTGTGGCCTGAAAGCAAGATGTTCTTTTTGTATATTTTCATATTACATGTATTGTATTATATTTTAAGTAATTTTTATGTAATGTATATGGTTAACATTCTTTCTGTTTCTGGTCCAGTTTCGTGTTGAATAACATAATTGGATTTATTCTATTTTTAGACCAGGAACTGTAGCCTTATTCAAAAAAAATCTAAAACTAAATTATATTATAAGAATGCTGCCTTAACCGGACCCAACTCATGTATGATCAACCTGAGACTTGGCATGCTTGTGAATCCCCGGTTGTACGTGACAAGGAGTAGGGTCGCCTGTCCAACCTCGTGGGTTTTCTCCGGGTCCTCCGGTTTCCTCCCACTGCTAAAGACCCCTACGCACAAGCGAATTATTGGAATAAAATTAAACGATATGTTAGTCCCAAAATGACCTAGTTTGTGTCGAGTGGACGTCAAACCCCATTTCTCTCTCTCTCTCTCTGGCATGCTTGTTCCTTGTATCATAAAGTCTGTCATTGAGTCGACTGGCGTGGTTTCGAATCCCCGGTTGTACGTGACAAGGAGTAGGGTCGCCTGTCCAACCTTGTGGGTTTTCTCCGGGACCTCCGGTTTCCTCCCACTGCTAAAGACCCCTACGCGCAAGCGAATTATTGAAATAAAATTAAACCATATGTTAGTCCCGAAATGACCTAGTTTGTGTCGAGTGGACGCTAAACTCCATTTCTCTCTCTCTCTCTCCTTGGACAATTGACACATCAATTGACAGACTTCAAATTTTGATGTGACGTCACAATTTCAAGATGGCTGCGATGATGTCAATAGTAAAGTGGTACTTGCTTTGTAAATTTTAAATCAGTAAGAAAATAGGTTGTTAAACTATTTGTTTTGTAGTGTTAAATTTTATCACTTTTTCTTCATGTTTTCTTTTTTACTGTGTTAATAGTTTAATTATTATTGACGTTAATGTAATTTACATTCTTGTTATTTATTATCATGTTAAATTTTGTTTATTTTTCTAGTTTTACTTAAAGATACATTATGGGAGATTCGATAACGAGTTGGCAGTTCTCATTATAATAGTTAAAAACTGGATAATGTAAAGGCAATATGCTGAAAATTTCATTCAAATTGATCCACTAAGAACCCAGAACTAAGCGAATGAAATTTCCGTCTAGCCTCGTTCATCATTACCAAAGTCAGTACGATAAACAGCATAGTCTTGATTATCCATTTAATCGTTAAATCGTGAAGGAATGTTATGCAGTAAATCAGCTCATAATCCACTACAGATCGCAGGCTAGTGATGCCTTCTAAAGTTGATTATGGTCTGGATAGGTTAATTAATGTCTTGCATTCATTATGCAAGAGCTAAATCTGCAGATTGCAGGTCTTTCTTTAGGCCTGAAATGTTATGTAAATTATTAATTAGACATTTATTAACAAAACAAGACCATAATCAACTCTCGTTGGCATCGGATTTCCCCGATATTAAATAGATTAGATATACAGTTCAGCCATATTTTGATTTAAGCTAAAAATGGAGGTGCAAGACTTGGCTTCGATCAACCAGTATGGTGGTTGAAATTATTGCACATGTCTTGCCAAACCTTCAAAGGCTAATATCTTCGCTCGCAATAGAGTAATTTAAATGAAATTTTCAAATTATTAATTTTACATTATCTATTTTCGAATGGCTAGCTCTTTATCTAAATCTTACATAATGTATCTTTAACTTAAATTATGCGTACATTGTATTTATTTGACATATCAGAACACCCCTCTATAAAGCATCCTTATTTATTCTGTTCAATTTAAATATTACTCCAGTTGCAAGAACATGTCATCAGTAAACAAATAGAGCACTAATAAAGATTAACTAAATATTAGTCCAGGCCCCAGTTTTACAAAGCAATTTTAGACTGAAGTTAAGAATTTACTCAACTTTCAATCACTGTTTATGAGAAATGTCTTTGATCCAGAAACACAAAAAATTGCAGATAGTTTCTTATTGATATATTTGATACATTAAAACAAAAAAAGTTTTATAAGGGGCTATATTTTAGTTACAATAAGGCAAACAATTTGAACAAATTCTTAAGTTAAGCCTGTGAATGCTTTGTGAAACCGAGGCCATAAATTAACTTGTGTTGGGTGGATGTTTTAAACCCTATTTCTGTCACGCATTCGTATCAGCAATTAAAAATTTATTTTAATAAATATAAATGTATGGGTCACAGGGTCTCATTTTATAATAAAATACAATTGATTTCTTGTTAGGCCCCATTTCATTCATTCATTCATTGCTTTCTAACACTATTGTTTTCTTATAAAACTATATCCTAATTTATGACATCAGTATACTAATGATACTGGTATATGTTTGCACCAGGAAGCGGGCCACAAACACAAATCATCTTGTTATTCTTTGTTATGTTCTTCTTGACATGAAACTTGGCATGCTTGTTACATGGACAATTGTACATCTCTGGCAGTGATGATGCCATACTCAGTTTCTGATCCATAATACGCTTGTTCTTATTAATCTATGATATCAATATGGTACCAATGTTACTGGTAAATTGTATGGTATATTTCTAATGTATGATATCTATATATGGTACTAATGTATGATATCTATATAAGGTACTAATATATGATATCTATATATGGTACTAATGTATGATATCTATATATATATGTAACTAATGTATGATATCTATATATGGTACTAGTGTATGATATCTATATATGGTACTAGCCTATGATAAGGTACTAATGCATGATATCTACATCATGTGGTACTAATATATGATATCTATATAAGGCACTAATGTATGATATCAATATATGGCACTAATGTATGATATTTATGGTACTAATGTATGATATCTATATTCGGTACCAATGTATGATATCTATATACGGTACTAATGTATATCTATATACTGTACTAATTTATGATATCTATATATGGTACTAATGTATGATATCTATACAAGGTACTAATGTATGATAACTATATATGGTAGGGGGCCTACTAATGTATGATATCTATATATGGTACTAATGTATGATATCTATATATGGCACTAATGTATGATAACTATATATGGTAGGGGGCCTACTAATGTATGATATCTATATATGGTACTAATGTATGATATCTATATAAGGTACTATGATATCTATATACTGTACTAATTTATGATATCTATATATGGTACTAATGTCTATACATGGTACTAATTATACTGGTAAATTGTACAGTATATTTTTTAATGTAATCGATTCTACTTAACTTTAAGATTATTGTTTTTATGTGACCATATTGGAATAATGTATTATGAGGTAAAATATATCAATAAACTACTTTATTTATCTTTACAACAGGTGTTAATTCAATCAATAACTATCTAAATATATGTACACACACACATCCGTCATTTTATTCTTTTGTGTGTAAACCTGTCATATAATGTGGCAATCGATAAAAGTAAAAAAGTCTGTGTAAATCTGTAATAAAGAAGCAATCGATAAAAGTAAATTTGAAATCAGTGTCTAGACATGAGTAGGCTTTATCAGTATATGTGATTGTATTTAACATATGTACGACACCCTTTCAAAAACGCGTGACCTGCTCTGGGCTTAATCCATAGGAAAAAAAATGTCCTCCCACTTAATCAGACAATTCAAGGAATTGCATTTCCACCTTCACCAATCCATAGAAAAAAAATATATCCCCAATCAGTGCTTGACGATCTTTGACAAAGGGGAAAAAAACCTGTATTTTCACCCTAATACTTATAGGCCTATTGATCCATTTACTATTATTATATAACAGACCCAGTCCCATACAGTAAATATAGGAATATAAAAAGCTGTTTCCCAGTGATCCATGGAAGAAACTCGAACTGTTTCCCCTTTGCATTTGGTTGTCAAAGCACAGGAGGTTAGGGTCAAGCAGGGGTGATTTTATTTCGTTATTGACAAGATGTCCGTTTAATATTTTTTAACTAGGCCAACACGTGTTTTAACAAATGCTAAAGTGAAAGTTTATTGCTTGAACGAATTCAGCGAATCGCAGAACACACGGTGTCACCGACCGGAAGTAAATTCTATGCTATATTTAGCAAAGGCAAGATGGCAGCCTACGTGAACAGCAACATGAAGTTATTCTTGTTATTTATTTATTGTGTGTGTTCGGCTGAAGAATTTAATGCCCAAGATTACTTACGTAGGGAACATACACTGACAAAGCCGTACCAAGGTGTGAATTACTGCTTTTGCTACCTAATGTTAAAAAACAACAGCCATAAACAGTCAAGTTCTTGTGATTTTCTGGACGATTCTGTTGCCATCCCATCACTCTGTAACAGTTACTTCGCAGTTTCACACTATGAAAACTACTGATACGATCATCTGTATCTATTAAACATTAAATTAAGTTTTACACATGAAGGTTTCTTTCAAATACAGGACTTAAAATATGTACATATTGTTTAAAAATAATGAGTAGGGTGACTGAGCGAATGTCACTCTGGGTAAATGGGTTTGAACATCCAGGGGCATCACGATTAAGCTAAAAGCCAACATTATTTTCATTCATATATGACAATATTTTATATACGATAATTGATAATATTCCAATTTGTCATTACAAATTGAAAATCGTATTGTTTTTGTGTCGAAAATACCCCTCAAATTGCGTTTTCCCAGAAAGTTATAAAAGGAAGTAGGGCCTACATGTATTAAAGTGGTAACCAAGAGCATAACTCTTGTATTACACGAAATCATGTGCTGGAAATCACCTTTTGAGGGGCATAGTCAAGTACAAATTATCCAATAATATACATACATTTGTATACAAACCTGAACATGCGTCACCTAGCTATTACAGACATATTGTCAGACACAATTTATCACACCACGTTTATATTAATATTATAATATACTAGAAGGATGTCCGGCTTCACCAAGGGTCGAAATTCGCCAGGGGGTTATAACTCAGAAACCGGAAGTGGTAGGCCATTGCCACCAGGCCGAAGTTACTATCCGGTCGGAGCTACCCCGATACACCAATTTAATTTCAGCTTCAGGACAGCCCTAGTATAGCCACCAACCCAGAACAAACAGACAGACAAAAAACCGTCACAAATATTAATATAGATACATTGAGTGATAATTTGTGTCTGATAAAGTCTACGACAGGTTCCCTATGTCCAGGCTTGCTGATATCATTGTATCGTTATTGCTGATATTATTGTATCGTTAGATCACAACCAATTAAAAAGTAATTTTTTACTGACCAGCATAGATAACCAAGTTCTAACATCTGTTTGTGAGTAGGAGGACCATTGTAGTTTGTAAACTATAGTTTGGAACGGAGGACATGTTGTTTTTATAAGTTTAGGTATGAACGCTGTTGTTAATTTCGGAAGTGGGGTGGGGCGATTGGTTAACTGTGTGCATTGATTCAAGTGGCATGGTTTCAATTCCCCACTTGTATGTAACAAGGAGTAGTGTCGTCTGCCCAATGTCGTGCATTTCCTCTGGGTTCGCCGGTTCCCCCCACTGCTAAGGAAAGACCCCTATGCGCAAACGAATTGAACCATTTGTTAGTCCCAAAATGACCTAGTTTAAGTGGAGAGAACATTAAATCCCATCTCTCTCTCTTTCTCTCTCTCTCTCTCTGTTCAATATTACTGTTTGTTTTCCAGGTTCTGGTATGTCGGTTCCCCTGTGGGATTTTGTTGGTAATACACTAGTTACTAATTCACATATTCGACTAACATCAGATCATCAGAGTATTAGAGGAGCCATTTGGAATAATGTGGTATGTAGGCCGTTCTATTATACTGTATAATTCATTGTTTTTTGGGGGGTTTTATTCCTTTTTAAGTCCTCTCTTTATGTTGCCATTGTAAAGACTGAACCTTTTCCACTGTAGTGGATTTTTGCCATTGAAATCTGATGAAATTATTCTGTTTTTTGAAAAATAATCTTTTTTGATCGGCTTGAATCAGAAGGTCGCGTCAGTTAGTGACTCATTTAAATTGAGATGCCTATCATTGCGGAAAATTCTGACTGAAGATATGTTTTTTATTTTCCTTGGTGAAGTCTATGAAAACATACCAAAACCTATCAAATTTGTACAGTATCACAGATACTTGTATTTTCAGGTTTAAATTTTTGTTCCATTTTGCTATTCTGATATTTCAATAATATCTATTTTTTACATGTACTTTGCATGGCAGCAAACATGAAGGTTAGTAGTTCCTTTCACCAGCAAAATGCCAAAACAGAATTTTTTTTTTACAAGAATTGATAGTGAAACAGTCAAATACAATAGTATAAGTCAATTATAAGATATGACAAGTTATAGTGGGAGTTCACGTCAGGGGTCAAATGGGCGGATTCTGACCCTATGACGTCAGACATTGATTAATCAATCGGTGTTGACGTTTCTAGTGGTTTATCCACAGTTCCGTGCATAAAAAGGCCAAGAACTCGCCGTAACAGACCGTTTCATTGGCTAATTCCTCACATCATGTAGAACACATGTTACATAACAACTCTTCCTGACCCTAGTGTAGTAAAGACAAGTAAAACGAAATTTTGAACTATAAAAACGAAACGAAACAGGATCTGTGTTTTAACCAGATTGAGAAAAATTAATTGAAACGTACATGTATCCCGTGTTATTCAGTTATTTTTCATTTTCAGCCATGTTATGTAAGAAATTGGGAACTCCATGTTAATTTTAAAGTTCATGGTTCTGGTAAAACTTTGTTTGGTGATGGTTTCGCTATATGGTATATTAACCAAAGAATGAAAATGGGTAATCAATAATTTACATTTGACCTCTATGCTGTATTTCTTTGCTTATATTTTTAAATGTTTTAAAACAGTTTCCTACTCTTTTACCAAATTCTAACTGCCAATGGATCTTTTATGTGCACTCCATGTGTACACAGGAGCTTGGTATTTCATCCCATCTGAATGACTATACATTGTTCCTTGAAAGGCCCTCAGTCCTGCATCACAGACAATGGGAAACCACGCAGAAAAATCCTAATGAATTTTCCCGGTCAACGCAGGGATCGAACATGGGACCTACAGATTAGCAAGCCAACGTCTCACTCACTGAGCAATGATGGCTCTCTTACACTGTGTAGTCTGTTGCCCATTATGCATATAGTTTAAGCAGAAATTGAATTTTCAATTTCAATGTATAATTTGAATTTTCAATATTAATTTTGAATTTTCAATATTAATTTTGAATTTTCAATATTAATTTTGAATTTTCAATATTAATTGAATTTTCAATATTAATTGAATTTTCATTTTCAATATTAATTGAATTTTCAATTTCAATATTAATTGAATTTTCATTTTTAGTATTAATTGAATTTTCATTAATTTTAATATTAACTGAATTTTCAATAATTTTAATATTAATTGAATTTTCAATAATTTTAATATTAATTGAATTTTCAATAATTTTAATATTAATTGAATTTAAGAAATTTCATTTTCATTTGAATTTTCAATATTATATGAATTTTCAATATTATATGAATTTTCAATATTATATATGAATTTTCGATCTTATATGAATTTTCAATATTATAATATTATATGAATTTTCAATATCATTTGAATTTGGATTTTCAGCATCATTTGAAAAACAGTTTAATAATCTGTCCATCTACCAGTAATTATTGGTGATTTTTTTAATCTTGTACATTGATTTTTGCTAGCCAGCCATTCAAAATCAATAATGCTAATAATTAATTTTCCCACCTTTGCTTTCAGGTGATGTTTTTGGAAATGCTGATAAATTTGTTGGATTAGCTATATTTTTGGATACCTATAGTAATCATAATGGACCCCACAATGTAAGTAATCTATAATTGTATGTTATATACTGACAGAGAAGATTAAAATCTCTTTATACATACAAGAATGAAAATAAGAATAAAATGAAATGGGGTTTAACGTCCTACAGAGGGAAATTTTTCTTGGCTAATGCAGGGATCGAACACGCGACCTCCAGGCCAGCCACTGTGGCTCCTGAATATAAGAATAAGATATGGACTATATGTATGAGTTTGAGCAAAATTTCTGAATGTTGGACATTTTGATATTGTTTTTTTAGTAGTATCCCTTTGTCATATATTGAATAGGGTCATAGTCCCATATACAGTGTTGCCCTTCTCGACTTGTCCCTCCATCATTTTGTCTTTAAAGATTTAGTTTTGTGGTCTTTTTTCCAGTTCACCTGCTTTTACCGGACTTAGATTTCTGGATTATTTTCCCAGTGTGACAAAAATTAGGATCTATTGCTAAACTTTGTTGGTTTTCTCTGGAAACTTCTGTTTCCCACAACTTCTAATATTACCAAATGTTCTGGCTTTCAGTCATGGTTTCTATCTCTGGTTTGAGCATATGTGACTTGGAGATAGGGGAGCTTCCTCAACCTTATGGATTTATTTCATATAATCTGGTTTCCTCCCACAGACACAGGACAGACCTCTGCACATGCGCTAAGCATAATAAAAAGAGACCTCTTGTCTTGTTGGTGAAAGCGTTCATTCAACACTAATAGAAGAAGAAAGGGGTTGGATGGCCGAATGGTTAGCATGTGCACGCTGTATCATAAGGTCTGTTTTTTAGTCAACTGGTATGGTTTCGATTCCCCGGTTGTACGCACATGCAATTTATTGAAATAAAATTGAACCATATGTTAGTCCCGAAATGACCTAGTTTGTGTCGAGTGGATGTTAAACCCCATTTATCTCTCTCTCTCTCTCTCAATAGAAGAAGGCGGCTCTCTCCAACCCTGATATCTCTCACAACCTCTGTCTTTTTAATAAAATACTGAATATATTATATCTAATTTATTTCAGCATCAACATCCCTATGTATCAGCCATGGTAAATAATGGCTCACTAACGTACGACCATGATGACGATGGTACACACACTCAATTAGCTGGTTGTGAAGCTCAATTTAGAAATAAAAATTACGATACACATATCGCTATAAGATATGCTCAAAATGAATTAAAGGTCAGTAGAATATTTATTGGATCCAAGTCCAGTATTGTTATTATACTGTATAGCACATGTAAAGCTGGCTGACCTGTAGGCCCTGTGTTCAATACCGGTATTGGCCGATAAAGTTCATCGTAATTTTCCGGCATGTTTCCCCCTTGTCAGTGAATATTTTTGTTACTACCAGCCGCGGATCCAGACCCGCATCTGCTTGGGCACAATTTGGAGTGGACCAAAGCCTGAAATGATCAAAAATGGCATGTACCGCGCTCCATGTTTAAAAATTATCTGTGGAACGCCACCTAGACTGCTCAGTCATTGGCTTCATGCCTTAGGCCCTATCGAAATGTCAATATGGAGATCTGAAATTTCCTGCCCCCTCCTTGCTAAAGATCCTGAATTCACCTCTCATTATTGTGAATATTTTCAGGTATCGTTAGATATAGATAATAAAAATGAATGGAAGGAATGTTTTACAGTACGAGATGTTCTATTACCTGTTGGATATTATTTTGGTATTTCCGCTGCAACTGGTGATTTAGCAGGTAAATAGTTTTACGATTTTGATTTTATATTACTAAAATGAAGCGACCAGGGGTCTTACTCACGATTGCTTGAATAGTTTTACGATTATGATATTATATTCCTAAAATGAAGGGACCAGGGGTCTTACTTACGAATGCTTCAATTAGAATATTTAAAGAATGCAGCCTTTTCATTGGCTTAGAGCTCAAATTTGTGTTATGATTTTTACACTCCAGTCAATAAAAAGGCTGTATCCTTCAAATATTTTAGTTTTAAGTTTTTATGAATATCTCAGCAGCAATTTTACCAAATTCTAGAAGCAATTGTATTTTCTTTTCTTTTTTTTTTAAAATATTTCCGGAAAAGTTTTGTTTTTTTTTTAGTTATAAACTTCTTATCTTATACAATTTTAATTATTAAGTTAAATTGTTATTTGTGTACAGCATTTTAAAATTCATGTAATGTGAACTCTTTGGTTAAAACTAAATTACTATTTTATTATTATTCAGAGAAATCTAAATATCTTAAAATCAATACTTAGTTATAGTGAGCTCCTTTTCTTGAAATTATGATTTTACAGTAGATTTTGGAATGGCGCACTCTCATGGATCTGGGTCAAAAATAACCTTTTATTATTATTATTTTGTTGATTTGTTTTATGGGATGACAAAATCTGTATGTCTAGATAAAGTCTATGTGTAAGCCAAAATTGAATTCCACTTTATCTATATATTAATCATATTAAATTTGCCCCACCATCAATCGAAGTAACATTTCAATTCACCCAATTGTTTTACCTAAATCAATGACATTTGGATATTAAAAGTATTTGAAAGTGAATATCTGTTATGTTACTAGATACTGGCAGTATTTTTATACACAATTGACATTTAAAGGGAGATAACTCTGTTCAAGAACCCTAAGTGCATATTATCTCCCCTTAGACCACAGATCTCACTATTATTGCATAATTTTGTGTTTTTCAGATAATCATGATATAATATCAGTAAAATTTTATGAATTAGACAGTGATGAAGATGTAAGTTTATATTTAGATATATTTCTGTATTATTTTCATGTCAAAAACTTTCAGACTTTAGCCTGAAATGGTGTCACATTTCTATTCTAGGGAATGTATGAAATCTGAATTTGATTGTATTTCTTCTTATTAATTAATTTTACAAAAAACAGATATTGATCTGTTTAACCCTTTAACACTTGCAATATTTGATTATTGATTACCCCAGTTAGCTGTTCATCATACCGGTACTTCCCTAAACAGATTGAAACTACTGGGCCTTAGACTGCCACAAACAACCTCAGATATATGGATAGCTTTCTGTATTATAGAACTAGATTTACTTGTATGTGCCACAACTGTGCATGTGACGAGAGAGTTTCGGGCAGTCTGAGTGCTAAATGGTTAATTGAAATAATATAGTTTTTTTGTGGGCTTTTAAAAAGTCATTGTGTGATGTAATATCAACTCTGTAGTGACGTTGTTGTTTATTTTGTTGTATATTAAATATTTCTAGAAAGACAGTGAACCATATACAGGTTATCCAGCAGCCAAAAATATGGAATCTCCCAGAGGTAAGTTATTTTACAAATAGACAGAAAAATCTTCACAATTTGATACGTTTGTTCAGACTCAATTAGTTCATTTTGTTGAATTAATATTAGTAAATATTTCATAGGAAACAAAAAGCAGATTAAATCCATTAGTTTCAAATAGCTGTGAAAAACTATTGATATTTAAATATGTGTGAGATCACTACAATGTAGTAGTCGTTTATACTTTTAGGTGTATATGGAAATTCAAATAAATTTTGATGTTACTAATCAATTCAGGAACAATACTAATGATACGCTCATTTATGTTGATATTATTGTCACAGCTTAATTAGGCTTCGGATAGTGTCTAGTTGTTCGGATGGGACAGAAAACGAGTTCCTGTGTACACATGACATAGAGCCACTGTCCGGGCAAAATTTCCCTCATACTCATTATATTCATAATCCAGTCTCTGCAGAAAAGTAGGATGTTAAACCCTATTTCATTTCATTTGTTTTAATAAGGCTCTTAGAAGATACTATAAAGTTATTTTTTTGTATGTTTCAGATCGTGTTGATGAAAATAAAGGATCCTATATAGCTGGAAATTTAACGGGCTGGAAATTATTTATTGTCATAATTTTAATTATTATTGGCCTGTGTGTCTGTGGTGTTGTTGGTTTTGTAGTTTTTCAAAAAAGACAAGAAAATTCAAGAAAACGTTTTTACTAAAAAAAAAAATGATTTTTTATATTATTAAGATAATTACTTACAGTTAAATAAGTTTTGTTATGAAAAAAAGAAAAACATTTTGAGGTGAAAAAAAAATTAAAAAGAAAAACAGAAAAATAATTTTGATTTGTCTGATTAATTAAATTAAGCAACATCTTTTTTTTGAATAATTGATTATTAAACCTAACTAGGCATGATAAGAGATAAGAAATAATAAAAAGACACTTACATTGTGATAGTCAGGAATCAAAGAGTTACGGAATAGGTTAGTGATGTGATTTAGATTCTTGAATGTCTCCATGATGTAAAACAGTCCTTTTTATTGGCCTGCTTTGTAGAGACAAGAAGAGGATTAAAACCCCATTTTATTTACGAAGCACTGCATGTGTAGTGTGGCATGGTAGTCAAGCGGCCATAGGACTGGTATCCTAGGCTCCCCAGTGTGTGAGCCAAGAAGAACTGTTGACATCTAGGAAGATATAATTAGTTTAAAATGAGTTAACAAAAAAAAGCAGAAAGGAATAAAAACTAACCAGCTATCAATCAGATAATATTATAATTTCTTTCATCAGCATTTTAGTAGTTAAACATATGAACACAAGGCACAATTTTATCATTACATTACTAAGAGAGAGAGATGGGGCTTAACTTCCACTGAGACTAACATATGGTTTTTAATTTTATTTTAATAATTTACTTACACGTAGGGGTCTTTAGCAGTGGGAGGAAACGGGAGGACCCAGAGAAAACCCACAAGGTTGGACAGGCAACCCTACTCCTTGTCACATACAACCGGAGAATGGAAACCAAGCTAGTTGACTCGATGACAGGCCTTATGATACACACACACCCCCCATTTGAATAGTAGACAAATACAGAATATGCAGCAACAATAACAATGAAATACAGTTGAAATTTAACAACTTTGATTTTTATCCCTAAGAGGCATTTAGCAATTGATTTATGATATATTACTAGAGTGCTAAGATTGGATACTATCACTTGAACCATGTGTTAGTCCCGAAATGAGTGGACGTTAATATAGCAGTATTGATTATTGGCCAATTATTGATTATTGAACAGCGGACGATGGTCTGGTTTTGGGGAAGCCGCGGTGGCCCAGTAAGGCTCTCGCCCACTAACCAGGAGGTTCTAGATTCGATCCTGGTGTTGGTCGAGAACGCCTAGCCGACCATATGGTAGTCCCGAAATGACTCTCTCTCTCTCTCTCTCTCTCTCTCTCTTTCTCTCATTTGCTTTTTAAAGACAGGAGTATCCTGGTCGAAATGTTACATATTAATAAATTGTGTAATTATATAGCCATAAAATTGTGCCCTGTAGATAATATTATACATGTAGTTAGTTTAGTACCTATATATATATAATATTATGTTGACGTTAGTACCTATATATAGTTAAGGTGATAGTGTCAAGATCAAAGTTGGATTAAATAAAACCCTGTGATTTTTTATAATATAAAATCAACTTTAATAATATATAGCGATTTGTAAACATTCCCCAAGTGTCCTTATTCAATGATGTTACAAAGTAGCATGTACAATTCTATTTTTTGCATGTCCTGCGTATCAAATGTCCAATTTAGTTGCCATACAAATAAGTATTACTAGCGGATGAATCAGCGCTGCACGGGTTGAAAGTAGTATAACGCTAAAACCGAAAGCAGTAGTCTAACACCACCAGGATTATGTTACTTGCCAGTTGGAGCTACCCCTATACACTAAATTTCAGCCTCGGAACAGCCTTGGTGTCAATCTGTTTCATAGAGTATTACAAAAGACTTCTAATATCTCTGTAAAAGATGACTGCCTTCAACACATGACATCATATCACGCGCCGTCAATCATTGGCTCAATGGCGCGTGCATTGTTTACATAAGACGTTACTGATTTAAGTAGAATGGCGCCTTTTACTCAATTTGATACCAATTTACATTAAAATAGGAAATAATTTTTACCTACAAATACTCCAAACATCTTTATTTACTTTTATAACACATAAAAAATGTTTTAGGATTTAATTTGTCACCCTTATCAGTGATTGTCGTGGCCTAGCGAATATTCACTGCTGATCTGGGGCCTGTTTCACGAAATTTTAACTAAGATAAAATCCAAATTTTAGTAATTTGATTGGATAATATTAGACTGATTTTAGTGCTTAGCCAATCAAAATTGAAGTTTCTACTAAAATTTGGATTTTATCTTTAGTTAAGATTTTGTGAAACAGGGCCCAGTGTGCCTTAGTGTAGCCACCAAACCTGAACAGACAAACAAACGACAGTCACAGATATTAGTTTAGATTATTACAATAAAGATGATCCTATAAATCACCAGATTATTGCCTCTGTAACAAAATCATTCGCATTTAAATTTTTTACTAGGTTGTCCGGGGATGTACCAGTATAAAATATAAATATATCGTCTTTCTGTAGATCGGGATAATCAATATTTACATGTATCAAGTGCTAAAGCGCTACTGTTTCTCTCCTTAATAAAATTCCGGTTTCCTCCCACTGCTAAAGACCCCTATGCTCAAGCGAATTATTGAAATAAAATTAAACCATATGTTAGTCCCAAAATGACCTAGTTTGTGTCGAGTGGACGTTAAACACCATTTCTCTCTCTCTCTCTCCCTTAATAAAATCAAAGTGTCCAACTATATAGTTTAACATTTTAACTCAACTAAAGGAGCAGTTCCATAAATAAATGAAAGAAACGGTTGTATTTCTAGATTAGATTTTCACAGTTAAACCTCAGAATTGTAATAAACATATAAAAATATTCAACAAACAATTATTTTCATTGATTTGTCAGTTTAATATCATCAATTAATGTTACATATTATATCAGCTGAAATAATGTTGACTTAGTTTGTGTGGAGTGGACGTTAAGCCCCATCTCTCTCTCTCTCTCTCTCTCTCTCATCTATCAGCATTTATAAACCACAATGAAAGCCTGCTTTATGTAGATTTATTTGTTAGGGGGGTTAAACCCCATTTCATTTCAGATTGAGATCTAGTCCCTTTAATGCTGGGTTCTTACTATCACGATTCACGCTACAATTGAAATCGTGGTTTTAATCGTGGAGTAATGGTGGTGATCCTACCAGGTCTTCTCATGTATTGAGATCACTTGTAGCAATCGTGTCGAAACGTATTCGAACATATCTGCACGTAACAGATCGTGGAATGAATAGGAACAATCCTATGATAAAGCATGCAGGACAGTGGGAACTTAGCATAACTGACTTAAGATTTTTCTTGTTGAGCAACTTTCTATTTATGTATAAAGAATGTAAGTGAAAGTTTCTGTGTAATTGTAATTAGAATTTACAATGTTTGTATAATAGCTTGAGGTATATATCTTTATAAGGTGTAAATGGTTATGTTAATAAAATATACTACTGTCTGTAGACCAGTCTGTTACTCCCACTAGAATTGTAATTATATTTGTGAAATTACGCAATTTACAACATAAATGTTTACATTAAACCAGTTCAATTGTATTTGTGGCATTTAGTAATTCATCTAGAAAAACACAGGACACAATTTTATGGAGGACAATTACACCGTACATTTTATTATGGAGAGACGTTTGGACTCTCTCTATGCAGTATTAACCATTCAGATGTTAATTGATTTGTTAAACCCTTGTCGAAAAGTCCCACTGAAATAAACTTTTAAGTAACTTGTACTACATATTATTGTCTCCGGTAAGTAACCCAACCAAAATGTGCTACACTATTATTTCTTTTAAACCAAGATATAGGACAAAAAAATTTTGGGAAGTGGTGGTGGGTGGGGGGGGGTGGATTCTATCCTCTGCTAATTCTGTGTTGATTATGAGCTGAACATGTAGACTATTTTCAATACTTTGCGCTAATATACCGAGATGCAATGAAAACCCATCGATGCATGATTGTAAATCATTTTTGAGAGATACACTTTAATCTTGTAATTCTAACTGTAACACGTCAGATCACGGCGATAACACGTGGGAATTGTGTTTTCACGATCGCTTTAATGATACGTACAACAAGACCGGTGCATTATCCAGCAACATCTGAAGGATGGCACGCTTTCAGCTTCCCTTACTGCTTCGATTGTGAGCGGTCGACATCGGTTTATCAGTACTGACAGTGTTGTCACCGACTGCCTTCCGCGTTCGGACGACTTTTCGACGGACTTATACCGACTGAATGCCGTTATTGACTTTTGATCTGTACCTACGTGTTATTGTAAAATAGAGTTGCTGTGGCCCCGGTGGGTTATTGTTGATTTTCAAGTGTCGATCAATAATCAGGCCAAAAATCACATTTCGGCTGCATTACGTCAGTTATTGCGGATCAAACATGGCATACTTGGCGACGTGGCTAACCCCGAGCGAGCATTCAGTGAATTATGATACTACTTTTTTATTCAAAAGATAATCGTGGACATAATTCAATTTCAATATGAACCTATATTGGGACGGATACTTAAGTTCGCCATGGATCCCGTCTGTCTTAATCCGGCACCGAAATCAGTTTCAACAGTATATATCTTGGTATTAATAGTTTCGTTTCCTGGGGCTGGAGGTGTCCCTTTAGCAGCAAAATACCCTGGTTTGTTGTTGGGGTCGGAATAGGGGCCCCCATTTACTTAAGTTCGCCGTGGCTCCCATGCGTTTTAATTCACAACCGAAATCAGTTTCAGTATATATCTTTGTATTAATAGTTTCCTGGGATTGGGGGCATCCCTTTAGCAGCAAAAGCAAAAATAGGATGAAAGGCTTTGTACATACTTGTATAGAACTAGGGAATAAAAAGATTGTGCAGATATAATTTTATTGGCTTTACTAGTAACATGTTTAGAGCTGTACGGTAAAATCCAATTAAGCTTGGCAGCTAATGATAAATTACAGATATTTGAAATAGCAAACTTTATGTATTCCTGTTATATAAAGATGGGTGAATTTGTAATAACCATCCAGCTATAATAAAACGCCACTCAAAAAAACGATAAAAAATAGTCAAATTTTCAGGTTGGGATTCAAAAATTATAATTTAAAAAAAATTATAAAATTTTCATTTGAGAACCTTGGTTTTCACTACTCGTACTAAAAACATGACCATTGAGTCAAATTTCGCGAATAAATGTAATATAATTATGAATTTAAACAGGTCCCGAATTCAAACATTATTTTATAAAATATAATAATGGTGTGAAGTGATATTATTTTTTTTTTAAATATAATGATGGAATGAACGATTTTGATTATTTTATAAAATATAATGACAGAATGGGGATTGAGGACTTTTTTTTTTTTTAATAAAATATGATGGAATGGGGGTGTCTGATTAATGATTATTTTATAAAATATAATGATGGAATGAAAGTTGATTGATGATAATTTTATAAAATATAAAGATGGAACGAAGGGATAAGATTATTTTATAAAATATAACGATGTCATGGGGAATGAAGGTTGATGATCATTTGATAAAATATAAAGATGGAATGAAGTGATAAGATTATTTTAAAAAATATAATGATGAAATGAAGGTTGATGGTCATTTTATATATAAAGATGGAATGAAGGGATATTATTATTTTAAAAAATATAATGATGGAATGAAGGGATTAGATTATTTTTAAAAAGTGTTATGGTGGAATGAAGGGGTATTTTATATAATGATGAAATTAAAATGAAGGTTGTTGATTTGATTTTTTTATAACATATTATGATGGAATGAAGGTTGATCATTATAATTTTATTAAATATAATGATGGAATAAGGGCATTTCATTATATAATAGTGATATGAGTGTATTTGATTATTTTATAACATATAATGATGAAATAAGGGATTTTTTTTTTTTTTTTTTTTTTTTGTAAAATATAATGACCGAATGAAGGATTTTGATTTGTTTTAATATAAAATGTAATGATGGAATGAAGATGTTTGGTTATTTTATAAAATAATATAATGATGGAATGAAGGATTTTGATTTTTGTTTTATAAAATATAATGAATTTGTTATAGATCAGTTGTTATATTTGGATAATAATTATAGAGTTGTAGGTGTAAATGATAAATCGAGACAATAAAAATAATATGTAAATAGTTATTTTATACAGTCTTATTTTTACGACCTGGACAGCAACCCAATCCTCTTGAGGGGGTTGGATGGCGGGATGGTTAGTGCGTTCGCGTTGTATCATAAGGTCTGTTATTGAGTCAGCTGGCGTGGTTTCGATTCCCCGGTTGACAAGGAGTGGGCTCGTATGTCCAACCTCGTGGGTTGACTCCGCGTCCTCCGGTCTCCCGTCACTGCTAAAGACCCCTGGTGATGTAGGTTTAATAGATTTTGATCAAATATTGTTATTGACTATTAACCGGATTGTAGTTTAAAGATATCCACGTGTATAACCGATATAGCTTAATAATAACTAACTTTAGTTTAATTTCTGGCTGTGCAAATTGGATTTATAATATAAACTATATTGTCAGGAACCCATAATAGAAATACGAAAGTTTCGCTGTCTGTCTACAATTAACTCCGCTTCCTAAATCGACGATATTCGTCGAAGACACTAAGTTTTATTTATAGCACGGCTATAAATGACTTGTAACATTGACATGCTTGTTGTTATTGCACAGAAAACCCACCCCCTTCTCTATATGATTTCTACTAAAACTAGTATACTAATCTTTTTAATATGGCGGCCAATCAGGGCAGATATCTTTTCTCAAAGTATATAGTTCTCTGTGTAGATAGAATGTAGTAAGCCAGCACCTTATCCACTGAGCCGTAGGCCGTAGTGCCGCTGTCCGGTCAAAACTATCTGCAATGGCACATAATAGGGTGTATGTCCGTCTTCATTATCCGGTTGGTGCACACAAATAGGACGTTTAACCCCATTTCACTCCTTTTCACAATCTATTTTATGAAATTTCAGACAGTTTCCCCCCACAGCAAGCGAATTATTGAAATAAAATTGAACCATATTTTAGTCCCGAAATGACTTATTTGAAATCGAATGGACGCTACCTCTCTCTCTCTCTCTCTCTCTCTCTCTCTCTCAAGGGGGGGGGGCGCAAATGGTTAGCGCGTGCACGTTGTATCATAGCGTCTGTCATTGAGCCAGCTGGTGGGGTTTCGATTGACCGGTTGTGCGTGACAAGGAGTAGGATCGCCTGTCCAACATCGTGGGTTTTCTGGTTTTCCCTGACTTCTAAAGACACCTACACACAAGCGAATTATTGAAATAAAATTAAACCATTTGTTAGTCCCGAAAATGATTATTGAAATAAAATTGAACCATATGTTAGTCCCGAAATGACCTAGTTTGTGTTGAGTGGAGATTAAAATCTCTCTCTCTCTCTCTCTCTCTCTCTGAGAGACTTTTGCCTTGCTTGTACTACTACATCCAGCACAATGCTCCACCAATACTGTCATTTCTATAAGATAATCGGTGCTCAACCCCAAGATCTGTGACTATAAATTTATAGCATAAAAGAGATAGTTGACACCGGTGAAACCCGTCATCACTGCATGGCAGTTCTAGTAATCTATTATGGTTGTATTATTGTAATGTAAAACTCTTATGAGCTTTTAATCAGTCTCTTTCGCCCCATTGGAATATATAGACAATGTAAAAGCCTTATCGTTAACAACATTGAGTAAATATGCAAACACGGTAAGACAATGAATATTACATTATACAAAATGATAATATAAAACACATTAATTTGATACAATTTATGTACATTCGGTTATTAAATATGATGCATTCATTAAAATAAATATGATATAGCCAGGTAAATGTTAATTAATCGAAGGTAAATGTTAATTATACGAAGGTAAAAATAGATAACAGTTATTATGAGATCAGAGTAATAAAAATTGATGGGGTAAAGTGAATATAAAGTGAATATAGATAAAAAGTATATGAAACCCAGTCATTATATAGATAAAAGTTTATAATCTAGCCACGGGGAACATAGATAAAAGTTTATAATTATTTATAGGACCTGGTCAATATAACTACAAATAAACACACTAAAAAAACCATTACAATAAATATACGTTTACAATTTCTTGTATTTTTCTAGGTTCCCACTATCACGATTCACGCTACGTTTTAATCGTGGAGTTATCGTTATGATCCTATTGGGTCTGATCATATATTGAGGTCAGTTGCAGCAATCGTGTTGATCGTATCGAAACGTATCCGAGCGTATCTACACATACCAGATCGTGGACTCAATAGGGACAATCGTAACGCACCGCACGACAGTGGGAACCTGGCATTAAGAGAGGGGGAAATGGGGATTAACGTCCACTCGACACAAGCTAGGTCATTTCGGGACTAACATATGGTTCAATTGTATTTCAATAATTCTCTTATGCGTAGGGATCTTTAGTATTGGGCGGAAACCGGATTCCCGCAGAAAACCCACGAGGATGGACAGGCGACCCTACCCCTTGTCACGTACAACCAGGGAATCACCAACGTAACAACACACCACACTGATATAATATACTCTTTATTTTAAAACATATCAATCTGATTAAAACACAAATCCTATTTCGTTTCGTTTTTTATAGTTCAAAATTTCGTTTTACTTGTCTTTGTTATCAGTGACGTGTTTTGGATGATGTGAGGATTACGGCGAGCTTTTGGCGTGTGGTGCACGGAACTGTGGTTAATCCATTAGAAACACAAATGCTGAGTGGTTAATCAAATGTCTGACGTCATAGGGTCAAAAGTCGCTCGTATGACATCTGACGTGACCTCCAAGTACAACTTGCGAGAACTTCATGTAGTGTAGGCCATCGAAAGTATAAAAAAAAGAAACGAAATATAGATCTGGATTTTAATCAGATTGAAAACATATCAAACGGTTCCCGTTATTGAAATTAATAGAATTTCAATTATTTTCATCTCAGAATCACAATTTCTAGGACTTTTCCTCCGGACTCACACCAACGTCCAACAAATGGCACTAAATATGGTATTGCCAAATTCTTCCGAATATTTGACAATAATGTTAGAGTAAAGGTGTAAAGAATTAAAAGATTACCAAGGAGCTATAAATTAATTAGATTTAGTCCATTTTTATCTCTTCTATATCCTCAGCCACCACATAAAAACATTTCTGGATGAATAGTGAGAATTTTTCTGAAAAAGAAAAGGTATTTGAGTTAGGAAAAATTTTGATCTACAGCTCTTCAGATCTACAGCATAAACTAAAACCACTCGCACACCTACCGCCGACGGAGAAGCTGTGGCTCGGTGAGTACGACGTTGGCTTGCTCAACTCGGTGATAGCCGAGAAAGTTAATTTGGATTTTCCGGAGTGGTTCCACCTTGCCAGTGGTGTAAGAGCGAGGACCTGGCAATGCACAATGTATAGTCGTTCGGATGGGACGGAAAACGGACGTCGCGTGTTTATGTAAAAGATCAATTGACAGTGGGATTTCGAATTAAGAGTAGGCCGTAGTGCAGCTGTCCGAGCAAAATTTCCCGCATAGCACAGTGTGTGGCGTATGTCCGTCTTCATTAGTCCAGTTGAAGCAGAACAGTAGGATGTTAAACCCCATTTCCTACCCAAGTGAACATGCAATATATATACTTACTGTGATAATTTTCAAAGACTTGAGGTTTTTTAGACCACATGACAGCGACAACATAGACTGGTATACCAGTACACATCACGGCAATACCCATCAAACATTCCATTGGACTAGATGTTAACGGTGTTATAATCAGGAATATTATAATCAACAGAAAAAATATAGGAAATATGATATGTACCTGAAATATACAAACAAAAATATAGGAAATATGATATGTACCTGAAATATACAAACAAAAATATTTTACATTATTATAACTCTACTTTTGGCACTGCCCATAAGTTGCCGGTCACTAAACCCAGCTTTCAAAATACAAGCCCGATTTCTAATACCAGTTCACATAGTTAATAAATTACAAGTAATTTTTTTACTAGTATAGTAAATACAGAGGCGTAGACTAAACAATATTCTGTGATTGCAGCCAGACTTACGCCCACAGCAACTAAGTTGTCCGTAAGGTCGCAATGCTTTTTCCTCGTATTAACATTAACAAGTCTTTTTAATTTCATGTCAATCTGATGATAATGTAATGACCGCGTCATTTTTAAAGTAAACATGGGCAAAAACTAAAAGTAATCTTTAGAGATTCTTCAGCACTTAATCATAAACATTGTATATCGATTTAAAGTGGGATGATGTGTGACACAACCACTTCGTCACATTGTCAAAACCATGTGTGCCACAGCAATTTGGCGATTATGTCGACTTTGACTTCACGTTGTGTTTCAATATGAACTTCTCGTTGTGCAATTAAACCGACCTGCATATTTTGTCACCTTGTTTTTGAATAAACATAGAACTCTGGAAACAAGATTGTTTGTTATTATGATTATATGGCTCTAAATCACCAAATCACCAATACAGTACAGCAATGATGATCATATAAAATACAACATACTTTTTCCATAAAGCATTCCTTTAACGTTTGTGTAACACTCGTGAAGCGTCATTGAATGCATGGCAGTAATGTGCGCTATATCAAATGTAATATGTTATGTTATGTTATGTTAACTCTTACAGTTTAAAGTCCATATATTTGTTATATTACGTAATGGGACATACTACTTAGCTACGATCGCTATACATTCTGAATGATGACAGGATTAATAATAGCCCGCATCTGAATTTAAACAGGGAAACTTCCTAAGAATGGGATGGATGGGTCAGAAACCAACTTTCATATAATCATAATTATGATTGGCCATCGTGCCCCTAATATTTGACTGGAGAAAAAGTACATCTCCGCTTACCTTGTTCACCTGCGAAACTTTCCATCAATTTAAGCATTCAACGGTACTTGTAATAGCGACACAATAGGGTCGTATTTGGGGAGAGGTGGGGGGGGGGGCGAAATTCTAATTTTCAATATAAAACATATAATTTCTTATTTCATGATTTTATTTATTATGTTTGAGCCAAATAAATCTATCTGTCTAGATACTGACATACAAATTGCATTTGGGTGAGTGTGGTGGACGCTGACCATGACATGGCCCCCTTTCACTGTTGATGGAAGGGCCCTAGTGACATTTTGACATCTTATAGCACCATCTATAGCTGTGAGTGAATAAAAAGTAAACTTACAGGTGTTTCAGAAAATATAATCTTACCTTAATTGGTCGTTCCATGTCTGGTCGTGTATACCGTAGCATGAGTAACGCTGCTACAGATACACCAATACATAACGTTTCAACAAACGCAGCGTAATTAATTAACGCATATATATCACTTGAACACAACATAATCAGTGACATTATACACTGAAATAAAAAAACATAACAAAATCAGTGACATATTACACTGAAATAAAAACCACAACATAATTCAGTGACATAATACACTGAAATAAAAAACACAACATAATCAGTGACATAATATACTGAAATAAAAACACAACATAATCAGTGACATTATACACTGAAATAAAAAAACACAAATCAAGTCTGTTATTAATCAAACACACAAATTTAAACAAAATGATAATGTTGAGAGAGGAGCCAGTCGTTAATGAGAGGTTCGTCTAGTGTAGATTGGGGATAGATGAGCGTTTGAAACAATTTTACCGCTTCCGTTTCCTTATTTAAAGGCGCAATCATGACCAAGGGTAGGGTGTTCACATGTTCAGCATTAAATGTAGAATAAAGACAGACTCCCCCGTACTTTTGTATTGCATCAACTCTCGCCCTTCGACCCGCCTTTCATTCGCTTTAGCGTCCATTTAAGGACCCAATCAAGGTATAACTTTTAAAAACTTACTTACACCAAACATTATAGCTGGCACAGGTGTCATTAATTTAGGGTTGATGGTAGCTAAAAATCCAGGTAAATGTCCATAACGAGCTCCAACAAAAAACAACCTGAATATATAAATAATGATAAATACAGTTACAGATTATCTCTTGTAGTTGTAATTCTCAAGTCAATGTCTTCCTATGAACCTGCATGTTCCCGAAGCAATGATCGGGAGTACGGGGTTCAAGCGAGACCGAACAGTAGGACGTTAAACCCCATTTCATTTCATTTCAAGCGAGACCAAACCGTCTATTGAAATGATGAACCGAAAGTTTGAGCTTGGTGTGCTGTCGTATTTGTGTGTACTCTGATCGGGGGATTTAATTATATGTTATCCAGAGCTTTTATATCGGGGAATTTTAAAGATTGTTGGGGTATGAGTTTTTATTTATTTATTTTTTTTTGTTACATATGTTTACGAGAATTCATAGCAAAGTTTACGGCTATTTTTTTTAGAAATGAATGACCGCTGCTTTCCCTAGCAAATTAATTATATTTTATTTTCTAAATATTCACCCCCTTACCAGGAGGGTACCTACCTTGCTTGTGTGAATATACAACCATTTAAATTACCAAACGTTGACATGGCAACAAATATCGGCATAATCCATGACATGACACCAAGTGTGCGATTAGAAAACGTCTGGAAAATACAATAGGGCATCATAAATATCCTCGTTAGATTGTGGTATTGTGGGTTCATTATTACGTTCTTTAATTAAGAGCCGTGCTTGATCAGAGACGTGGCATTTTAATCCTATACACATGATTATACACATGACCCATCCCCTTAAATATACTATTCAAAAAAAGTAGGGGATATTTGATTTTGGGGGCATAATACTAAAATATGCAAATGACTACGAAAAAAGTCACTATAGAACCTAACAGAAGAAACATTTCCAGTTACATGTGACGCCCAAACGCACCAATAGCTACCGCATGGAATGCAGGTGATGCTTGGGATCATCATGGGGGTCCAACCCAAGATTTGCACGACTCTCACTTTGAATGTTACAGTCATTGTGGCATTGAATTCCAGGGTGGAAACATCAGTTTAATTGTTTTAGTGACCAGAAAACAAATTTTGATATGCGTCGGCTTACCCAAAATGAAAGGTTACGTGCCCTTGGCATGCTACAGATCGGCACAACACAGGAGGTTGTGGCGCGGACGATGAATGTTTCTCAGTCTGTCATAAGCAGGCTATGGTCCAGATACCGTGATACACAATCTGTACAGGACAGACCACGCTCAGGTCGACCAAGGGCGACAACTCAAGCCCAGGATCGATTTATCCGTACCTTGGCCTTGAGAAATCGTGTCATCACAGCAAATCAGATCAGCGCTCGTCTTCAAACAGACACTGGTGTGAGAGTGAGTGGCCAGACGATTCGGAATCGACTGCATAGGGGTCACCTTCGCGCCCGACGTCCTCGCGTGATCCCTTGTTTGAGAGATCATCACATTCAGGCAAGACGTCGTTGGTGTAGGGATCATCAACACTGGGATAATCGACGCTGGAGCAATGTGATGTTTTCAGATGAGTCAAGGTTCACTGTTGATTTTTTGGACAGACGTAGGAGGGTGTGGCGTCGTCGAAACGAGCGCTTCCAAGACGTGAACGTCATCAGACATGATCGATTTGGGGGTGGTTCTGTTATGGTGTGGGGAGGCATCACTGTTGCTGGAAGAACGGCTTTACATGTTGTTGCAGGGCGTGTTACAGGCCAGTACTACCGGGACAACATCTTGGCAGTCCATGTTGTGCCGTTCGCACGACGTCATGGCCGCCGTTTCATCTTCCAGGATGACAACGCAAGATGTCACAGGGCCAGGATCGTTACAGGTTACCTCCAACAACAGAACATCACCACATTACCTTGGCCAGCACTGAGTCCCGACCTCTCCCCCATCGAGCATGTCTGGGACATGCTTGGACAGAGGTTACGTCAACGTCAACAACGTCCTGCCAATGTCCAAGAACTTGCTGCTGCGTTGCAACAGGAATGGGACAATCTGGACCAAAATGACCTTAAACGTCTCATTAGGAGTATGCCACGTCGGATCAATGCTTGATTGGCAAACAGAGGAGGATTTACCCGTTACTGACTTGGTTGTGATGCTGTGGTAACTTTGCTGTTTGACCCCGGGTATCATTTTACCCTTATAATGGTCAGTCTGTGCCTTACTTAGTCTAACGATCATTTGGAATAAATCGATGAATGTGAACTTCATTTCATTTTGTCATTTGTTTCTTCGTCAGTTTCATTAGGTGACTTTAATAACACTTAAAAATCAAATATCCCCTACTTTTTTTGAATAGTATACTTACGCCCAAGGCCTAAAATAACGTGCTTCGAAAATAAGAAAACCGTGCTCTGAAAAAAATGGTGTAGTGAACTGAAAAGTGTAAGATAGCGATGCCTTCTGACCCCCGTTGGGCGTTTCCTCTTGTGGTGGTCAATTGCACAGATAAGATCAGCTTGCGCTCGATCAGCTCCCTCGGATGATTCAGTGAGCGCCAGCCGCATCAGCCCACTAGTCCGATTTTTTAGTAGGCTTGATATCCGATCCCCTGCGTCCTTGACCGTCATTTCACTTTCACTTTGAAAAAGTTTTTTTACAGATAATTTTCACGAATTTTCGGTATTATCTGCGCCAGAATAGTCCATAGATACCGTTTATTGGTCGCATTATTCCAATAGGCCGATTGCTTATTAGCAATTGTGGAAAAGTTCAGATCGAACAAAAAAAATCTTAATATTAGGCAGGTTATAATTTTAATCCCCCGAGTCATATTATGTACCTTTTTACATAAATAATATTAGCTACATTATGAGTACAACTTACCACAGCTACGGCATCAGATGCTATAAGTTCCGCTGGTGATAATATAACTAGATATGCGATATTAGCTAGAATATATATAGTTGTAACTAACGGCAACGATATCCAGATAGCTCGAGGTAAATTCCTAAAAGTAGATACAAGATACACAATACATGTCTATTACAATACTAAATTTTGATTATACACTCCGAATGGATAACGAGTGCGCTTTGTATCAGAAGGTCTGTCATTGAGACACGTGGCGTGGTTTCGATTCATCGCTTGTACGTGTAGGTTCGCCTGTCCAACCTCGTGGGTTTTCTCCGGGTCCTCCGGTTTCCTCCCACTGCTAAAATCCCCTACGCACAAGCGAATTGTTAAGATAAAATTGAAAAAAACGTTAGTCAGGAATAACGTAGCTTGTTTCGTGTCGTGTGGACGTTAAACCCTAATTCTCTTTCTCTACAGAGATTGGTGTAGTGGCTACAATACAAAACTAGTTTATCTAAGTTTTAGACATCTTATGTATAGATAAGTAAAATATATGAATTACTTGTATGGATCTTTTAGTTCTTCTGTTACAAAATTTAAACAATTCCTGAAAAGAAATAATAATTTGCATAATAATAATTTGCATAATAATAATTTGCATAATAATAATTTGCATAATAATAATTCGCATAATAATAATTATGTATATACGCATAAAAGTAAGAGCTAAAAAGATTAATGCATATCAAAAAGTACAAACTGTTTGGTAAACCGTTTTCAGGGTGCAAATCCAAGCATATTGATTATTTTCTACGATTTTCAATAAATAAAGGCCATTTAATCCCTTTCCTGATTAGGGGTTGGATGGCCGAATGGTTAGCACGTGCGCGCTGTATCATCAAGTCTGTCATTGAGTCAACTGGCGAGGTTTCGATTCCCCGGTTGTACGTGACAAGGAGTAGGGTCGCCTGTCCAACCTCGTGGGTTTTCTCCGGGTCCTCCGGTTTCCTCCCACTGCTAAAGACCCCTACGCGCAAGCGAATTATGGAAATAAAATTGAACCATGGAAATGACCTAGTTTGTGTCGAGTGGACATTAAACCCCATCTCTCTCTCTTTCTCTCTCTCTCCTCTCTCTCTCTCTCCCCTCTCTCTCTCTTTCTCTCTCTCTCTCTCCTCTCTTTCAGAAAGTTTAATAGTTGATAGTCGGTTGTACTCACCATCCAGCATACGCATATAACCCAGAGTAAAACGCCATGGCAAATTTACTGGCTTCTGTAGTTGAGCCTTGAAATGGTTCTTTAAAACTTTCGTTTGATCCTAGAAAATGTATGTAGAAAAATAAATATTGTTTGCCAGGCAACGAAATATAAATCTTCGGTCAATAACTCTGCTGCTGGGGGTTGTCAGAATTATAGGCCTTTTAGGGAAAACAGCATTGCTGATATCAATAAGCACATAGATATAAAGTTATTAAATCCTCCAAGGTGCGTGATAGTCCTTATAAGTGATTGAGTCAAAAGGGAATGTTACACTGGTAGCAGGTGTGTGTGTATCAACCACTAACAGTAATAGAAATGAAAGGAAATGGGGTCCTACTTTTCTGCACCGACTGGGCTAATGAAGACGGCCATACGCCATGCAATGTGCTATGAGAGAAGTCTTGCCTGGACAGCGGCCCTACGGCCCTGGTTATTGTAATAGTATCAACCAGAAACGATAATAACTCATAATGCTAGATGTAAAAACATAAAACAAAACGTGATTGAAGTCTGATAGTAACCGCAGTGAAAGGCTTCCGAATACAAATCACGACTTTCTCCAACGGTATCGAACGCATTTCAAGTCCTAATCTATCGACTGATTTGGGTGCATTTATAAATTTCTACTTAAAAACTATAGATCAATATAATATGTCCATAAATCTCTTCATATCACCGTCTTCATTAGCTCAGGATAAGAACAGAACAATAGGACGTTAAACCCCATTTCATTTCATGTCATTTCTTTTAATATCAGTTGACTTCAATGAATTAATATTAGACAATATAAAGCAGATTAGATTCCATTTGATTTTATTAGTATCAAATACATAACTATTGAAATTCAAATTACTTTTTGGATTTAGGGGAATGAAATACAAGTAAAAACTTCACTCTTTCGAGAAATGAGTAGAAATAGAAATACATATTTATAAAAATTTTAGCTATTGGAATATTGAAATATCTGTGTGAGCACTGGGCATTACCTATGAAATAAGTGAAATGGACAATACTTACCCATGAAGAGGAAGACGAGTCCAGTGACAATTATAATAAGTAACGCTACAACCTTGCTGATTGTGAATATATCTTGTACTTTTGCCGCCCATTTTACACTCGCACAATTTATAACTGTTAATAAAGCTGAAAAATAAAATTAATATTCATTTAACATTTCATCAAAATAAATCAATTTAACCGAAGCCTGTAAGCTAATAAGGTCATCAGGAATGCAACGCGCATGTACAAGGAACACTCACTAAACAGACACAACGGCTTGAAAGATTTCCTATATTACGCCTGTCGAACGTGACAGCTTTAACAAATTTCTAAAACTTCAACCAGTTTTAGAGCATTCCATAGAGAAATATATCCTGTGGCGTGTTCACAATCTTTAAAAGTCATCCTGTGAACGGAAAATAACTCTTAAAAAAACTGAGATATTGCTCCCTTTAACAGGGTTCCATCTTGTGCGCCTATTAAAAACTCTAACTTTGCAAAATACGAACGAAATTGACAGTCTAAATCTTTTGATATTCAATAGGGATCTGACCTGATGAACCAACTCCCCGAATTTTGAAGTATTCAATCAGTAACTCAGTTCTGTATTTCGTTCTTATTGAAAGTTTCCGAATTTGGGTTATAGGGTTCCCCCATATGTTTTACTGTATCGAGCGCAAAAGTCAAAAAGATGGTAGGAAATATAACTAGGCTAAGGTCCTATTTAAATAAACATGTTTTTGGTTTAATGTCTCCATTAGCCAAGTCGGAGCAGAACAGTAGGATGTTAAAGATCTCAATCGCTATTCTTTGGCACCTAGAAATGGGCACAAATAGATCGCAACCCACATGTAATATGAATGCATATAAACGTTTTTACTGTAACTTCTAATCAGTTATGTTCGGCGAAATACGCCAGAAGTTTCAATCGAATGGCAATCTTTGGCGTCTGGTTATTCCAGTCTACACTGATAGTATACTCCTACATGGGCTATGTTTAGCCTCGTTATCAAGTCATAGTCTCTCTAAAAGTGCCTTTATTATATTACTAATTCCATATCTGGTAAATAACGAACAACAAACCAGCCCGTTGTTCGTTATTCGCGAATACCGAACAACGAACAACAAGCTAACTTCACGTCGCCTATCAGAAGTCCAACTTTTCAACATCAATGTTGACTTAAATTAACCAATAAGTCGAATGTTTGCTATGTCGAAGACTGTGGATATTAAGTTAAAGATTTGGCTCCTTTCCACCCCAGGTTAGTATTCATAACAATGGCGCTTTTATATATAATGGACGGTTAGTATAGAGAGAGAAATGGGGTTTAATGTCCACTCGACACAAACTAGGTCATTTCCGGAATAACACATGGTTTAATTTTATTTCAAGAATTCGCTTGCGAGTAGTTTTTTTTTTTAGCAGTGGGAGGAACCCGAAGGACCCAGAGAAAACCCAAGAGGTTGGACAGGCAACCCTACTCCTTGTCATGTACAACCAGGGAATCGAAACCACGCCAGTTGACTCAATGACAAACCTTATATACTATTCAAAAAAAGTAGGGGATATTTGATTTTGGGGGCATAATACTAAAATATGCAAATGACTATGAAAAAAGTCACTATAGAACCTAACAGAAGAAACATTTCCAGTTACATGTGACGCCCAAGCGCACCAATAGCTACCGCATGGAATGCAGGTGATGCTTGGGATCATCATGGGGGTCCAACCCAAGATTTGCACGACTCTGACTTTGAATGTTACAGTCATTGTGGCATTAAATTCCAGGGTGGAAACATCAGTTTAATTGTTTTAGTGACCAGAAAACAAATTTTGATATGCGTCGGCTTACCCAAAATGAAAGGTTACGTGCCCTTGGCATGCTACAGATCGGCACAACACAGGCGGTTGTGGCGCGGACGATGAATGTTTCTCAGTCTGTCATAAGCAGGCTATGGTCCAGATACCGTGATACACAATCTGTACAGGACAGACCACGCTCAGGTCGACCAAGGGCGACAACTCAAGCCCAGGATCGATTTATCCGTACCTTGGCCTTGAGAAATCGTGTCATCACAGCAAATCAGATCAGCGCTCGTCTTCAAACAGACACTGGTGTGAGAGTGAGTGGCCAGACGATTCGGAATCGACTGCATAGGGGTCACCTTCGCGCCCGACGTCCTCGCGTGATCCCTTGTTTGAGAGATCATCACATTCAGGCAAGACGTCGTTGGTGTAGGGATCGTCAACACTGGGATAATCGACGCTGGAGCAATGTGATGTTTTCAGATGAGTCAAGGTTCACTGTTGATTTTTTGGACAGACGTAGGAGGGTGTGGCGTCGTCGAAACGAGCGCTTCCAAGACGTTAACGTCATCAGACATGATCGATTTGGGGGTGGTTCTGTTATGGTGTGGGGAGGCATCACTGTTGCTGGAAGAACGGCTTTACATGTTGTTGCAGGGCGTGTTACAGGCCAGTACTACCGGGACAACATCTTGGCAGTCCATGTTGTGCCGTTCGCACGACGTCATGGCCGCCGTTTCATCTTCCAGGATGACAACGCAAGATGTCACAGGGCCAGGATCGTTACAGGTTACCTCCAACAACAGAACATCACCACATTACCTTGGCCAGCACTGAGTCCCGACCTCTCCCCCATCGAGCATGTCTGGGACATGCTTGGACAGAGGTTACGTCAACGTCAACAACGTCCTGCCAATGTCCAAGAACTTGCTGCTGCGTTGCAACAGGAATGGGACAATCTGGACCAAAATGACCTTAGACGTCTCATTAGGAGTATGCCACGTCGGATCAATGCTTGTTTGGCAAACAGAGGAGGATTTACCCGTTACTGACTTGGTTGTGATGCTGTGGTAACTTTGCTGTTTGACCCCGGGTATCATTTTACCCTTATAATGGTCAGTCTGTGCCTTACTTAGTCTAACGATCATTTGGAATAAATCGATGAATGTGAACTTCAATTAATTTTGTCATTTGTTTCTTCGTCAGTTTCATTAGGTGACTTTAATAACACTTAAAAATCAAATATCCCCTACTTTTTTTGAATAGTATATTATGATACACCACTCAGTGCTACCATTCGGCCATCCAACCACCCGGACGGTAACCACGATGATAAAGAATAAGAGCGTTATAAAGGCTATAGTGTATCAGTAGAGCTATTATGTGTTATTATGTGTCATTATGTGAGTAAATATAGTTCTAACTTTTAGCTGTACAGTATTTTATAAAATCGTCTATCAATTACCAATTTGTTATTTTGGTAAAAGGTCACACATGGAATTTTCCGAATATATGGCTGGTTGATCACAAAATGTCACAGAGAGAGAGAGAGAGAGAGAAATGGGGTTTAACGTCCACTCGACACAAACTAGGTCATTTCGGAACTAACACATGGTTTAATTTTTATTTCAATAATTCGCTTGCGCGTAGGGGTCTTTAGCTGTAGGAGGAACCCGGAGGACCCGGAGAAAACCCACGAGGTTGGACAGGCGACCCTACTCCTTGTCACGTACAACCGGGGATTCGAAACCACGCCAGTCGACTCAATGACAGACTTTATGATACAGCGCGCGCACGCTAACCATTCGGCCATCCAACCCCCCACAAAATGTCAGATATTTCAAGTCACGACTTCTGTCAAATATGTTCCATATTACTTGTTACCTTTTAATTTATATAATTAAACAATTCAAAAATAGACAAAAAATTGTATTGACCTCAAATAACGAATACTAAAGAATCAATTTGAATTGAAAAGCCTCATGGCCTCATGTCTTATCTTGAAACACGGAGGGTTGAGAGATTAAGGTTTGTTATCTAGTGGTTTAGGTGCATACATGTATAGGATTACAGAGTGAGCCAAAACGGTGTTATTTCCATGAATGTAGGAGAGGAAAAAATATTCTCTGCTCCAACCGGACACGCGCCTGAAACACCCCTGGTTAATTCTGTGTGGAAGGGTATATATAAAGCTCAGTGATGCTGTTTCAAAGAAAACAAACATTCGATTTCTACAAGCTTGCGTTCTATTATTTAACGTTTGCTTTCATGATGATGATATCGCACACAAATCTTGGTGACAATTTGACATTACTACCTAAACAATCGCTGGAAATAGGGTCATTAAATAAAGACATTATTCAAATTACGATAGAATTAGAGTTAATAGACCATAAAAGACATCATGTTTACTACATTATCAACAGAATAATGATTAAGATTAATAGTGAAAATAGAAATCAATATACATTTTTAATCACCACTTGTTAACAGCCGGTGCACACATGTTACAATATGTGTGTGAAATAGCTTTGTTTAACGCCCCCTTCCACCGAGGTGATATCGCAGACAATAATTCAACTTTCCTTTTTCTGGTTCTCATTACTTGTGAAAATATTACTCTAGAATATCGCCAGAATTAAGATTTCTAGAGAAACTAGTACCAGCTTACTGTGGACCAGGAACTTAACATGACATCATTGCCGCCATTAAAATTAAAGTTTGCCAATTGTCCAAGAACAACGGTTATGTCTAAATATTAAGGCTTACTGCAATGCTTATGTGTGGACTTAAACCTCTCTCCCAAACTCTTAAACCTACACCTAGCCCAAATTCTTAAACCTAACCATAACCCCGAATCTCGCTAACAATTTACATCTCGCAACCTTGACGAAATCTGCAGTTGGCCTTAACTTAGACCTGTCCAAGAACAACTATGTCAAGTTTCATGTCGATCGAGCGTCAATTGGTGGCCTATGGCTCTTTTCGAAGAGCGTCACCCCCAAAACAACAATTTACATCTCGCGACCTTGACGAAATCTGCAGTCTGTTTTTAATTGACAAATCTAGTGCCACAGATTGGATACTAGTTATTTTTTCAATCCCGACAGCCAAAGAAGAAATGAAGGTTGTAGAACTTGATGTAGCGTATCAATTGTCCACAGGCCATTTTGTAAGGTTTTGCAGCTGCGGGGGCAAAGTAGGGTGGGTTCCTAAGAAATTTTGACCCTCTAAATAAGCATTCTGGGCTATTTTGAGAGAGATGCCCCCGTACTTTGGCCTTAAAAAATGGCCCGATTCACCAATGACCATGGAAGAAATGAAGATAGCAGAGCTGTAGCCTAAGTGACTTTGTCACCAAACAACTTTCTATGTGCTTATTATTTTTGAAAATGAAACTAATAAAAACGAAGGAATACTCACTTATGCAAAGAGCGGCTAACAAACTCACAGCAACCTCTGGAATATCACAATCAGGAAAAAAAGGTTTTAAAATGTAGTTTGAAAATGTCAGTGCCGTAATGGCATTGCCGGTTGGAAATATAACAATCAAAGCTACCCACAGATATAAAAACGATGGAAGACCTCCAAAGCCTTCCCTGATATACGCATAATCGGCACCAGACTTCAGAATACATGTCCCTAATTCAGCGTAGCACATGGCACCGACAAGGCAGATCATTCCACATAGAGCCCATATTATCATTGAAAACCCGACAGAACCCGCTTCCTGCAACACCCCCTTCGGAGAGATGAAAATTCCCCCGCCTACGATAGAACCCACGATAATGGCAACACCGTTGAATAAGCTAAGAGACTTTTCTAATTTGACACCACCGCCTCCTTCACTCAGACTTGTCTTGGAACCGTTAACTTCCTTCGTCATCTTGATATCATTAATAAGAGAACTGTTCTGATAGTTAGGGTTAATGGGATGTCTTAGTGGTCTAGAGTGTTGCGTTTTGAGTTCTAGCTGGTCGGTCACCCCTGGCTTGTGGTCGTAGAGTGAGCGTATACGGCGTGGAGATAGAGGCACCTTCTCAATCACATGGGTTTACTCCTCGTGGGTACACCGGTTTACTCCCACAGGAAAGACAACTGCGCGTGCGTAATATAATAAATACAATAAAGACAACTTGTCTGACAAACCACCCTCGAAAAACAACAACAATCTATTAATTACTAATAGGTGGACAATCAAACAAGAGAGTGATAAATCCAAACAGTGTCCAATCCTCCACACCCACCAGGTGGAGAAACAAAATCCACTCGGTGTTCACTCTTTAACACGCAACCGACGGAGAAACAAATCCAGTCAGTGTTCACACTTCCACACGCGTCCGACGGAGAAACCAATCCAGTCAGTGTTCACTTTTCAACAAAAGTACTTACTCTTCCACACGCAGTGGGCGTAGAAACAAAATGCTCTCAATGTTGACTCTGTTAAACAAGTACCCGACGTAGAAAACAAATCCGCCCAGTGTTCACTCTTCAACACGCACCCGACGAAGAAACAAATCCGGCCAGTGTTCACTCTGCCACACGCACCCGGCGGAGAAACAAATCCGGCTAGTGTTCACTCTGCCACACGCACCCGGCGGAGAAGTACAACCCTCCCAGTGTTCACTCTCTTCCAGAAGTACACGGCGTAGAAAACAGATCCGCCCAGTGTCCACTGTTCAACACGCATCCGACGGAGAAAACAAATCCGCTTAGTGTTCACTCTGCCACACGCACCCGACGGAATAAACAAATCGCTCAGTTTTCAATCTTCCACACGCACACTACGGAGAAACAAAATCCTCTCACTGTTCGTTCACTCTTTCAACCATATCCCCATAAATTATCACTGCGACCTGTGAAACACACCCAAACGTCCTGTGTAACCTTTTAGCAATTGTAAATGATCTTCGCCACAGGACTGAATTAAAATAATGTTAATCAGAGTTGTGACTGAATATATGACTGGCTAACGTAGCGGAAATGAACCCATATATGTACGATAAGTTGAAAATAATGATTAGTTTGTAAAGCTCAGCTGTGGTGCGAATAGAGCATATGTTAAAATGCATGTCTGGTTAATTTCAATCCAATTTGATAAGATTTAGATAAAGAACTGATAATTCTCGCTAGAATTGTTAAAAAATGATAATGAAAAAGGGATATCTTGATAATTTCAGTCAAATTACTTCATTCTGTACGACGTTAGGGTTGTTTGAAGAATCACAGAGCCTCGATTGTCATTGCTACCGTTGTTACTACAATAAACAAAGTCTCATTTTTTTCATTTTTTAATAAAATCATTAACCGCTAATCGTGTTTAATTCCGTTAAAAACCTAAAGCACCCGATGACATCGAGAGTTGATTATGGTCTTGGTAAGTTAATCAATATCTAATTAATATTTTAGATACCATTTCAGGCCTAAAGAAAGACATACTATAGGCAGATTTAGCTCTTGCATAATGCTTGTTTAAGTGGGTGTATGGATTTTGTAAGACATCCTTTACCAAGGTATTTTTTGCCAAAAGCATTTTTTTAAAATAAAAAAAAGATAAATAGCTCCCATTTTTTAATTGTATATCTATTATTAAAAAATATAAACCTATAGCAACAGTTTCCAGTTGTCTTTGGAAGTATAAAATGGAGACAGGAAGAAAAACGAATATGTGTAGTTTAATGGTCGAGTGCGAGCCATTAAGTAATATATTGATATTGTTAAAGGGGTATCCATCATGAATACTCGCTATATAATATAATCGTTCGCAGCAGCAGCACTATTGCAGATTTACTGGTGTTAATGAATTAGTAACGCAGACAATATTATTTTTGTCGGTTTTGGTACCCTCCTATACGACTAGACACTAACACGGGGAAATGATGCTGAAAACCCCGAAGAACTTTTAGGCCGTATTCTCGGGGTGAAAATCTTGTCACCTTCGCTCCCGCTAAACCGGTCTACAAATCGGACTATCAATAATCGTGCAATCAATATGTCAACAAAGTTCTCCAATAAAATCTGCCAATTTAATAGTTCAAGCTCGAAATAGGCTATAAATCGATGACTTATTTCTTTATAGTGCGGAGCCATATTTGCGTAGATGTGAGTTGGATCCTGCGCATCTATTTAAAATTTGGCCAATCAGCGGTCTCGCTTGCGGGGTTGCGGTCAAAAATTCTGGGGTCAAGTGCCAGGTCATAGCATTTGTAAACAAAGCCATGCGAACGATTTACCTTGCAAATCGCTCGCGGTTGGGACGAACAGAGATCAAATGAACCCCAAAAACGTCCCATCCGTGTAGAGAAGTGGTGTATGAGAGCCACAAAAGGTATTTTGATCACACTGACATAAAATGTGGCAGTCAGTCATGTTTTTTCGACACTGATTAAGGATATTGGACCGGTCTATTTCACTAGAAAAATGCCTTAATATCAAGGGAGATTACAGAGAATGCAACAAGGTCACTGCTTCTATAAGTGTAATTCTAATAAAATCATTCATTTTACGTAACAAAATACTTAAAACCTGTCTAGCCTGCTGTCTTGATAATGATCATGGATAGGCTAGTGTATAGCTAAGATTAAGAATGAAAAAACATATTTTGAAATAAAGGTTGAAAACTTAAAAAGTTGCAGAAATATTAAGAAGAAATGCTTAAATAATTTGAACTAGCTCAGAATTGTCAGGGAAAAGCCCATATGGACAAAATAAAATTTTGCATCTACAATGTATAAGCTTACAATAGATATATGAATTCAAAATGGGTTTTGTCTGCAATTGCGAATGAACCAGATGCCCCCCCCACCCATCAATATGGGGCTCACCTACGACATAGTTTACATGTAATCATCGATAAAAGTGCCAAACACACTTTCAATGTTGGAATCTTGCTTCTGATTAATAAATATTCTGATTTTTTTAAACAATTATAACAGATACTGTACATGTAGTCGATCAAATCCAAAACTAATTACCTTTGATTTGAAAAATATTTTTGATCACCTAAGATAAATAAAATACAATTTAATGGAGGATTTACACTAAGAGTAAGACACTAACTCATTTAGTAGTTAGAATAAGGCTACCGGTATTTGTTTCACTGGACTTATCAAAACAGCAAAAGTGTTATTGGTGCTTTAAATAAAATAATAAAAATGCTGTTTTTATTTCGCACTGGACTAAATTGTCCCTCTTTTGTATGGCCCCCGCTCGAACATACTTGGATTTTTTCTTGCAAATTATACAGCTCTCTGATAAAACTGACTTCTTTAACTCTGATGAAGTAGTAACAAGTACTGCACCATGATGTGATTCCTTTGGTGATATTAATGAAGGAGTAGGGGTGAATGAGACACACTTTTAGTTTTTAAATTTGTTAAAGTACTAGGCCTAGTAGTAGGGGTTATGGACATAAAGGCCCTAAACCAAAATGGCTCAAGTATTTGGTCATAACGGTCAAACATTTTGGTCAAAACTACATAACGGTCAAAACATTAGGGTCATAATGGCCAAAAAGAACATTTGAATTTTGATATATTATGTATCAAATGATATTTATTAATATAAATATTGCATAATATAAATACCAATATTTCTTAATAGATAATATTTTCATATACATTTCTTTAATACATAAATTTAAAAACACTGTAGACATTTAATACTTAATACACTGTATAACTATAACATACATAATTTACAAAGACATCTATTTAATATGGAGGGTGGGTGGCGAATGGTTTAACATGTACACATGAAATCATAAGGTCTGTCATTGCGTCAATGACTTAATTTCAATTCTCTGCTTGTACGTGACAAGGACTAGGGTCACTTGTTCAACCTTGTGAGTTTTCTCCAAGTCCCCCAGTTTCCTTCCTCTGCTACAGACCCTTACATGCAAGCAAATTATTTAAATAAAAAGGAACCGTGTCGACTGGACATTAATGTTCAGCTCATGTTACTTTATCAGTGGGGTGTGAAAGACTTAATTAGGGATTATCAAAAACTTTGATTAATATACTAATAGTAAGTTGTTAATAATGTTTGGTAAAATATATTATGACCACATCACAGTAATACTAATACTAATAGTTTGTATGTATGTCGTGACAGTTTAGTTTCGGTTGGACTGAATGTAGACGCTGCCTTATCACTGAGTCACTCTCTTTCTTTCTCGCATCATTTAACTGTTTTGTTCTTAAAACATCTATAAAACGTTGGATGAAATCCAAAACCACTGCCGACTGTATCTTCAATATAATATCCTTCGTAATAAAATATCCATTTGTATCGAAAAATGCTGCAATGGATTGGTCATTTCCATCTATAGCTACCTCACGACATTTATCTCACCTTGTGTTTGTAAAGGGTTCCGCACTTCCCTTATTAACACTGTCTAAGTGAACAATACAAGTTAATTGAGCCTTTGTCGCCATTTAGTGTAGCTTCTACATGTATAACTGCAATGTGTTCCTCGTGAAGTACGCCATTTTGTGTTTACCAACAACACACGCGAATGTAGACAATAACGTGATCCAGTGACCTCGCGCACTATGAATTTTACTATCAATAAATAGTCCGGATTTCAACGAAGAATATCACCGAAGAACTATGGAATTTTTTGGGGAACATTACAACAAACGAATATCACTATATGAACTATACACTGACAAAATTTCTTCTAGACCGGACTTGTAGGAACGAAAATATTTTTGCAACGACAATTTGTGCCCATGGAATGCGGCCTATTTCTTGGCCAACATCGAAATAGAGTGCTCTCTAATGTCAGATAGTTGACATATATCGCATATATACAATATATACCACCTTGTTACAGAGATAGGTTTACTTCAGTTTTTATCGTATTTGTTTAAAATTTGATTTCAAGATTTCGGGGCAAGCGAGGAGAGGGAGAAATGGGGTTTGAAGTCCACTCAACACAAACTAGGTCATTTTGGGACTAACATATGGTTTTAATTTTATTTCAATAATTCGCTTGCGCGTAGGGGTCTTTAGCAGTGGGAGGAAACCGGAGGACCCGGAGAAAACCCACGAGGTTGGACAGGCGACCCTACTCCTTGTCACGTACAACCGAGGATTCGAAACCACGCCAGTCGACTCAATGACAGACTTTATGATACTTTCAGCAGTCTTTGAAATGATGTCATCGACTGGAGTAGGACAATAGAACATCGTGTACTTAATTGTTGCAGGATCAATTTGGATCCACTGTGTTCGGTCAGTTACTTACGACTGCAACCAGCTCAATGTGGTCTCTGAAATGCTACCATGATTCCCAAGGAGGGTTGGTTGATCGATCGATTGCGTCGAAAGCAGTTATAATAATGTAGCCAGGAGGAATACAGATGGTAAACGTTACTAGCCAGGGGGGTAGCAGTTTACAATTGGAACATGAAATCGGGCCCAGGCGATACTCATATTGTTCGGTTATTTTTAAAAGTTAAGGCCCGCTACAGATTTGGCCAAAGGTCACGAGATGTAAACCGGGCTAGCATCAATCCAATCCGATTAAAACACAGATCCTATTTCGTTTCGTTTTTATAGAACAAATTTCCTTTTAATTGTCTTTACTACACTGGGATCTTGAAGAGTTGTTATATTACCGGCGTTTTGGTTGAAGTGAGGGATAAGCCAATGAAACAGTCTGATACGGCGACTTCTTGGCGTGCCATGCACGGAACTGTGGGCAAACCATCGAAAGTATAAAAAAAAAACGAAACGAAATATAGATCTGTATTTTAATCAGATTGGCATCAACCCTAACACTAAACCTAGCCCTAACCAACAATCTCGTCAACAATCATGTGCCTTAAACCTATTTACATCTCGTGACTTTGACGAAACCTGCAGTGGGCCTGAACTTTTAGATTTTGCCCATCTTTGTTCTTCTTGCGATGCTATTCGCAAAAAGCCTACAATTCAAGTAAGATCGACATGAAACTTGACATGCATTGATATTCCGTCACAATTCCAAGATCGCGCTCATGACGTTAAGATCGGTTCTTGATTGTAGTATTCTCGCACTTGTTATTAACTGGGGGCTAGTCAATATTGATACACGGTTACTTTTTTTTTATTATGAGCTATACAATAAACAACCTAAAACATATTACAATAACATGAAACAATTGTATATGACCAAAATGGGCAGGATATATATGCCATTAATAATACAATGATAATCGGCATTCATCAATAAATAATTTCTGACGTGTTTCAATTTATATTTTGGTGAAGGGTAAAGTCAGAGGGTAGGAGGGGTTATATCCCATTATAATTGGTATTCTCAACCAGATGAACCTCGTGCGATGAGAGATTATTTGTGGGAGATTCACTAAACAATCTATCGGAGTGGATGAAATCTCATGTTAAATCATGTCTGAATACATATATAGATAAAAGCTGTATTATGCTTGTCCGAATATTGTTTTGTGTATAATGCAGGCTATTCAATGGGAAGTTTATGGAAGATATAATATCTTAATTCATGCATGAAAGTCACCCCTGCACGAGAGAGAGAGAGAGAGAGAGAGAGAGAGAGAGAGAGAGAGGGAGGGTTGGTGTTTTAACATTTCGGGACTAGCATATTGTTCAATATAACTTCAATAATTCGCTTGCTCGTAGCGGTCTGTAGCAGTGGGAGGACCTTACTCCCTTGTCACGTATAAGCGGAGAATCGAAACCACATCACTTGACTCAATGACAGACCTTGTTATCTTATGCGCTCGCGTTAACCATTCACAGCCCCCATCCCCTCCCCGGAATTAGAAAATTTAATCATTTATGGACCACTGCGTTTTGATACCTTTGAATACGTACGAATTATATTTGCCTCTTAGTCCGGTTGGAATATTGTGCATTTAAGGGTTGATATATTCACTATGGTTACAATTTTTTAAAGTTTCTGTAAGAAATTATAGTTTAGTCATATCAACATCTTAATAAATGTAGTAGGCATAAGGGTCCATCTATTATTGCTAGGGATGTAAAATTTATGAACAGCAATTATCCGTTATATTTGCCTCCTAATGTTGTCCGTGAAAACAGGGCTATACTATATACCGGAAAACTACCGGAAAACACCATGTTATACTGAATACCGGAAAACACCGGAAAAACACTTAATACCGGAAAACATCCTAAATAGGTAACTCGGAGTCTGGTCCTCTGGAAAACACCGGAAAAACCTAACCCTGACCCACCGCTGGTCCTCTGGAAAACACTGGAAAAACCTAACCCTAGCCCTAACAATAACCCTAACTCTACAGCAAACAGAAGACCAGACCTATTTAGGGTGTGTTCTGGTATTTAGTGTTTTTTTGGTGTTTTCCGGTATCTAGTATAACATGGTGTTTTCCGGTACTTTTCCGTTTGTTTTCCGGTATATAGTATTGCCGGTGAAAACACATACTCGGACTCAGACCTATGAATTTATCTCACATGTTATAGATTAAAAATGACTTTTATTTGTATGGTATAAATCTGATCTTTTTGATGTTATTTATTATGCATGGCTGAAAATAAATATGTGTAGGACACAAATAAATATTAATGCCTAGGGTGATTATTAATATTACAGCAATATTATCAGCAGAAACATACTCAAAAAATGATATACATGCAGTGATTAACCACAAAAACAGGTTTCTTCTTGCTCATCATACCCAACACAAAATATTCTTAAACCTTAAGCAAAACTTTAAAAGGTCCATTTCCAATTTAATCACCAACAAATATCTGAAATGTAATTAATGCCCAGAAATTGCCCTCTTGAAATGAAATGGCATCAACTTGGCTAATAAGGATGTTCAAAGGCCATACAGTGTGCTATGAAGGTTAGATTACCTGGACAACTGCGTCCAGGCCTGCTATTCACCCAATGCCAATAACTATTAAAGATACATAATGTAAAATTTAGATAGAGTTGAGCGTTCTTGCTATAATAATTCAAAAATAGTTAATTCAAAATTAATACATTGAAAATTTCATTCAAATTACTTTATTCTGAGAGACGTTATCACTGTTCGAAGTTTTGACATAGATTGTTTATTATCGTAGCAACGTTACTTGTTAATCGAGACTAGCTTATTCATTTTTAAATTATATCATTAAATGGCGATCGTATTTTAATCCGTTTACATCTGCGCCAATCCGATGTTCAGGAGAGTTAATTATAGGCTTGTCGTGTGAATAATAATCCATATAACATTTGAAGCCAAAATAAAAAACCTGCAATAGGCAAATTTAACTCTTACCTACTGCATCTTTAGGAGTTCTTTTACACCTACGTAAAGTGTTGTCTTTTTTACGTTGGTTTAATAATACATCAATACGGGCGCTTCATTTGAATACATATAGACAGCGATGAAACTGTATCCGGGACACTTTGGATTTCATTAGCCAAATATAATGTCATTTCGGAAACTGTATCATGTATATATATTATGATTCGGATTATCGGATCAATAAATGGAAATGGACCTTTACTTAAAATGAGGGAAAAAAATTCGAAAAGATAAAAAAGAATTGAAATAAAAGTAAAAATGGCAGTACATAGATATATAACAATATAACGTGTAACAAGAACAGAAAATAGATATACATGAATGTGATTTTAGCATCGGTAGAAACATAATTATTATACAGTATGGGCATATACATATATTTATGGTTTCTTATCTAATTAATTAGCTCCATATGTTTACATTTTCTGGAACATTTCATACCACACTCTACTATGGTTGATCAATCATTAAATTAACATCAGAATCAATTTTTAAGATGTTAATTTTATATGATAAATATAATCTTATCAATATATATCTAACAAAACAACTTGATTATTTCAATTGATTTATGTTATTGATTCTTTAGTCCTCAAAAAGATAAAAAATGTAAACAATTTGTGCGTTTTACAAGTAATCTCAAGCAAGTAATGCCAAACCAGCAAGTAATGCCAAACAAGAAAATGCCACCCTCCTTCAAGTCCATTATAACATATTACTTAATAACAGAACAATGGTGTAATTATTGGTCTCTCAAAGTCTTGATACGTCATTTTAGCACTATAGGAATAACTTACAAACTACCATAGGTTAATCTCTATAAGGAATATCAGGCCAAAAATGGTTCAATTCCTTTCCGTCGCTATGTAATAAGCACAGCGCAATGTCGTTGTCAGCAAAGACTTATTGATAGGCCTGATTTATATCCAATTGAATTCAAGTCGGGAGATTATCTAGCATTGGTATTTTGATTTTGTTTTCTTAATTAAATATTAAATATATAATAGCCTGGGTTAAGCTTGGAGAAATTTGATATTTTAGCGAAAATTGCAAATGACGAATCAATACTTTAAAAGAGTGTGACACAGGAGATGCATTGACTGGAGTAGGAAACTATATCCTTTTCTTGAGTCATACAATAATATAACACATTACTGTCTGGCTCCAAGTTCACAAAACATTCTAAAACTTAAGTTAAGAATTTACTCAACTTTCAATCATTGTTTATGAGAAATATCTTTGATCCAGATACACAAAACTTTGCACATAGTTTCTTATTAATGTATTTGATACATTAAAACAACAAAAGTTTTATAAACGGCTATATTTTAGTTAAAATAACTCTACCAATTTGGAATAAATTCTTAACTTAAGTCTGAACAGGTTTTGTGAACTTGGGGCCTCGTTCTACAAAGACACAGTTAATCAGTGACTGTTCATTACCGTAACACAATAATATCATTCTAAAACAACCTTTAAATCAATTTGATTGCATCGTTTCTCAATAAAATCTGACATTTGAATAAAATTCAAACTTTGTGCGAATAACAAATCTTAATTCCTGAACAAATATTTAACAACTTAATCAAAAAAAAACCCAACTGTATTTAATGTTTATAAAAGATAAAATTAACAAATATAAATCATGTATATTGAGTGAAGCTAAAAGTTAATATCATGGACTTTAAATCTTCTATGAGACATTTTCAACCCTTTAGAAGCACCCGTGTCATCTTGAAGCTCTTGGGAAATCCTTAACCACAAGTTAATGATCATGGTTCTACGGTAGGTAAGTAGTGAAACTGGTAAAATATCTTGTAGTATTAAACTCAGTAATTGTGTATTCATAAAAGTGTACCTTGTGTTAATATGCTCAATTAATAAAAACTATTTATTGAATAACAATTACTGGTTTATAAACATGCAACTTTTGGACAACGGTACTTTCATCTTTATCAAGCATCATGTTATTTCATATATTTTGGAAAGTAATTCATTGTACCAGGGATGCAGTTTCAAGATTAGGTCACCAGAAAGCCTTGTCAGTTTCAGGAAATAGGGTCAATAAACTTCCATTCAGGTTCAGGTGGCATATTGTGTTGTGAATAGTATTTATGATTATTCCAAAAATAATTGAAGTACTATCTGCACCTTGCTATATTTTATCTTCTCGTATTTTTCATTTTTATTTCTCACTTGATTACAGATTTTAATCTTATTATCTCAACAGTTAATAACAAGACTTTTTTTTACACACAAGTGGAATGTTTTGAACATGAAAAATGTTTCCTTAAAAATTAATATTTCTGCAGTTTCTATTATTAAATTTAAATCAAATAATCAAAACACCAATAAGCACTTGAACTATTATTCATTAAAGTAGTCCTTCCTTTAAAAAATATTTCTGCAATAAAATATTGAAAAGGCACTTGAATTGTAATATCTATGGAAACCAGATAATAATTCAAAATATTTAATGATTTAATAGATAATTTAGCACCAAAGAACCATGGATATATATAATAATGAACTAAAAATGTATATTTACAATAGCCGATGATAAAGTTTGTATTAAATGGAAATAAACAAACATGAGATTCAATAGCATATACTAATATCTACATTATTAGGAAATGGAATATTTTCTCTTATAAATACCAGGTCTAAATATTTTAGCAATTTCACAAATATGTCTTCCGATTCTTCTTACAGCCATTTGCAAGAATACACTTAATCCTTAAAAAGTATTAACTTTTTGAAATAACTTAATATATTATTATTTAAGTAGCCGTGAAGTTCTTGATGCATTACTGAAAATTTGTCCAAAATTTTCAAAGCTCATTGAGGATTCAGATGTTCAATTCTACAAGAATCTTGGTCTGAATACATAAAAAGTAATGACAACACAATTCTCAGTCATATAATTTGATCCAGAGAAAGACTTAAATTTATGAAACCACTTTAATAAGTGGAAAATAACTAAGGGTAGACTAATAACACATAACATTGACCCTTTCTTTTCAAGTATATCAAAGGGGCTATGCTATTGAAATTATAGATTTTGAATATAATTTAAACTATTTTCATCTTCTATATTTTCTAATAGATGATCCTTTCTGAGGACGAAAATAAAAGGCACACAATTTGCAATTTGGCAGAATTCATCTATGTATTTAACAAGGTTTGAGCAAAGTTCTAATTAATTAAAAGATTAATTAGGACTTATAAATTAATTGAATTTAGTCCATTTTTATTTCTTCTATATCCTCAGCAACCACATAAAAACACTTCTGGATGAGTAATGATAATTTCTCTGAAATAAAAAGAAAAAGAAAAATGAAAACTGTTGGATGTTAACACAAGTATATTGCTTGTACTTGCTTGGAGAGGGGGTATATGGAGAGGGGGTATATAGGCTTTTGCCTGTTCTCCAATCCAGTTTCTGTGAATAAATATTGTTTAGAAAAAAAAAAAGTATATTGCTCTCCAATTCTATGTGATAAATGTGATGTGATGAGATTATGTGATGTGATCTGATGTATGTTATGTAATGTATGTGACATGTGACGAGATATATGTGATGTACATGTATGATAAATATGTGATGTGACATGTGTAACAAGATATATGTGATGTATGTGGCGAGATATATGTGATGTATGATAAATATGTGATGTGACATGTGTGATGAGACATATGTGATGTGATGTTTTATATTATGTGATGTGATATACATGATGAGATATATGTGATGTATGATGTATATGTGAGGAGAAATATGTGATGTGATTTATGGGGTATATGTGATGTGATGTGTGGACTCTATACTGGTGTCTCTAGAAGTTGGAGAAAACCAGAAAAGGATGAAATAATACACAAGGTTAGTCATGCGTCCCTACTCTCATCATACACAAGTCTGTGATCACTGGAATCAGACAGTACACACATCAAATGGAAAATAAATAAAAAATACTTACTGTGATAATTTTCAAAGACTTGAGGTTTTTTAGTCCACATGACACCAATAACATAGACTGGTATACCAGTACACATCATAAAAATACCCATCAAACATTCCATTGGACTAGATGTTAATGGTGTTATAATCAGGAATATTATAATCAACAGAAAAAATATAGGAAATATGATATGTACCTGAAATATTACAATTAATCATCATTATAATAACTCATTTACTTTTGGTCACTTCCACAAGATTGCCCGTTACCGGTCACAAGCTTCAGCTTCTATAATTCAAACTATCAGTAATAGTAATCTTAACCAGTAGCTTTTAGTCCAAACTCTATGTATTGTCCTATTACACTGTAGCAGCTACAGTGTAGCTCCAAGTCCAAACAATCCCTATTACTATTAGGATGGGTGTCATACACAAGGCAGGCTATGATATTTCTAGAAAACCGTATACCACTTTACATTGTCTAGGAAAGTAATAATCGGCTATCCTAGAAAAGCAGTGTTGAAATTGAGAGTAGCCTAGTATGGGCGAATAGAACGTAAATTTACTGGTGTTTTAGAAAATATAACCTTACCTTAATTGGTCGTTCCATGTCTGGCCGTGTATACCGTAACATGAGTAAGGCCGCTACAGATACACCAATAAATAACGTTTCAACAAACGCAGCGTAATTAATTAACGCAAAAATATCACTTGAACACAACATAATCAGTGACATTATACACTGAAATAAAAAACAAAACATAATCTGTGACAAATCAAGCCTGTTATATTATTCAAACACAATACTTTAAGTAAACCCATAAAGGTATAGGGTAATAAAATGTTCATATTATTCCATACTTTAAGCAAATGAAGTAGAATATATAGGTCTTTCATTATCTTACATCTCTTTCCATGCAGACTACAAAAATATAAGGTTTAGGGCTAGGGATTGCCGATCACTTTTGTTTTAATAAAGAAAACAAAAAAGGTAGGAATTATTTTCATTGACGTCATATTTAAATGGGGTCATTGATTAATTTGGTAAGAGTGCAAAAAGATTTGACAAAGGGGAGATAACTCTGGCATGCACATTGTCGACTTTGTCCAGTGTATTCAGTTCCGGTCAGTTACACTCCCATGTTTCCGGAAAAGAGGTTTGCTCAAGCACTGTGCTTTGGGCTATCCTTTCGAGCTTCACTCTATATTATTCTTCCCAGGACCAACAGTACATATGAAGACATGCAATCTTATTCTTATTTAAGGGGATCCTTTGAAGTATACATTTAAAGTAGTTATTACGAATGTTGAAATGTAAAAAACCTTATAAGCAAGTGAGGGCCGAATGATTAGTGCGTGAGCATTGTATCATAAGGTCTGTCATTAGGTTTCGATCCCCCGGTTGTACGTGACAAGGAGTATGGTCGCCTGTCCTCCCAATTCTAAAAATCCTATGCGCAAGCGAATTATTGAAATAAAATTGAACCATGTGTTCGTCCAGAAATGACCTAGTTTGTGTCGAGTGGACGTTAAACCCCATTTCTCTCTCTCTCTTTATAAGCGAGCACATGAGCATCATTAAAAAAAACACTTACACCAAATATTAAAGCTGGTACAGGTGTCATTAATTTAGGGTTGATGGTAGCTAAAAATCTTGGTAAATGTCCATAACGAGCTCCAACAAAAAACAACCTGCATATATAAAATGTATAGTAAATGATACACACATATTTCTTGCGATGAGGGGGCCACGGTGGCTAAGTGGGTAAGATGCTGGCTCCTTAGCCTGGATTTGCAAGTTCGATCCCTGCATTGGCCAAGAAAGTTCATCAGGATTTTCCGACGTGGTTTTCCCTTGTCAGTGTTGCAGGACGGAGGGCCTGAAAGGGACAGCTGTCTAGTCATTCGGATGGTATGAAAACCTGAGGACCCGTGTATACATCGGTGTGCACATAAAAGATCCCTTGGAGAGATGGAATTTGATATAAGAGTATGCCATAGTGCAGCTGCCCAAGCAAAATTTCCCTCATAGCACACAGTATGGCGTATGCCTGTCTTCATTAGCCCAGTATAGCAGCAGAACAGTAGGACGTTAAACCCCATTTTATTTCATTTCTTGTGATGGACAACCAATAACAGTTGTGAATACATTTGATTCAAGATATTGTGCTGCACAAACAGGACATTGTGCATTGTGTAAAAGGAAAACCAGTGTTTTTTAGCGGTATTAGCAAGAAATGAATGAAGTTCTCAGAACAGTGTGATTACCGAATTTCTCCCAACAATAAAATTACCCCAACTTATCCTAGAAAGTTAATTCAATTCTATATTCCCAATTACTTACCTTGAAGATGTAAATATACAACCATTTAAACTACCAAACGTTGACATGGCAACAAATATCGGCATAATCCATGCCATGACACCTAGTGTACGATTAGAAAATGTCTGAAAAATAAAATATACAAAATTAAGCCATCAGATGTAGAAAATCTGTATGGTTCAGTAGGTGGAAGTAATCTCTGTAATCTGCTTTCTTGAGAATCTAAAGATGCTGGGTGGATCAATAAGTAATCTTGAACAAATAGGTGAAGGATGCCCTAACCCAAGTAAAACAGAGACTGTTTTGATATATTGGTAAAATGTTAAAATCTTAGTCGACCTTACCTAGTTGTTCAAAATAAAATATACTTCATAAGTAATCGTGAATTACATCTACATTTTTTTTTTTTTTTGGACTGTCAATTAAAGCCCAACTTAGTAAAACCATTTCTTCGCTGTTGTGATATTGATTTCACTCATGCATTCTTCAGTTAAATGTACATGTACTGGGGACCCTTGAATTTTTATAAAAGTTTATTCTAGTCATCATTATCGATCTTTTTAGTACCCATCTTCATTAGCCCAGTCTGAGCAGAACAGTAGGACGTTAAACTCCATTTCATTTCATTTTAGTACAAACTGTTTTTCAGCAATTCTGATGATAACTGTTCAAATTATGTATCCATTTTAAATCAAAGTTGACCAGAAATAAAACGGGGTTGAATGTCCTACTCTTCTGTTCCGACTGGGCTGATGAAGCCAGGTATATGCCATGCAGTGCGCTATACAGGAAATTAAACCAGGACAGAAGCAGTATTGCTTTCTCTGATTTTCAGATTCCAAATATTAGGATTAAATGTACACGAAGGACCTAGGATTTTCGTACCATTCAAGACTAGATGCTTTTCCTTGCGAGACCTTTCGTCCTGCCCCACTGATAAGGTGAAAACCACTCAAATATAAGGGGGAACTGTCTCTGCCAAAGCGTGAGCAAAGCCGAGACTGCCTAGTTTGCAAGCCAGCGTTTCGCCCAAAGTTAATCGAAAAAATAATGAGAATAGCCAACTGTGAACAACTTACCACAGCTACGGCATCAGATGCTATAAGTTCCGCTGGTGATAATATAACTAGATATGCGATATTAGCTAGAATATATATAGTTGTAACTAACGGCAACGATATCCAGATAGCTCGAGGTAAATTCCTGAAAGCAAACAACAAGAAAAACATTCAAATTTAAACTCACTATTTAAATTCATTGAATAAAACCCAAGACTGTGATGAATTAACTCCTTACTGAATGAATTAAATGAAACCGTTTTTTTTTTTAACGTTCTACTGTTCTGCTCCGACTGGGCTAATGAAGACGGAGAGAGAGAATCACACACTAGGTCATTTCGGGACTAACACATAGTTCAATTTTATTTCAATCATTTGCTTACAATGTACGTGTAGGGGTCTTTAGCAGTGGGAGGAAACCAGAGGACCTGAAGAAAACCCACGAGGTTGGACAGGCGACCCTACTCCTTGTAACGTACAACCGGGGAATCGAAACCCCCACCAGTTGTAATGTAGACGGAACTCCTTACTGAAAGTACAGGTGATGGGTGAAAGTATTCTTGCACAGTGCAGACACGATCGGATCTCAGTGATACAGTTGGGGACCGAAAGTAAAGACAATATTCCCCAATATTACCATTGCTATTTAAATTCATTATGAATATTTTTTATACACGTCACAAGTAATCAGAAAGTCACCTTTTTTATGATTCATAGTTTGTCTAATAGTTCTCACGATACATTGATAACCAAGCAGAAAACTACAAGATAAGACTCCTGGACAAGGTCACAGACATTTGATAATAGAAATACTATTAAATCAAGTGTAAATTGAGTCAGTTGTCTATACTCTCTTTGGAGGTCCCTGAGTTGTCCCTCCTTCATACTTTCTGATAGTAAGCAGTGCTGCTACCCCACCCTCCTGGTTTATGTCACCTTCTCATCTGGGTACACTACTAGATCTATCCATTGTATTAACGAATAAATATAATTAATAAACACCCAGTACATGAAATACTTACTTGTAGGGATCTTTTAATTCTTCTGTTACAAAATTTAAATAATTCCTGAAAACAAAATACTAATGTATATACATAGAGATATATAGAGTAGAATATATTGAAATATATAGAGTAGAGTATACATGTACATGTATATACATAGAAATATATAGAGTATATACATGTACACATAGAAATATACAGATTAAAGTATATATACATAGAAATATGTCGAGTATAAACATAGAAATATATATACATGTAGTACCATATCAATATAGAAATATATAGAGTACGGTATATACATAGAAAGATATACATGTAGAGTATATACCAGTATATATAAATATATAGAGTACATGTATATACATAGAAAGATATAGAGTATATACATGGAAAGATATACAGTAGAGTATATACATGGAAAGATATACAGTAGAGTATATACATAGAAAGATATACAGTATATACATAGAAATATATACAGAAATGAAATGGGGTTTAACATCCTACTCTTCTGCTCCTGACCGGGCTAATGAAGACGGGGATACGCCATACAGTGTGCTATGAGGGGAATTTTGCCCAGACAGCGACACGGCCTAATCTTATATCGAATGCCAACTGCCAAGGGATCTTTTACATGCATGCCAATGGTTTTTCGTACCATCCCAACGACTATACACTGTCCCTTGCCAGGCCCTCTGTTCTGCACCACTGTCAAGGAAGGGGGAACCATGCCGGAAAATCTAGATGAACTTTCTCGGTCCAATGCAGGGATCGAACACCGACCTCCAAGTTAGCGAGCCAACATCTTACCTCCTAGCCACCGTGGCTCCCAAATATATACAGAAGAGTATATATACATAGAAATATACAGTATAGAGCTAAAAAAAAAAGTAATGAAAAGAAAACAGGACATGATCCAGGCTGTTTTGGAAAACCCTTATCAGGATACAAATATTGACCTACATATATGTATTGATTATTCATGTGACAGTATATTTAATTTTTTAGCCAGGAAATGTTACATTGTATTTCAGCCTTTTTGTTAACTACCAATTGTTTGCCAGGAAATGTTACATTGTATTTCAGCCCTTTTGTTAACTACCAATTGTTTGCTCTTTATTGCTTTTGTGTAGTCATTTGGAACACTTATAATTCCCAGGTTATTAGTCATTTTACACAAACACACAAAAAAATAATAGTTTTTCTTTCTTACCATCCAGCATATGAAAATAATCCAGAATAAAATGCCATGGCAAATTTACTTGGTTCTGTTGTTGATCCTTGAAATGGTTCTTGAAAACTTTCGGTTGATCCTAAAAAAAATATTTGTTTAAAAAATAAAGATAGGTTGCCTGGAAACGAAACGTACACCCATAAGCAGTTTTGACAAGGTCTATCGAATGAAATGATGTCCAAACATGAATGAATTGTCCCTTTTTTTCAGAATTGTCATGAGCTGTTGAATATTATTTTAATCTGACTGACAATTAGGGGCATGGAATGTTGGTATCATTCTAAACTGACGGACAATTAGGGGCATGGAATGTTGGTATCATTCTAAACTGACGGATAATTAGGGGCATGGAATGTTGGTATCATTCTAACCTGACTGACATTTAGGGGCATGGAATGTTGGTATCATTCTAAACTGACTGACAATTAGGGGCATGGAATGTTGGTATCATTTAATCTGACTAACAATTAGGGGCATGGAATGTTGGTATCATTCTAAACTGACAATTAGGGGCATGGAATGTTGGTATCATTCTAATCTGACTAACAATTAGGGGCATGGAATGTTGGTATCATTCTGAACTGACTGACAATTAGGGGCATGGAAATGTTGGTGTATCATTCTAAAACTGACTGACAATTAGGGGCATGGGTTGGTATCATTCTAAACTGACAGACAATTAGGGAACTTAGTGGCATGAAATACAAGTAAAAACTTCACTCTTTCGAGAAATGCTAAATATATATTTATAAAAATTTTGGCTATTGGAATATTGAAATATCTGTGTGAGCAATGAGCACTATCTATGAAATAAGCGAAATGGATAATACTCACCCATGAACAGGAAGACGAGACCAGTGACAATTATAATAAGTAATGATATAACCTTGCTGATAGTAAATATATCTTGTACCTTTGTTGCCCATTTTACACTAACACAATTTATAACTGTTAATAACGCTGAAAAAATACAATGATTCTTCATTAAATATTTCATCAAAATCAAACAAAAAGAGGAAGGAGCCTTCAGCATTAAATAAAGTGGATTCAAAAATTTTCCTACATTGTTGTATGTAACATCAATTTTGTCACTGTCTGGATCAGTCTTGTAAAAGCTCAGTTATTCTATTCATAATGTTTCTACTTGCTTGTTAAAAAGTATTGCCACCAGTTTCAGTCTGTTATGCTTGCAGTTCCAAAGTGTTTTTTTTTCAATTCACTTTGAGAGAGAGAGAGAGAGAGAGTCCTAAATTAATGACACCTGTACCAGGTTTAATATTTGGTGTAAGTTATTTTTTTAATGATGCTCATGTGCTCGCTTATAAAGAGAGAGAGATAGAGAGAGAGAGAGATGGGGTTTAACATCCACTCGACACAAACTAGGTAATTTCGATACTAACATATGGTTCAAATTTATTTCAATAATTCGCTTGCGCATAGGGGGTCTTTAGCAGTGGGAGGAAACCGGAGGACCCGGAGAAAACCCACGAAGGTTGGACAGGTGACCCTACTTCTTGTCACGTACAACTGGGGATTCGATACCACGCCAGTTGATTCAATAACAGACCTTATGATACAGCAAGCACGTGCTAAACATTTGGCCATTCTGTCCCCCAATTCACTTTGAACCATATGGAGCATGTTAGTACTACAATGTATACGGTACATGTAGATTTCATCTGGATTACATATAATGGCTTGTAACAGCTAGATCTATTTCTAAAGGCTAACTCAAGATTTCGTCAAGGTCGCTAAGATGTACATGTAAATAAGGTTATGGCAGGTGATCGTTGGCGAGATTGTAGATTAGGGTTTGGGTAAGTGTTAGGGCTAGGTCCAGGGTTAGGGTTGAGATAAGTGCTAGCCCTGTTTACACCTTGTGACCTTTGACCAAACTTGAAGTTAACCTTATGAAATAGATTTAACCAGCCTGCATCATATGCAGTTATGTAGAATTAAGGAAAACACTAGTATTCAATTAAATGGGTCCAATTTAGATTATATTCTTATTTAATTAAGTGATGTATGTATGTACATGTATATAGAGGATATTTGTCGTTTTAGAGTGAATAACATATTTTATTTCATCGAGAAGCAAGAAAACTTACATTTTCACGAATGCGTAGCATGAGTGAAAATATAAACGTTTTCTTGCTTAGAGATGAAATAAAATATGTTATTCACGACAAAACGACAAATGTTCTATTTATTTTATGATTTTACAATCATTTTAGGTAAAAACAACATGGACTACTTTAGCCAGTGGAATAACACTTTTATTTCACTGATAAAATGCGGTATTCCACTACTGATCATAAAATAAATTATCATATTTTAATAAATATGTAATAAGCACAGAGAAATCTTTTATTCAGTCTTATTGACGTGATATAATTCATGTCACAAACAATATAGAGACTGAGACAGCTGTTGTAAACATCTGATATAGAAATGAATATACTTTTAATATTTCTATACGTATCTATAGACTATGTCCATGTACAATGTATATAAGATTAAGAATAACAATAATGTCTGTATGTAAGCTGTGCAACAGTATTCAAATTTAACGTATTTAAAATGTCTGAATGTGTGAATGACAAACTATGAAACAAATGAAAGAGAAGAGAAATAAGACAAATTAATTGTTTCAAAACACACTTTTAGGGCAGCTAAAAAAAAAACAAACAAAAAAAACAAAAACACTACAACATATGTCTGTCTTTAGATATGTAATTTCAATAGTAAACAAAATATATACGGTGATCTACATGTATAGTTAATATAGGAATAATATTTTTAAAAACCAAGTTATATTTATTGTTTCTATTTTAGAAGGCGTTAATACATGCACACCTGTACAATGTATTGTATGACAACAGAAATATCAACAAAAATGAAATGAAATGGGGTTTAACGTCCTACTATTTTGCCCTGAACTGGGCTAATGAAGACAGCCATACAGTTTGCTATGAGAGAAATCATATTCGGACAACTGCACTCTTATATCGAATTCCAACTGTCAAGGGATCTTCAACGTGCACGGGACCTCAGTTTTTCGTCCCATCCAAACAACTAGACAGCTGTCCTTGTCACGTTTAAACTAGTAGATATCAAGAGATATACATGTACTGCCTTCTAAAGAGAATTGTGTATTTACAGAATGGAACAAAATGTCTTTCATCTTTTACTTGTGAGGACAATCAGACAAAATTCTGACATGAGCTGGCTGGAATACTTTGAATCGCCCATTCTGAGTGATGTCAGAGCAAGTTGACATATTTGGGATTCTGAGATGGGGGGGATGATATTTTGTAGGGTCAATCGTCTCTGTTACCATCAATACCCAGATACATTTACTTCTTTACAAAGGTCTCACCATCCTACTTATCTTCAGAGTATTTCACCCACCTTCTCTACAGACTTCACCAACCTATCCTTACAGACTTTACCAACTCACCAACCTATCCGTATACAGATTTCACCAACCTATCCTTACAGACTTTACCAACCTATCCTTATACAGACTTCACCAACCTTTCTCTACAGACTTTACCAACCTATCCCTACAGACTCTCCAACCCTACTGTCTCACCCATCTTGCTACAGACTTCACAAACCTACCATCTCACTCAACTTCTTACAGACTTTACCAACCTATCCCTACAGACTTTACCAACCTACTGTCTCACAGTCTCACCCCCTTCCCTACACAGACCTTCTCAACCACCTTCCCTATAGACCTTCTCACCCACTTTCCCTTTTGACTTCACCAGCCTATTGTCTCACCCACCAACCTACATGTACTTCTCTACGAACAGTTTCACCAATCTTCTTTACAGACTTCACCAAGTACATCTTTACAGACTGTCTCAACCCACCTTCCCTCTTTTCTATAGACTGTCTCACCCACTGTCCAAATTTATGTGGTGGTGAAAGAGAGAGATATTAACCAAACTAGGACTAATTAATCAATGTAATCTCTTGTGTACATTAAGAGACAAAAGATTTTGAAAATATACTCTAGTAAAAATGCTTATTTTGAAAATGTTCTCTAGTACAAATGATGATTATGAAAATGTTCTCTAGTACAAATGATGATTATGAAAATGTTCTCTAGTGCAAATGATGATTTTGAAAATGTTCTCTAGTACAGATGCTGATTTTGAAAATGTTCTCTAGTAAAAATGCGGATTTTGAAAATGTTCCCTAGTACAAATGCTGATTTTGAAAATGTTCTCTAATACAAATGCTGATTTTGAAAATGTTCTCTAAAATGTTCTCTAATACAAATGCTGAATTTGAAAATGTTCTCTAATACAAATGCTGATTTTGAAAATGTTCTCTAATACAAATGCTGATTTTGAAAATGTTCTCTAATACAAATGCTGATTTTGAAAATGTTCTCTAATACAAATGCTGATTTTGAAAATGTTCTCTAATACAAATGATGATTTTGAAAATGTTCTCCGTACAAATGATGATTTTGAAAATGTTCTCTAGTACAAATGATGATTTTGAAAATGTACAAATGTTGATTTTGAAAATGTACAAATGTTGATTTTGAAAATGTACAAATGTTGAAAATGTTCTCTATTGAAAATGTTCTCTATGTGTAAGTATACATGTACATGTAAAAGTTTTGGAAATGTATGTTACAACTGTGAGTAAATGTAAGTTATTGACCTACAATCATGCCTTATTATCATACCCTATCTATTATCTATTTAAATCTCAACAAAAGGTCATTAGGGTCATCTATTAAAACCAACTCTTGTTATTTTACTGATAATTATTGCAGAGCTGACATTTTCTATTAATACATGTCACTAATAAAAACATTACTCTATTTATTTCTGGTTCACAAGGGAAAATACAAATCGTTGGTGGTCTTAATCCTATACATGTACAGACAGTATACATGTACAGTGTATATTACATGTAAATGTGGTCTATGCGCCTGTTATCCTGTACTTTATAATCATTGTCTTTGAAATGAAATGAAATGGGGTTTAACGTCCTACTGTTCCGACTGGGCTAATGAAGACAGACATACGCCATACAGTGTGCTATGAGGGAAATTTTGCCCGGACAGCTCCACTACGGCCTACTCTTATAACGAATTCCAACTGTTAAGGGATCTTTTACGTGCATGCCAATTAGTACATTGGACCCCGGTTTTTCATCCCATCCAAACGGCTAGACAGCTGTCCTTGTCAGGACCTCCGTCCTGCATCACTGACAAGGGGGTACCATGCCGGAAAATCTGGATGAACTTTCTCGGCCAATGCAGGGATCAAATACTTGACCTTCAGGCTAGCAAGCCAGCGTCTTACCCACAGTGACCCCCAATCGTTGTCTTTATATCCTTTCAAACAAACTGATATGTCACTGTTCCTACCATTGCTTAGTTTTTATTTATAAATAGCTCTAAATATAAAGTAATGTAACACTAAGCTGACTTTTTTTTTTACTCTCTGTTCAAACATTTTCACACAAATAATTTGATTGAATTTTGTAGACAAAGTTCATTAAATTACATGTAACTTTGAACTCGGTATTGGTAATTTGTGCCTTGGGAGATTTTTTTGGTTAAAGATTTTGGGCAGTTTTCTGCATTATTGTTATTCACAGATAAAACATCCCCATTCTACGTGATCAGCATAGGAAGAGCACCATGTTCAACTGAATGCTAACTCAGTAACTGACCAAATAAGTTTAACAAAGATAATGTACATGTACGTCCATATTATGTGACATGTATATGTCCGAAAATAGTAATAAAATCACTCATGCGACAGTCAATATTGGTGACAAAGACTTTAGAGCACTCCCGAAGGCCATCTTAATATATTTTTTTGACTTTACTTTTTGACAGGAAATTCTTTTATGGTATCCTTTCACTGAATTGTCCTGAGCAATAATACCTGTCATGCATGGATTCATTTTCATTCTTTTCTAAAAGAGAAACTTTTTTCAATATGGTATTCAGGTAATAAAACATTTTGGCTGTATTGTTAAAGATTCTCTCTATTTAAAGTATAAACAATACAAATGTTTATTTCTGAATACAGCAGGAAAAAGGCTAAAACCGGTTATAGACAATACTCCACAGTGTATGTGTACACATCTTGATCAATTGATATCAATTAGCTACCAGAACCTGCCAAAATCATATGTACATATACTAGTGATCAACAAAAAACATTGGTCAATAGACTCAATAGTTTACTTTGTCTACAGGGGAGCCGCGGTGGATTACTGACCAGTAGGTCCCTTGTTAGTGGTGCACAAACAATTATATACACATAGAAAAACAACTAGCTATACACATAGAAAAACAACTACCTATACACATAGAAAAACTAGCTATACACATAGAAAAACAACTACTGTACTTATACACATGGGGATCACATGACTAAGTGGTTAAGACGCTGGCTCGCTATGCTGGAGGTCGGGTGTTCGATCCCTGCATCGGCCGAGAAAGTTCATTCCGATTTTCCGGCATGGTTTCCCCTTGTCAGTGATGCAGGATGGAGGGCCTGACAAGGACAGCTGTCTAGTTGTTCAGATGGGACGAAAAACCGAGGCCCTGTGTACACATTGGCGTGCACGTAAAAGATCCCTTGGATTACTGACCAGTAGGTCCCTTGTTAGTGGTGCAAAACAGAGTCTGACAGAGGGCCTAGCGAGGGGCAATGTATAATCGTTTGAATGGAAGGGAAAATCAAGGACTTGTGTACACATTAGCATGCACGTAAAAGAACCCTTGGCAGTTTGAATTCGATATTCATGCAAGAGTAGTGGCACTGTCTGGGCAAAATGTCCCTCGTAACACACTGTATGGTATATTTCAGTATTCATTAGCCCAGTCGGAGCAGAAAAGTAAACCCATTTCATGTATCTCTATCTCTTTTTCCTGTCTTTATTAGCCCAGTTTGAGCAGAACAGTAGGAGGTTAAACCCCATTTCATTTCTATCTCTTGTTTACTTTGTCTACATGTACGATTTGAAACCCAGGATTTAATCCAGGGTATACAACTTCCATGTACATATAACTTACATACATGTAGAAATGCTAGAAAAACATGAAATAAAATATCAATAAATTTATTTTTCTATACAATTCGGTCAAAAACACAAATTGCCGATAATTCAATCTTTTATTAAGTGCTAAAATTAGTGATCCTAAGCAGGCAACCGTGATTTTCATTACAGGCAACAGGTTTCCACCATTCTTGTCACCTGTACATGTAGGCCTATTTATTGTCCTTTAAACTTGATTTATTAATAATAAAATATCTACTAATGCTAATACAATTTATAATGATACACAAACAATTATATACACATAGAAAAACAACTACCTATACACATAGAAAAACTACCTATACACATAGAAAAACTACCTATACACATAGAAAAACAACTACTGTACTTATACACATGGGGATCACATGACTAAGTGGTTAAGACGCTGGCTCGCTATCCTGGAGGTCGGGTGTTCGATCCCTGCATCGGCCGAGAAAGTTCATTCCGATTTTCCGGCATGGTTTCCCCTTGTCAGTGATGCAGGATGGAGGGCCTGACAAGGACAGCTGTCTAGTCGTTCAGATGGGACAAAAAACCGAGGCCCCGTGTACACATTGGCGTGCACGTAAAAGATCCCTTGGCAGTTGGAATTCGATATAAGAGTAGGCCGTAGCGCCGCTGCCCGGGCAAAATTTCCCTCATAGCACACTGCATGGCGTATGCCCGTCTTCATTAGCCCAGGTTAGGACAGGAGCAGAACAGTAGGACGTTAAACCTCATTTCATTTCACCTATACACATAGAAAAACAACTATCTATACACATAGAAAAACTACCTATATACAGATACAAAAATTGATAATGGGATTTACATGTAAAGGGTCAATTATGACCAATGTCTACATAGTTCATATGTTATTTTATTATTTTTTAATTCTGTTTTAAATTTCAAGTCTATATTTTAATATTCATTAATGCTTAGTTATTAATTAGAGGCAGGCAGCAATTAATCTGTCAGTCAAATTATGATAAACTGGCAACTAATCCTTCAATAATATTGATAATTATATGTTTATGTCAACACTTTCTTAGTAACTAATTTATATACATGTACTGTAAACAGTCAAATGTATGTACATGTAAGATAATTCATTAGTTGGAGAGATCAGCTTACTAGTTGGAGGTCCGATTGCTGTTATTTGCTCTTGAAATAAAGTGTTGAAGATCCATTTCAAGAATCTGTATTCATTTCCGATACTTAGAGAACGCACATCGATGAGCTACATTCCCTGAAAGTCATACGGTGTTAAAATCCCCGATTTCCTACCACAAACTCAGTATTGAAATACAAAAAAAGACAAAATAGTAAAATTGCCTTGTCTGAACGGTTGAGCTACATGGACTGATCATATTCAAAATGGTATCGACAGTTGATTATGGTCTATATAATTTAATTAAGGTCTAATTAATAATTTAAATAACATTTCAGGCCTAAAGAAAGATCTGCAATAGGCAGATTTAGCTCTTGCATAATGTATGTTTAATGAATGTTTGAAAAAGGATTTCTCTACACTTATAATGTATTTTTACAAATATTTTCATGCACTGCATGTACATGTATTTCAACTCCGTTTTGAAAGTTATATTTAATTGTCATATAACTTTACTTTAAAGTTGAATTCAAAATAAGAGTAGGTCGTATGGCCGCTGTCCGGGCAAAATTGCCCTCATAGCAAAATTGCCCTCCATTAAAACAGTTGGAGTAGACAGGTCATGTGGACAGCTTCAGTACACGATCTTCTCTCCGGTGTGTGTGTGTGTGTCCAGACTTGGGCGGGTGCAGACACTCTGAGCTAAGGAGTACTGGTTTTGGGCGATCCAAGTACTGGTTCAAAGAGTTAAATGTATTCACTAGAACTACATGTAAAATTATCCACAACTGAAAAACATCTTTCCCTCGACTTGGTCACAGGTCTCAAATGATGTTTGGTGTGCGCTAGCTGTACTGACATAAAATGACCCCCACCCCCATCATCCCATTTCTATGTATGTGTCAAAGCATGCTCTTAAAGGACAATATTGGTGTCAGTCATTATCACATATGTGATAGAACTAATTAAACACGTTCCAAATATAATTTTAACACAGAGATCGTTGCTACGATAGCTGAGTAATACTAATACAGGTTTCCTGAATCGGAAGTGACAAACGCCAAAGGAAAACACAAGCCATCCCTCTATATAACTGACTGAATTGACAAGTGATAACAGATACATGGGCGAATTTCTGCTCACTAATAATTCCTTCCAAGACCAAAAGTTGTTGTGTCAGACTGTGAGAGGATATCTGACAATTCATAAAAAGAATTGACTGCCACTAGATAAGAAAACACGAAAGAAAAACCGAAAAAGTCCGTGCATTACCATGTTTTTATAAGGTATAGAATGAATATAAACAAGGGAATGTACGGACTATTTCTATTTTTCTCGTGTTCTCTTATCTAATGACATTCAAATACTTTATTATTGAATTGTCAGGTATCCTCTTACAGTCCCGTATAACAACTTTTGGTCTTCGAAGGAATTATTAGTGAGCAGAAATTCGGCCGTGTATCTGTTATCACTCATCAATTCAGTCAGTTATATAGAGGGATGCCTCGTGTTTTTCTTTGGCGTTTGTCACTTCCGATTCAGGAAACCTGTATTACTCAGCTATCGTAGCAATGATCTCTGTGTTAAAATTATATTTGGAATGTGTTTAACCAGCTCTATCACATGTGATAATGACTGGCACCAATATTGTCCTTTAAAAGCTCTATGAATTATGAATGTGCAGTGAACGCCATATACTTAAACTGACTGGCCCTAAATTGTATTTAATGTAATAGTTATTATACAATAAACTTTATAGGTAGCCTACTTGGATTTTTTTAGACACATAATCTATCATCTTATCTTTAAATATTATCTAAAAATAACATGAGCTTGTTTGTAATCTTCAAAGACAGTACAGTACGTCATGTAATGTATATGTTTCTATTCCTTATTGCTTTCTTAAATAACAGCCCCATGGTCCAAACCCTGAGTTGTTAATGTAATGCAACAAAATAAAAAAAAATGCACTCAAAACCTTGTGCTATTCATTCATCATTTGATCGAATTCTGAGGACAACATTTATGAACGCTGTGACCTAGAAACAAGCCGAGGTTAACAAGCCCTTTTTTTACCAACACACGTTATTGTAAGACAAGAAGACCGGGACTAACGGCCACGTGCTAAAATAGCCTATAGTAAACACGTTGTGAGAATGATGATGCAAGACGCTTGTCATCTCGAATTCAAATTGACACCGCTTTATTCTTCGATTTTGTAAATGCAGTTCACACGTAGGCCCTATCGCGGTTTAAGTTTGGACCGAATTTTTTAATTAAATCTAAACAAAATGAAGGAATACTCACTTATACAAAGAGCGGCTAACAAACTCAAAGCAACCTCTGGCATCTCACAATCGGGAAAAAACGGTTGTAAAATGTAGTTAGAAAATGTCAGTGCTGTGATGGCATTGCCGGTTGGAAATATAATAATCAGGGCTACCCATAGATACAAGAACGACGGGAGACCTCCAAAGCCTTCCTTGATATACGCATAATCGGCACCAGACTTCAGAATACATGTCCCTAATTCAGCGTAGCACATGGCACCGACAAGGCAGATCATTCCACACAGGGCCCATATTATCATTGAAAACCCCACTGAACCTGCTTCCTGCAACACACCCTTCGGAGAGATGAAAATTCCACTGCCAACGATAACACCTACGATAATGGCAACACCGTTGAATAAGCCCAAAGACTTTTCTAATTTGACACCACCGCCTCCTTCACTAAGACTTGTCTTGGAACCGTTAACTTCCTTCGTCATCTCGGTATCATTAATTAGAGAACTGTTCAATTATTTACTATATGAGGTGAACAAATCAAACAAAGTCCAGGGAGCAAAAAGTCCACACACAGTGTTCTCTCTTCCAGCTGTGTCCTCGTAAACTGTTTGTAGTTAACTGTAACACGCGCCTAAACTTCCTGTACATGCACTTTAACCACGTGACTCAAATGGGCGTGGTCAGACTGGCACGCATCCGTCATAGAGTAAAAATACTCTGTGCATCCGTAATAAATAACTAAATGACGCTATATGCATGCATATCCCACGTGAAGTGAAGCTAATTATAATTAAATATTCCCACGACCGTAATGATACTAATAATATTACACCTAAACACGCCTTTTATAGCAGAAAGTGTTTCAAGAAAACGAAACTTTGGGTATTTAGAATTAGAGAGAGAGAGAGAGAGAGACTAAGAGAGAGGCGGGGGTAGTTACGTTCACACACCAACCTATGTTATTTCGGGACTTTCACGTATCGGTCTTTTTCATTGGGAGGAAACTGGAGAAAACCGACTAGGTGAGCTTGGTAGGCGACCCTACTTAATTATTAAAGGAAGCATGAACAAACAAATATGGGTAGGTAGCCTATATATAATGTACAAACAGTTTGAATACATTATTTACACAAAGACGAAATAAAAAAGGAAAAAAAAAGAAGACAAAACAAAAAGAATAGGGTAGCACTTAATAATACATTTAGCATTAAGGGAAATATTCATTTACCAGTGACGGCGGAAGCAATTCTTGATTGGGAGGGTGGGGGCGGGGGCTAGCATCCTAGGTCTTTAGGCGAGGGTCCAGGGGCCGCCTAGCCCCCCCCCCTCCGAAGCTCTTGAGGGTCTAGATCGCCGGGGACGCTTTCTAATGCCTTTTTCTTTTTAACCGAATAGTTACTTGAGTGCAATAACCTGGAGAAAGAAGTAGGCTATACTTTCAGCCAAATTATTATTTCTATACCGGCATCTCTATATTTCCGACCGGTGACTTCCTAAATTTACCTCAATGAATAAAACATTCTGTACTATATTCTACTTCGAGAATAGATCTCTACCCAAAATGGCCACCATATCCAAAAATTAGTATATACTGTTTTGTAACGCGGCTCTACCTCGTTTCTGTCATATACAGACAGACTAATTAAACCTTTTTAATTTAATTAAAGGCTCAATACCATTCTTGTTGTAACTGAATAATATGTCCCAATCTTTATTCTGGTCAACAAATTGTACTATTTTACAATATTCCAATTAATTGATGATACAAATTTCATCTTAACACACCTAATTTAAAAATTTGGAAAAATTCAACTAAATGATTTGAAAAGCCTAACGTAAACCTTTTCAAATGTGACTTGGATTTCAAAATATTTTTGAAACCCTCTGGACAAGTAAAATAGGATGTAATGGATAATTTACACAACAGGTAGGACACTTAAACATCTAATACTTAGAATAAGGCTATTATTTATTTTCTGGAGCTGTCAAGCCAGCAACAGTGTTATGGAAGCAGAATAAATAATTTTCTAAATTCTCGAAATAATTTCCGTTTTCGACTATATATAATCGTCGATTTAGGACTTTAAAATGTCGATCGACTAGCTTAGTGTCTGTTCTCAAGCAGAGCTAACTGTAGACAGGCAGCCTAAGTTTAGTATATGCACAGAGCTAATTAGACAGAGTTAGTTTAGTATGTGAAGAAAGAACTGATTTGGCAACGTTAATGGATATTTTGTTTTAAGTGACTACATGTATATATAATACCATTTGGCAAAGCTAAATTATTGTTTACTATGCACTGTGTTGATTGCTTACAAACTTATTGGGAGCCATGGTGGCTAAGTGGGTAAGACGCTGGCTCGCGTATTCGATCCCTGCATTGGCCGAGAGAGTCCATCGGGATTTTCCGACGTGGTTTCACCCTGTCAGTGGTGCAGGAAAGAGGGCCTGACAAGGACAGCTGTCTAGTCGTTCAAATGGGACGAAAAACCGAGCTCCCGTGTATACATTGGCGTGCACGTAAAAGATCCCTTGACAGTTGGAAATCGATATACATGTAAGAGTAGGCCGTAGTGCAGCTGCACGGGCAAAATTTTACCCATAGCACACTGTATGGCGTATGCCCGTCTTCATTAGCCCAGTCGGAGCAGAATAGTAGGACGTTAAACCCCATTTCATTTCATTTCAGATTTCACTATATGAACCGAAAAGTCGCATAAAAATAAGCACCGAAGTTGGCTGATGTTGTATACTGTACCAGGTTGACATTATGAGTTACCTAGGAGTTTGTTATCTTCAAAGTAATGTAATTATATGTAGTAATTCGTCTGTTAATTAGAGACAGTGGACGTTAAAATCTATTGGGAAGTTTTCCCAGGACAGCTATTGAATTTCAACTATTAAGGGATGGTTTTATGTGGCACCAGGTGCACTGTTTTTCGTCCCACTCAAACGAATAGACGCACTACTGACAAGGGGAAATCACGCATTCTACAGACAGAGAAGATCCACCTACTCCATACTTCGAGAATAAATCTCTGTCCTGAATGACCGCCACATTAAAAAAATAGATTGTTTTGTAATGCGGTTCTATCCCCCGTTTCACATCTGGCATACACACAAAGACTAAAGAAACCTATCCAATTCAATTCCATTAAATGGACACAATAAATACTTAGTGTTTTCGACTAAAATCGTAGATTTAGGACTTAAAATGTCGATCAACTTATAGCTTAGTGTCTGTTCTTAAGCTGAGCTAACTGTAGACAGGCGGCGTAAGTTTAGTATGGGAAGCCACGCTGAAAATCCCAGTTAGCTTTCTAGAACAGCACTGAGATCGAACCTAGGACCTTCTGCTATCCAGCTAGCGCCTTACGCACCGAGCCACAGCGACTCCCCGGTAAAATAGAACATATTTGTTTATTATGTAATATGTTATCAGTTTTATCTAATTTATTTTTAGTATCGTATTTTTTAACTGGTAAAACGTGTCAAGGGCTATTAATATATGTAGAAATAAATCTTATCTGCTTCCGAACAGAGGGGAATTATCAGCTCACAACATACATGAAACACTCGAATTTAGGCTAGTTGTTCTGTTTAAGGTGACTTTCGTATTTAATCAAGATTCTCCAACCATGAAACACCGAATAAACAGATATAAAATGTTACTAAAAGTTCATGTTTGATAAACAAGGCTACAATTTCTCCACAGAAATACCAAAGACACACGAAAGAATAACGTAGAGAGATAAGGTTCAGGACTTATATGTATTTTACTCAGCTATTTCAGGTTAATTATACGAGAATATATAACTGTCCGCTCGGTTCCAACTCATATTAAAGGACAATATTGGTGCCAGTCATTATCACTTCTTTTTATGAATTGTCAGATATCCTTTCACAATCTCACACAACAACTTTAGTCTTGGAAGGAATTATTAGTGAGCAGAAATTCGGCCGTGTATTTGTTATCACTCGTCACATCAGTCAGTTATATAGAGAGATGACTCGTGTTTTCCTTTGGCGTTCGTCACTTCCGATTCAGGAAACCTGTATTACTCAGCTATCAAAGCAATGATCTCTGTGTTAAAATTATATCTGGAATGTGTTTAACCAGCTCTATCACATATGTGATAATGACTGGCACTAATATTTTCCTTTAATACAAAAACAATCTGATTCAAATACAGATCTATATTTCGTTTTTTTATACTCTGACCGGTTGTAGTGGAAGGTCGCGTCAGATGCCATACGAGCGGCTTTTCACCCTATGACGTCAGAGATTTGGTTAACCAATCAGCGTCGATGTTTCTAGTGGGTTACCCGCAGTTCCGTGCATCTCACGCCAAAAACGTGGCGTAACAGACCGTTTCATTGGCTAATCCCTCACATCATCCAGAACGCGGGTTATATTACAACTCTTCCAGATACTTGTGTAGTAAAGACAAATAAAACGCAATATTGAACAATAAAAAAACGGACGCGGGTTATATAAAAACTCTTCGAGATCCTAGTATAGTAAAGACTAGTAAACCGAACATTTGAACAATAAAAAAAACGAAACGAAATAATCAGATTGATACAAAAAACACCGCAAATCACATATACACAGAAATGGAACAGGGGGCGAACGCCCATTTTTCTTCATCAACTGGGTTAATTAAGACAAGCAGCGTGTTTAGAAGGAAATACTGCCCAACCAACGACGTTTTCATCAAATTCCAACTGTCCAGCTCTCTTTTACAACGACACGATTGTGCCTTTTGTGGATCAGACATTTTTCAGTTGGATAACTTTTGTGTTTCTATGGAAACAAATTTGACTTAGTATATATTTATTATTCCGGAGAATTTCCCAGAAAACGCTCAAGATATTATAATAGTTGTGCCTTTTGCTAATTTTAAATTTCTCAGTTGAATAATGTTGTATTTGCCTGTAATCATCAATCTGTTGTTGGCGCGCGGGGTGAGGGGGGGGGGCATCGAGTCAGGTGGTGTGGTTTAGATCTCAAGCTTGTACGTGACGTAGGATTGACTGCCCAACCTGGCGGGGTTTTCTTCAGGCCACCCGGTTAGTCGCACAGCAATTGACGCCCACGCGGAAGCGAATAATGAAGCAAAATATATTAGTCCCGAAATGACATACTTTATGTGATGTGAACTTTACCCCCCCCCCTCTCTCTCTCTCTCTCTCTCTCTTTTATCTGCGATATCTCTACCGAGGAAGCAAACGTTAAACATCAACGTAGAAGAAGGCTACTTGACAATTTTAATCTAGGTCAAACCTCTTATAATAAAATATGCATTGTCACGTACTTCCGTGTGTAATAGCCTACATATTCTGATCTCCGATATGATTGATGTGAAAAGTCAATATATAGCAGGATTACCATTGTATTCACTATTATCCTATCATCTTTATTGTAAATATTCCCGCTTTTATCTTCAATATCTGTATTAAAATTGTAACTGATATCAGTCTACATCAGAATAGCTTCCAGTATAAGTTGTTGGCTCACTTACCAAGAGGGCCAGGTTCAATCCCAGTATTGGCCGAGAAATTCATCGAGATTTTTCTGCAGGGCAGTGTGGTGCAGGGCAGAGGGCATGAGAGGGAACAGTGTCTAGTCCTTTGGA